CCGGCGGCGGCAGCGCCCGGAGGAGGCCCCGGCCGCTGCGGCGGCCCCGGGCAGGGCGCGAGCGGCGCCTCCGTGGGGCTCCTTGCCCGTCCCACCTGTCGCTAGGCCGGGCTCAAGGGGGCCGGGGTCGGTCTAAGTGACAGCAGTGCTGCCGCCGCGATCTTCTTCATTAACAGGGCTGTGGCGGCAGCCCAGGAAATGCTTTTCCCGATCTAAGTCCTGCAGCAATATCCCCTRTTATTCTTCTGTTTCTTGTATTCTGGAATGATCTTATCCGCTGCCTTAAGGCTGCCCTGGGAGGTGTTTCAGAAGCAGCATCCAGGCTTTGGTCCCAAGCCACTGATTTAGCCATTAGGTCGCACTCCTTYGCGCACCAAAGACCTCAGCGGAGAAGTGAGGACTGTCCTGCGTCCTATCTGCGCCTCTCTCTGATACCTGATTTACATCACCCTCCATAGGAACTGGGAGGGAAAGGCTGCAGCGAAGACATCTCTTCCATCATGAAGAGATGCTTGCATTACAAAAAATATAATAATAATAATAATAAAAATAAAGCTTTTCCTGGTTAAGTGAGTGGCTTTCCCGACTGGCTGCAGTGACACTAAGATAACAGCACATTTTTGGGGTGCAGAGCATAGACTGAGTGTCTGTATTTCAGGTGATCGTGCACCCATTTGCAATTACTAAGCAGCAGGAGAAACCTCTCTCAGTAAATCCACACCGTCAGTGCAGTTTATTATTCAGGTGAGGGGRTAAAAATATGTTGCTGTGGATTAAAAAGCCTATTAAAACAAGATCTTAATCTAGAAAAATATCATATAGGACTGACTACAGCTCTAGGGTTTGGAAAGCAAGCTATATGTATGTGTTCATAATTGTAAATTTATTTTCTCTTCCTTTCTTCCTTTCTGGCTAGCAGTCTGGAAATTTTCCATCTGCCAGGAAGCAGCCTCCTGCAGAAAGGGCACTGCATAACTTGAGCTATAGTTTAATCATTCACCTTAACCACTATAGATTTCTGTGTTTGCCTAYAGGAATGGGTTTTTTAAATTGAACATGTACACATCAGATCAAGCACCTCTAGAAAGATTTCCATATAGCTTTCTCTCATGGATTTTGCCTTTAACAGCAGTWCCATTGTTATGATACTCTCTTTTTTTTCCCCCTTCCCTGCATATCTTTGCTCTCTGTTTGCTTTCATATCAGCTATGAAGGCACAGACTGTTTGTTCTATGTCCAGCTGGGTTCCTATTCCTGGCTTGCAGAGACACTTGAAGAGCCAAAGCCTTGTCGGTATTTATACGTGCCTGGAAGCCGTGRGCTTTGGAGAGGTGAATATGATAGGAAAGAAATATTAATTAACTCTGGATTTTTGAATTATCTTATGATTCGTACTGTGAATAAAGCGGAAGCTGACACTTCTGTCGGGGTGACAGAAGTGAAACCAAGGGTAGGTCTGGTAAATTGGCAACTTGTGTGGTGCTGTATTTCCCAGGGGGAAGTTAACATGCTCCTGTTTTGTGTGTGGACAGAGAGCAAGACAAAAGAGAGCAAGACAAAAAAGTGAGCAAGTCTTTAATACCTGTAAGGACGTTGACTCAAGGGCAAAGGGGAAACACAATGATTAACATGTTGCAGATATCCAGCAATCAAATGGAAAATTACAAATTTAAAGCTTAAATCCGTTTTAGTTAAGTGATCTTGTAGGGKAGACTGCATTACTCCGGTGCAACAATATTGACCCCCGCCACGTGTTTGACTTTCATCAGGTTGACTGTTACTCTACAAATGCTAAAAGAACAAGTCCTTCTTCCTCTAAGGATTGCATGAAAGATAAATACAAACTTCTCAAACACTGTTTTGAGCTGTGAATGGCAAGTTTAATATGAGTTTATAGAATGCTCAGTTCACAGCTGTTTTCTAATAGAAATAACTACTCCTTAAGCTGCCTTTGATTGTTTTTGCAAGCACATGTCTTCTGGGTAGGAATTTTTTAAATTAATTTTAACAATTATTTCACAAGTACATATTAAGATGTAAAATTAGGATCTAGAAATTACAACTATGAGGGGCCACAAGCCAAGAATGGCAGCATCTCTGGGATCTATTTATTGCCTTTGCTTCTGGATTATGTCAGAGCACTCTGTCTTATTTATTGGCATTCACCTTAAGCCTGCATATTTCAATCCCTTTATAATGGCATAGAATTTAAGTGCACCTTTTTATAAGGGAACGAGGCATACGGTTGCTGTCAGCTTTCACTCATAATTTTGCTGTCAGCAAATATCTATCCCTGGTAAACATCTGGCCATGCAATGAGAAATCACTCATTTAATATTTAAATCAGTCATTTACAGTGACCTCGTGGTCTAGTTCAAATGAATCTGATACTACAGCATTGATTATTACAGATTGCCTCCGGGCATGCTTGACTTTCATCAGGCTGACTGTTACTCCACAAACAGTAAAATAATCAAATCTTTCTGCATCTTTCAGCATGCGAGGTGAATCAGCATCGGTGCAGTTCTATCTGTGCAGATCCAGGAGGTGTTTTTTTCCTCTATTTGGGCTAGAGGAATGCTCAGGGAAGCTGGAAGACAGTCTTGCCTGTGCTGGCCAAGGCCATACATTTTGGGGTTGTGCAATAGAGGCCAGGCAAAACAGAGGAGTTGGATTTTGGGAAGTTTGTGTGTGCACTAGTGTACATCCATGGACACGCTCCTAACGGGCAATTAAGAGTAGCCTCAAACGTACCGATCCCTCTACAGTCTGCCTTTTAAAGCATTGCTGAAGTCCTGAAGAAATGTGGCAGATTTGAACGCCACGTTTCTTGCGTAGCTTGAGAAGTCAAATCTTGAAAATCTAGGCAAATAGATTTGTCCCTCCTGGGAGCAAGGGTGCACATGCTTAGCAATTGCATGTTGAAAAATACGTGTTATACTCTAATCCTGCCCCTCACCTGGCAGAGGTTTCACGTTTTGGCTGACACGGAGCCAAGTCACTACTGCTACGGTTCGCCCCATTGCGACCTCTGCAAACGCGGGGTATGGTTATGTGGGTGCTCAGCAGAAACGCCTTCCCTTGGTCTATCTGCAGTACTGCCCATCTGCACTTTCCGCTGGGGGCTGGGCCGTGCAGGATTGTTCTGTGGTGAGTCACGCAGAGAGCTTCTCAGGGGCGGCCTGTGCTATGTGCGAGCAGCGGGCTCTGGCCGTGAAAATGCTTCCTGAATGAGGTAACCCAAAATTCCCCTTCCTGTGCTTCTCGTTTCCTGCTCAGTTCTCTCGGCGTTCTTGAAGACATTCCAGCAGCTGCGTATCTTGTAGTCCTGCTCTTTTATTCCTACAACTCTCGGGGAAGACAAGTGATGTCAACAGCTGCCTTAATTAATTTGGTTAGAAACGGAGGATATCAAGCGAGGAGGAGAGCCCTGCTGACATCCCTCCTCTTGCAAGACGAGAAGCGTCCGCCGGCGGCGGGCTACGGCTCCACGTCCGAGCGGCGCGCGTCCCGCTTCGATGCGGACGGCAGCGGGCGCCCCGCCACGTGGGACACCTTTGGCATCTGGGACAACCGCATTGACGAGCCCATTCTCCTGCCGCCCAGCATCAAGTACGGGAAGCCCATCCCCAAGGTGAGCCTGAGCAACGTGGGCTCCGCCAGCCACATCGGGAAGCGCAAGGAAAACGAAGACCGCTTCGAATACGCTCAGCTCACGGACGACATCCTGTACTTTGCAGTGTATGACGGACACGGTGGCGCAGCGGCAGCTGACTTCTGTGATAARTATATGGAAAAATACATTAAGTAAGTGTGCGTCGCACAAACGCGCGGCATYTGAGTCGCAGCAATTGAGTTGCAGCATTGAGTCTGCAGCACGGAGTCGCAGAGCCTCCTGCCTTAGAACTGAAAAGGAACCTGAGGCTCACAGACTGCCCCTAGTTGTCCCCATCCTCTGGGAACTTGGGACTGGAACAGTCCCTGTTGTGCTGGACAGGGTACGAACCTGCCTCCCTGCGTGGTTCTTGCACCATGCRCGCAAGGGCAAGAAAGGGTGCTCCTGGAGCTTTGCAGATCAGAAGCAAGGTGATAAGCTCTTATATCTATTTGCAAAGCTCTAAGGTTTGCTTACAGTGCAAATCAGTAATGACATCATATTACTTGAATTTAATAAACTGTGACTGAATGCATGCAGCGAGGAAATAATTCTTCTGAAGAGATTTGTAAGGATGAATATTTCCAAGAAATAAATTATTATTATATATATATATATATTTAAATTTTGTTTCCAGAGAATTTCTTACTCAGGAGGAAAACTTGGAAAGTGTTTTGAACAAAGCTTTTCTAGAAATAAACAAGGCATATGAAAGCCACGCTCATCTGTCTGCTGACGGTAAGTAAAAACCACTCTGCTTTYGGCACGGGAAAATGTCTCTTTTTATTTGCTCAACTTGTTTTGTATTAAGATTTTCTGAAAAGTGCTTAAAAGCAATCTTACTTAAGATTACTTACTACGACTTTTGCTCTGATCACTTACTGCAGATGAAACAATCATGTTGAACCTTTTTAAGATGAGAACGCTAGGAAAATTCTAAATGCAATTTATTGGAGAGTTATTAACCTCAAGCTTAACATAAAGCTGCTGTTTTTGTGTGCTCTAAGGAAAGTGCCTGCAGTTCCCCTTTCTGACTCGGCAGGAGGAATGCAGGCCAAAATTAATACAATGAATGTTGCCTCTATGCAAACAACATGTGACAACAGAGTGACAAGAGTAGCTCTGATAGCACAGGATAAGGCGGCAGCTGGAGAAGGAGGTTGGCTGTGGCAGGGCTGGCATGAGCCCTTGCAGCCTCTTTACTCTTGGCTGTGAATCAGGGTCTTGTCTATRTGTCTAGAGGCTAAACACAGCTTACGTGCCAGTTACAGCAGCCAGGGCTTAGAAGGAGAAATTTGGGAAAGTGGGAGGTGACAGGTTAYGGTCCGGGTTCTCGTCACTAGAGTTTCCTCAGCATTAAGGTACTATTTTAAGAGTCAGCTGCACGCATCTTAAAAAAATTGCTTCCATGTCAGTGCAGGTGGCTGCAACACAACTGAGGTTGTTTTATAAGAGGAGAATTTTTAAAGGTCTTCCCTCTAAGAAAGAAGTGAAACCCAACAAGTCCTCYCAGGACTGAAATTATACTGTGCTCCTGGGTTACCTTCCTTCTGAATGAAAACAATAAATTACTAGAACTGTTTCCTCTGCTTAATAAACGGCCCCACAAACCTGGTTAGTCTCCTAGGAAATGTTTCCTGGCAGGACAGGTAGTCTGGCTGCTGCAGCATGGTGGTTAATGTAAACCCTTTCTCTTACCTGGTACAAGCTGAGAACTGGAAAAAAAAAAAAAGTCATAAATCCTTAAATAAAACTCATAAAAAAAAAAAAAAAAAAAAAAAAAAAAAAAAAAAAAAAAAAACCATAAAATCAATCTTTAAAAAAAAAAAAAAAAAAAAATCAGAATTAAATCTTTAAACTTTCTTAACAAGACAGGTCTTGCTTTTGCTCATCTAAAAGACCTTTATTTCTTAATAAAGTAGAAAGCAGAACTGAAAGCAGAACTGGAAATCCTACTTAGTTTCGATTATTATAAATACAGTTTCTGATGCAGCATTTTGTACATGAATCTCACTAAACCTGATAACAAGAGTATTTCACAGACAAGTTCTGCAGCAAGGTGAATACTTAGAACTGCTTCTAGGGTATTACCATACTGTTTAACTGGATGAGAACTGGGCTACCTCGTGGCAAKGCCAACAAATTTACCTCTCAGCTAGACAGCAGAGGGACAAGAACCTGGACAAACTCCCTTCMCTGAAAAACCCCAAGGTCAAACAAAATATTGGTCTAAGACGCTGTTTAAACCACAGGCCTCACGTTTTGCCAAGTACCCAGAGCTTCTTTAGGTAGATTTTATACAACCTGTCCCACTAACCTGTTGATGAGAATGTGCCCAGCTGAAAATCAAGCTGTAGGGGAAAAAAGTGGAGTAATAAGACATAAAGACAAATAGAGATGTATGAACAAAGTGAACTCATGTATCTGCTGTTGAAATTCTCAATTCTTTGTTGACTAGTGTTGACTTTGTTGACTTATTTTTGTTGTTGTTGTTTTGAAAGTTGCATAAAAGTCAGTTGCTTTGCTTGTGTCCTGGTTAGAAGCCTAATTCCAAATAGATTCGGTTTGGCAGCAAAATTTCTGATTAATTGTGGCTATTCTAGATGTGACTGTGAAGAGCATTGCTCGAGCTCCTTCAAAATTGTGGTGACGGTGGGACTCTGGGTGTCCAGAACACACTGCTTGGATCCCAGGACTGACTCCCTTTTGAAACCCTTCTCTAGGTGACAAGGTGGAAAATTGTTAGTGTTGCTCTGGTAGTTCACTCTGCCAGCGCCCACTCCTTTCCCTGTGTCTGGAACTCCAGATTTTCTCCTTTCCAACACATGCCCAACTTGGAAAGTGTTCGAAAGTGTTTGAAGGAGCATGACTCCTGGGACAAGTTCCAGTAGCCAAAATGACAGGTATTTTGGACAGCATTATGCTTATGATTCTTTTTTTTTTCCCTCTAAACAGTATTACAAAGTAGCACAAATATAACAGCCTAAGAGGTGGGCATTCTCAGAGCATCTAGCCCTTTCTTTGAGGTCACTGCCTTCTGCCAGTCTCTTCCTTGTGCCAGAACATTTGAATGGATACTTGAAAGATCCCTAACGTCATGCTTTCTTTGAGCTTCCAGGACAAATTACAGATGCATGTTGCGATATCGCTCCTTGTGTCTTGTGTGCAGGATGACTAGTGCCGCTGGACTGCTGTCCTGGCCTGTGGTCCCCTCCAGTATCCCCTCTGATAGTGGTCAGTACAAGAGGCTTCACGCAAACGCATAAGAAACGTGCTGTAAGCAGATCTGGGATAATGTGTCTTCCACATCTATCCTTTCTAGTTGTTAACAGGTCGGAGATCTGCCTGAGCCTTGAAGCATGGTGTCTGCTATCTCTTCAGACCTGCATTTCCATTCACCTTCGCACATTTAAATACATCCAGTCACTTTTAAATCACTGCTGAAGTTAGGTATGGATGCAGCAGAGGATGCTCGTTATTCACGAGACAACTATTACCACAGATGGACAAAATTTTCTGGTATTTCTGAATAGCACAAAAAATCTATATGTAAAGGCTGAGCAGGAACAGAAATAAACAAGGGAAGCTGGAAGTTAGAGCATTGCACCGGAGAAACAGGACACTGACAAAGGCTGTATTTGGAAAACTAGTCTAGTCTAAAGGAAGAGCAGCTGTCATGGCCTAATGTGTCCTTCTGCTGCTATTCATTGCATTCAGTGCTGGGCACAAGCTAGTAACGGAAGACAGCAACAGAGCATCTTTCCATCAGCCCCCATGTTCAGTGCATTCAATTCTAATTGCACTGGCCACTCACTTCTGGAATAGCCACCTTATTAAAATGCAGCCAAGTGTTGACTCTGAATGCAGAAAAGGCAYTGGCAGGCTGAGCAAATAGCAATAGTCTTGTGAAAATAATTGAAAGAAAAAGTTTTAAAGCTACCGTTCAAAAATGTGATGATTCTTTCTTTGAATATGTTAACCTGCAACACTGAGGAAAAGAGAGAGCTGCAGAAACTATACTTAMATATTGCATTAAGCCATCATTAAAAAGACAGCCTTTTATCTGCAGGTCCTGGTTATTATCTAATCAAGTTAGAAGATACTGATTACAGTAGTATGGGAGTGTTTATTTTGCATGTTTTCCCATGGCTCGGGTGAAGCCATATGTTTCTGTTCAGTGCATTTAAAATGACCTCACGTTGGCACTTTTCTCAAGTGCCCTTCCCTGCCACCCCTAAATTTTGATTTATATATAAATCTGCACGAGAAACAGATTGGGCCATACTGGAGTGTGGCCAAACTGAACGCTGCACAACTCGCCAGGACTTCCTCTACCACCTGCAAAAGACAGTGCAGGCAAACCCAAAGCGAACACTGCGGTTTTGCAGCCCTTGTTCTCTCATCTCCAGTGTTGCAGGTTCATTGTGTTTGAACAAAGTCCCTGGGTGAATTTCCTCTTTGCCTCTGTGTACATGTTATTTGTGGCAGACACTGTACCTGGTGAGCAGCTCTAGAACTGGAGGCCCTGGACACTATATGCTGGGCTTCAGTGGAAAGAGAGATCTGCTTAATTTTGTCCCAGGTGAAGGAGTCCGGCGGTTCCTAGCCTGGACTACTGGAAGGTTCCCACATCCTCTTTGTCACATTAGTTGAGATGACTTGCAGTAAAAATTGTCCAGTGAGTGTTAAGAACCTATTGAAAGATCTTAGTTACATAGTGATATTGTTAGTAAGAGCAAATAAACTCTTYAGTTGTTAAAACAATGTATGTGTTGATGCAAGATATTATTAAATAATCTAGAAGCAGTAGCAGTAAAACATTAGACCTTGTATCCCATCATCATTCCTGTGTTTTGGAACTGTCCTAAAAATCAGGTAATTCCTCTACGCTAGCTAAATCCATATTGCTCCTTTCCCCAGGCCATGAACTAGATCCAGGGAAGAGAACATGAGTGGAATTCCTTTTTCTAAGCAATAGCATTTAACTAATAAACATCTGTAAAGCATAAATTAATATAAATTGCCTGCACAGTATCTGTGACTGGTTCTTTGATAACACTGCTTGACGTGGTGGTAGCAGCTCTTTTGGTTTTGTAAATTTGCTCTTTAAAGATGTATATTCACCTGAGTGACCAAATGCTTAAGGTTATTCATGGTTTAAACCCTACCAATCTCGCCTTTTACAAGGGTAGCATTTATTTATCAGCATTGTTCCAAAAACAAGGAATGATATGGGACACTGTTCATTACGGTGAATATAGCAGTCCCTTATGCATTTTAATTTCTAAATAAAATGTATTTTCTGTGAAATAAAAAGTAGTTTCTTATAGGATTTTCATTTAACTTGAATTATTTAGCTAAAASAGGTATTTTACTGGCTCTACTAAAATTCCTAATCATAGTGTTCTTACTTTTGTAACATACCTCAAAGTGAGCCTGCACCAGAGTAGTCCTTGCTTCGGATTAGAAACGGGGTACTAGTGCTTACCTGAATTCGTGGTGTTGGACGTTGTGGTCTTCACAGCAGCCATATCGTAGCCCAAGATGGCACGTGGAGATGGCTGATGCTCACGATCAACATTTTGGCTAAGTGTACAGCTAAACCAAGTCTTCACAGCCGTAATAATACCTGTTTAAAAGAATACCACAAGCCTAGTTTAGACTATTTCGCGAGCTTTTTTTTTTTTTTTTTTTTGATTCATCAGCTCACTGCTTTCACGTTACAACAAGGCTCAATGCATCTCTCAGGGCTTTGTGCATCTTGAATTTCCTTCGAGCCCAGTTTGCCAGGGCTGCTGAGCGCTCACGGGGCTGGGGGGAAGACAGCGAGATCCCAGGCTCACCAAGGCCCTGGCTCAGAGCTGCAGGGCCCCAGGAGGCAGCGCCCGGAGTTGTAGCTGAGCTCTAGAAAAAGTGTGGAGGGAAGATCTTTCCAGCAAGAGGATGAAATTGAAACCAGAAGGCCTTAGATGAGTTCTAATCCAGCCAGGACCCTAAACACAGCTAGGCAGCTCAGATTACTCGTGCGCCTGGCAAGACAAGAGGGCAGCAGCTGGGAGACTGTCTTGCCCTTTAGACAGGGGAYTTATATCTCCTTCAAGCGATCCTACCAGTGCCCATGGCAGATTGCCCGGAGGACCGGGGCCAGGCGAGCGGCTSAGTTTGCAGGTGCAAGGCCAGGCAGGATCCAGCTTCACCTCCAGACTGGGACCTCCAGCAGATTGACAGGGTTTGAAAAGAGCAGAGGCCCCTTCTGRAAAAGGCCAGTGACTTCTGGCTGAACCCTCGGCCTTTTGGCAAGTCTGGGGGAATCTCTGCAAAGGGAGACTGTAACAGCTGGGAGAGCAACCGGAGTATCCCAGGGACTGGGGCAGGGGAGGCTCTCCTCTAGAGAAACTACRTGCAGCTACATCCAGTGTTAGTGAATTGCCTACTTCACCTCCAAACAGAGGGGAAAATTCATCAGGTTTATGGTGGGCAACACCATAAGAGCACTGAACACTGTAGTCMCTGTGCTCAGGCATGAAAATGATAGCCCGGTATCTTCAGATGCGCTATTGGAACAGAAAACATGTTTGCTACAACCTGGAAAGAAACTACCTTCCTTGATAGTGCTTTTATTCCACTCGCCCTCTTGCATGGAGCCATGTTGTTGCAGAGAAATACTCACCCTTTCCACTCCATCTCTTCTGCCTACCCCTACATGCATGTTTTTTTGCTGTACTTTTGGAATATAACTTTAATTTAAACCTTAAAGCATTTACTTTCTGATAACATAGAGCACAGGTTGTCTTTGTTTTATCAGTTGGTACTCTTGCTTTGTTATACATGGTATTATGCGTCGGGGCGGTTTTAAACCTTCCTCTTTTTTTTGGTGTGATGTTTATAGCGACTGTGATGAATGCTGGGACCACTGCAACAGTGGCTCTGCTCCGGGATGGGATTGAGCTGGTGGTGGCAAGTGTGGGAGACAGCCGGGCACTGCTGTGTCGAAAGGGAAAAGCCATGAAACTCACCATTGACCATACTCCAGAAAGGAAGGAGGAGAAGGAAAGGTACCTGGCAGCTGATTCTGTGGCTTTCCTGGGCCTGGCCTTGGTCAGGCTGTGCTTTTGTTCCTGTTCTGCAGCTGGGTTGGGCCTGGAAAAAAAACCGAACAAACCATAATTGAACAAAATGTCTGGAAATGACATCTAGCAAAAGGTGGCACAACTCTACTTTGCTYATGTCAGTTTAGAGGATTGAGCATCTGGGGAAAAATACGTGAGCATAAATTGTTATGGTAATGAAATCTGTGCAGGACTGGGCTCAAGGCCTTGTCCAAAACTGCCAAGTTTGAGCTAAGATTTGAAGCCATGTACTAGGGCTGCCAGATTGGGTTTTAGCCTGCAAATCCACATCCCTTCCTTGGAGCACTTCAGACAGCAAAAGCCAACTCTCAGTTCCCAGTTCAGGTCCTCCCTACCCCATTCTGCCTCTGCAGATAGTGGTAGAAATTGCAGCTAGGGATGATAATCAGAATCACTAATTCCAGTTTCCTTTCTCTCTTTCCCCTGGACAGGATTAGGAAGTGCGGTGGCTTCGTTGCCTGGAACAGCTTGGGACAACCCCATGTGAATGGTAGACTAGCAATGACACGGAGCATAGGAGATTTGGATCTTAAAAACAGTGGTGTGATAGCCCAGCCAGAAACAAAACGGGTTCAGGTAAAAGAAGGCCTGGTTAAACAGGAACAGCAACATCTGGATTAAGGGGCCACGCAGGTATCTGATGCAGGAGGTATCCAGTGGGAACCCCATGGCCAAGCTTTGACTTTCAACTGTGGCAAAGAAACYAGAGACTAATTCCAAAGTCCTTTCAGATTGGCACTACTGGGATAGAAGGCATAAATAAATATTCCTGATAATAAAGTCAGCCAAACTAACTTTTAAATGCAACTWATCATATTATCAGACATGGGGGAAGGAAGGGAAGGAAGGAAGGAAACACAAAACCTGCCCACTAGACCAGAGTTTAGTGAGATGACCATGTCTGCCTTGAAATCCTCCTTTTAAGGAAGGCAGGGTATGCATCTGGGCTTTTGGCCTCCGAATAGTCAGAGGGTTATTTTCTAGAACCGAAAGCCCTTTAAAATGTTTTCCTGCAGCAGCTGTAACACAGTCTGTTTCTGATGCACATGCTGGAGAATTCAAAGAGCAGCCCTAGGCTACGAGGAGTGGAAGGGTGCCTGTTAGTGCTTGTGCAGAAAGCAGAGGAACATGCAGCAACCTCAGAAAAAGCACTTTGCAACAGAGGGGGGGAAAAAAACAAAGACATTTTACCTTGCCCTGCTCCGTTAATATTCACCCAACCTGTGTGTCTTTGTTGCAGTTGCACCACGCAGACGACAGCTTCCTGGTCCTTACCACGGACGGCATTAACTTCATGGTGAACAGCCAGGAGATCTGTGACTTCATTAACCAGTGCCACGACCCTGCCGAGGCAGCCCACGTGGTGACGGAGCAGGTAAAGGCAGGGCTCTCGCGGCACCCAAGCACGGCTGCTCCTGCAGCTGAACTGGAGCTTAGGCTCATGATTTAACTGTGCTGGCTGAGACGGTCACAGCTCYGAGTGCCTGTCCTTTTCTTTCCCTGGACCTTGCCACAGCCTTGCTAGGACATCAGTTTATACTGGTAGGTCGTGATCCACTGAACTACACAGGGACTGTAACTGCAGTTTATTCCAGTTATGAGCAKAGATGGCAGTGGGAAATACTTACTAGAGTTTCTCACAGTGACATGTCATATAGAAAGCTCAATGGCCTACAGGAGCCCACAGTGCCAGAGCTGACAGGACGCAAGGGAGCGTAGGGCCTTGTGGCCCGTTGTCCCGTCTGGAGCCTGGTCCTTGTTTCCCCGTCACAGAAACCACAGGGTTCCAATGCTGATGGTTGCTTTCTCCCCTCAGGCAATCCAGTATGGCACCGAGGACAACAGCACCATTGTCATAGTGCCCTTTGGAGCGTGGGGTAAATACAAAAGTGGCGAGATCAACTTCTCCTTCAGCCGCAGCTTCGCCTCCAGCGGGAGATGGGCATGAGGACACGACCGTCTTGTCCTACTCTGGACACGGAGTGCTGCAGCAGAACACATCCGTCTGCTCATAGGTTCACTCACTGTCTTGTCCATCTCTTCTCAGTGTTATAGAAGATGCTGCTGCTCCCATCATGGGCAACGCCTTGTAGTTGCTTATGGCTGACCGTGTTTCACCACTTATTTATTCGAATCAGCGTTGAGGCAGCTATTATGTCTTCGTAGTTCTGGTCCTAGCAGCTCTTCACACCACTTTGTTCATGTAGACAAGCTTCCGGGCTTTCACTCTAGGCTGGAGGTTTTGCACAGTAGTTTCATGGCAACATATCTTACCTAGGACCCTTAATTATTTAGCAGCTGTGAAAGTCTGAGACTCTGAGCCATCCGCCAGTTTCTTTGTACAGTAACAGAGGGGAACAAACGCACAGTTTTCGTAGCAAGACAGAAGGCAGATTAGTTGTCTTCCTCTGCTACACAGCCACCCAAAATTCCTCTGTGCTTCAGGAGAAGCAGGTGAAAAGTAAGGGGGAAGTTTAAGGACGTCGTCAGCCTGGGCTTCAATCCTGAGGCCGATGGCCCTGGGTGCAGCTGACATTTTTCCTAAGAAAGTGTCGCTTTGCAGGGCTTTTGCTTCTGGGAGTTGGGGTCCTCTGGCTCCCAGGGCATGGAGTGCACTGCGGAAAGGGAATATCTCCCTTGGATCTGAAGCCTATGCAGTCTCTGTGGACCACGTAGCAGCCCCCTTTCTCTGTTCTCTTTGGTGTGCTAGTGCTTGATACAAGCACATAGGAGGGAAACTGCACATTTTTGAAATCCAGAGACTCCATCAGCCTGATTTTCTTTTTTGTTTCTTTTTTTTTTAAGCTAATTTGAAGGAATTTTCACCTCAAGATTCTTTGGATGTTTTTCTTCATAAGTAAAACACCCTGCCCTCCACGGAAAGTTTTTAGTTTGTTGTGACCCCCTGTGTATCCTCACGGTGTACAGGGAGCTGTAAAATGCACGGAGCAAATAAGCTAGGGAAAGGAGAGGATTCTGGCAGCATAATTTTGCTGAGCTCTGGGTGGTGCCAGATAGCAGATGCCAGATCCTCGGCCAGCAAAAGGGTATTTTTGTGCTTACAGAAAGAATGTCCATTTCCTCTTCCCTTTTTGGAGGGAGTCCGTGTCCACTGAGGCACAAGGAGCCAGAGCCCCGGGCCAGCTCGGGCTGCTGCTGAGGGAGGGACCGTGGGTCGAACGTAGGCAGCGGCTGAAGGTCTGCGCCGGCGGACCTTGGTCTTCCTCCGCTCCAAAGCAGGGTACAGCTCCCTTGGCCTCTGACTCACCCTGCTGTAAGGACATGGGGGTAGAGAAAAAGAGGGCTCTTTTCTCCTTTGCAACAGTCCTTTCCAGCCTGGGAATGTTTCCAACAGAACAATTGTAAAAGCAAACCAAGAAATAAGGGAAATTGCCTCATATAGAGTCACCTTTAAGGAAGAAAAAAGTATTTCTGCGATGCCTCGTCTGATTCTTGTTTTCCAGCAGGAAGGATGCGTCTTTGTTTCTTCAGCCCTTTCTGGGCCCAGGGTTACACGTTATGCAACCATTCCATGTGTTTTCTTTGCCTCCCTCTGAAGGCTTGGGAGCACCCCACAGAGCACAGTGTTGTGCTGAGAGCAGTGAGTACTTGGTGTGTGGAGAATAGGCCGGCTTTGTCCCATCGCTTGCTGTATTATATGGTGTCTATAATGTGTATATTTGGTTTATATGTATGAAGAGTTTGTGAAACAGTATTTGTAAAACTCTGTTGTACATGATGCTATTACCGAGGCCTCTGTACTGAGCGTATTACTGGTTTACAGCTGTGATCCCTTCTCTCTCCTCAGTTTTTCTGGGTTTGGGTTGTCACCCGAAGCCAGAATGACTGCGGTGATCCTGAGTTTGGCCAAGCATGACTTCCCTGAGCGCTCAAGGAGAGCTACTCCTTAACAGAGAGGTTCAGAGAACTGGGCCTGTCTTATGGCCAGCCTGTGCTGCGGTGTCAACAGCTGGGAGTCTCTCCTGCAGAAAAACCTATTTGCTCAACAGCAATCCCCAGAGTTCCCAGGAAGGGGTTAACTGCAGCAGGCACCAGCCCGGCTCTGCGCACAGTGCGGAGCTGRAGGCAAGCTCTGGGGTGGGATTTGCTGTGGGGGTGGATTTGCTATCAGATGGCAGCCAGGCATGAGTGGTGTTGGGATTTGGACAGGCTCCAGTGCTGCTGTTTCCTTCCAAATGCTGCTCATTTCTTGCTCGGCCAGCGAGCCATCTATCAAGACAGAAGGTACCACGGGCGCTGGGGGTGTTGCTCATAAACACGTTCTGCTTTTTAAGTGTGTGTGTTAGAGCAGTGCTGGATACTTGCCAAGCTAATGAATGCCAAGGTAATGAATAACASTGCAAAACGTGCTGTAAAACTGTTCTGCACAGACCTCCGACAAGAGGGCTGTTCTCCTGAACCGCAGTTCTGCTTTATGAAGCAAAGGCCAGTGTGAACTCCCCTGGGATTCAATGGCAACTGCAACAAACCTTCTTCTCCAAGGTGTCAGGAAAAACCCTTGTTTTCTTTGGTGACGGAGCTATTAGAACAAACTACTGTTTTTTGCAATTCACTTTGGGGGCTGAGTCTTGCCTAACAGATCCTTTTAAACTGAGGAACAAAAGCAAACTGCCTTTCTAATGACAGTTGCCCACCAGAGGAGCTTTACTATTACAGGATCACTATATATGTCTTCCGTTTTGAATCAAATTAAGTAGAATTCACTCTCTAGCTCTCTTTCACGTACATCAACAAAATTAATATATTATTTTTTATTACAGACCAACCTGAACATTAAGGGTGACCTGCTGAGCAAACAGGAACAAATGTTTGATTTTTCCTACCTTTTTAGGGCTAGGTTCTGAACGCCACCAGATCTGGCAAGAAGTATTTTCTGTCCTGAGCACTCGCTCTGGAGCAGTGGGGAACGCTCAGCAAAGGAAATACTCGGTACAGGCGCTGCAGGAGACTGGCCTAGAGGCCAAGAAAGGCAAAGAATCTTGCCCAGCTAGTTATTCCCTTTTACTGTGACACGGAAGGCATCTTTATGGCCTCATAGTTTTGGAGGACATACTAGGGGAGGTGCTGAGATTGTAAAGGGAGTTTCAGCTTGCCTTCTCCCCTCAGAAAGTAGGGTTGTGTGCGTTATAGAGGGAACGTGGTAGAAACCTGGCAGCCTTGAGCTGGGCGAGGTGTCTCCCAGGAAGGTGCACAAGCACCGGGCCCAGCACTCATAGAGGGGYGAGGGGTAGTCTGTTTTATACAGACATCCACTTACAGTCAGTTCCTTTTGGTCTGAAAATCTCTGTGAACAATCCCGGAGCAGTGGTTGAAAACAGGAGTGCAGAAGGAAAGCAGCAATAGTTCTTGCTTGGGATTTTTTTTTAGGAAATGAAAATGGGTGGAAAGTTAGACTCACCGTAGGACATCCACAGACATCAGGTCACCCATTCTGGCTCAGATGTGCAGTGGTCCAAGGCCTTGGGGTTTCTAGCTGAGCGAGAAGCAGGAAACAAGAGGCACCAGTGAAACTCACTTACAATTAACTCGTGTTAAACTCAAATCATTTGGGGACTCTTTGGTCCTTTGGTCACCTCCCGAACAAGCCGAATGTATCAGATTGCAACTCTCCTGGTTGTGAAGCTGCTCTTCTCAGTGCAGAGATACCCCGTGGGGTGTCCTCTTTACCTGGTATATCAAGTACTTGGGAAGCTCTGCACATCCCAACTTTATACAGACTAAAGTGCAATTGTGTACACTCRTTGCATAGTTTGCCTTAGGACTGTGTGGAATTTCTGTGGTTTCATGTTATCAGTGTTCATAATTAATCTACTTAATTTTATAGAAATATCCATTTTGCTTTTTTTTTTTTTAATGTTTGTCTTTATAGTTTTAAATCCTCATTTGAGCAGATGGGGCTGTGCTGGAAACCTTAAAAGATCTTTGAATAAAGWTTTGGCTCCCAGACTTCTGCCACTGCGGATCTGTTTCTCTTCTCCTACCTAATCTCCTATCACCAGGACAGTTTCTTTCCCAAGAGCTAGCACAGGTGCCCCATTGGCTGCAGCCATAGGCTCTGCCCTAAAAAGCTTTCGATGACCAAGGTTTAGCTTACAATGTGATTCACCCAGTGACAGCCAGTGCAATGTACCTGTCCCTGTGCCCACATGGGCTTTGGCATCAGGGCCACAGGTGCTGCCTGACTTGCTATTTTTGCCGCCTTTTTTATATTTTGATTTATTACAATACCAAGCAATGAGCACCTTGCTGAGCACTATGCAGACGAGGCCGCAGAAGGCAGCGCTCAGCTCGGTGCGTTTTTTGAGATGACCGTGCAGAGAAGCCCGCCGGCTTTTGCCGCGGTAGCCGCGACAGGGCTGCCAGGTTACGCTCTAACCGGAGCATTTGTCCATTAATGAGCGTCCCTGTGACCTGCTGGTTAATTTATAGCAGGAGGAGGGCGGCCGCGGCCCAGGAGTGCCCCGGTGTTTCCCTGCCCGACTTCATCTCCCTCAACTGAAGCCCCTGGGCTGCAAATCGGCCGGATTTGGTCAGCCTCCGTCTCTCAGCCAGCCTGGTTTTCCCCTTTCCCTTCTTTTCAAACTGCTCTCCAGGCGGCAACAACTTCTTGGCTTCCCACGTGGATCGGCACATGGAAGACTCCCTGCATTCCCTGCCGGCTGCCCTTGCTGTCAGCACCGAGGGCCTCAGCAGGGCTGCGGGCCCGGCCAGCGCCTGGGGCTCCCTTCTCCCGAGCTCTGCGCGCCAGGCGTGTGCTCAGCGCCGTGTCACGACACTCCCAACTGCCCAGCTGGCAGGATTCAGCTCCTGGCAGCTCAGTGCTGATTCCAGGCTCATTTCCATCCTCCTCCTCTCTACAGCACTGCGAGCAGCAGTGACTCACTGCGCRCTCACGTGAGCCAGGCACCTGTTCAGCTGCTCTTTACCCTTAAAAATGCACATTTTTTTACAGCGAGGTAGAGCACCAAACACTCTGAGTGTAGAAAGCAGCTTCCAAACCCATCCGAACTGTTCAGCATAACTGCAGCTGAAGAAATTATAGTCAGAGCAGACTGGCCCCAAGCTCGGTAACAGCACAGTGGGCCCTGGCCTTTGCACAGAACAAAACCTGCGTTTTTTTCAGTCTATAAAACCTCCTCCCCAGTGCCAGGCAGCTACAGACTTGCTGCAGRTCCCCAACAAACAACATTTTTGAAGGCCAGGCCTTTTACTTTAGCTGCGAAGCCTAAGCTGCGCCATTTTGATACCTGMCCTTCTTGCCAGAACAGCTAATTACTGTCCCTCCTTGCTCTCTGGTCGCAACCATCTTCAATGCCCTCAGATATTCCTACTGCAAGCATTTTATGAACAYAGCAACACTCTGCAGTAGCAGAAAAGCAGCAAAAGAGCAGCTTTCAGTGAAACCCAACCTATGTAATGAAACCTACCCTATGCAAAGAGAAATCTTAACTGATGCTGTTGTYCCTGGCACCTAAAGAAAACTTCTATTACTGCATCACAGAATAAACTCAAGAGAAATTAATTCCAAAGGTCTCAGAACAACTTCAGCATTTTCATCATTCTCTGCTCATCTCTGGATTCCTCTAGTTACTGTCACAAGGTGAAGAGCAACCACCAGCAGCATTTCTAATGCAAAAACAGCAGCAGCATGTGACTCTTTGCACAGCAACATTCTTCCTTAAATGAAACACGGGGCTTTTTTAAACATCATGCCATATTTGAAATATTTGTCATATTTTACTAGCAGGCTTCTTTTACCTCTCCCTCTCCCAGGCTAGCTGGATTAAATAGCTGGGAGATTTATAGATAATATAACTCTCGGACAGGAGCTGGAACAGATTATACCTAACCAGCAAGCAAGGTCTGGATACCTACTGCAGTCACTGCTGTCCTGGCCTCATGTGGTTGACCGTGCGAGTCACAAGCCGGGTGCCACCATGATGTGTTTCTCTGTCTAGCTTGGAGCCCCCTCTCGTGGTATTAATACACCTGGCCTTGCTCCAGGCTGCCGCTTGGGCTGCCTGGGATGGGAGAGTCCTTGGGATCCTCATCCCGGACCACGTAAAGCGCAAAAATCCCTACAGTGGAGAAGAGGAAGGTGGAGATCAAGTTCATGGATCCCCCCCGCTCTTCATCACTCCCCCCAGTRAAGGCTCAAGCGAGACAACGGCTGCCCTGTGGTCTGGGTTGGACTGGAGCCGACAGCGCTGCTGGTCTCCAGCTGGGAATGACAGCGAGTAAGGAGCAGCAACCATACACTCCAGACATCCTTGAACATATTAAAAAACTCCCTGTGATTTAGCACCAGTGCCACTTTCCACCCACAGATTTCCTCTGCAAATCTTGCTCCCTGGGCAGCATCAGTTTTCCTGCTCCAAGTCTTCCCCATGTCTACCCTCTTTTATTTCAAAAGCACGGTATTAGCTATTCCAGAAAATGTAGCAAATTCCAATTAGAAAAGATGAAAGACACCTGCTCCTTGAATATTAAGAATAAAAAAATACCAGTTACTATGGCTGCATAATACAAAGATTCTGCAAAAGGCCATTTGGTTCTTAATGAAATACATCTTCTCAGCAACTCGAATTCCTGTAATCCAGCAACAAGCAAGCTAAACATCATCACAAGCTGCAATGTAACAGCCTGGAGCAGGGGAATTTCCAACATGCTTCATGCTGGGGATAAGTGAGGAGAGGGGTGAAGGGACTGAGCACAAGTACAGGGAAAAGTATATTTAGGTTCATGCAACTCAAATCCAGTGGCATGAGGGTTTTCAATATTAATTTAAAACACTGAAAAAATGTAGAAAGAGGATGACTACACCTCTTATACCCACACTAGTAGCTATTGACTAATAATAAGGAAAAAAAAAACCCAATAAAAGCATTTCCTCCTGTGGGAGAGGCACATCTATTAGAGACACGGCTGTCCCTATGAGCTTCTTGCAGCAAAAGAGAAGTGGCCTCTTGCTAGAGGACTTGGCAGCAGCGAAGTTGGGACGCGTGGGTCCTCGTTGAGGGCTCTGGCCCTGCTTAGCAGCGTGTGAGTAAAGAAAGGAGCCCTGGCAATACCTCCTGGAGCAGCTCCTGTTGGTGCCCCAGCCCTCTGTCCGGCCCTGATGGGGAACAGACCTTGGCCAGGGGACAGCGGGACGTGGAGGCTTTGCCCTCTGCCACTACTTCTAATTCTGACTATGTCTAAGCTAGGGTTTAATTTTCTCTTTTAACTGCTTGCCAGCTAAGTTACCTGGCTGTAAATGCTCTCGAAGATGTTCTCCAGGGATCCGGCGTGCGCGGTGCCCAGGGGCTGCATTTGCCTGAGGCAACGGGGCATCACCCGAGCGTGTCCTGGACCTGCAACGAGACACGGCACGAGCTCATGGAAAACGAGCCCGCGTCCGGGAGCGTTTCCTCGCCTTCAGCCTTCTCTGCCTCACTGCTACCCACCAAACACCACAGGAGCACCGCGTGGCTGAGGTTGGAAGGGACCTTCCAGCTTCTCCAGAGCACCCATTTACAAGGCATAAATGTACTCACCGTGCCGGGCAGCAGGAGACTTTTGTCTGCTCTGTGAGCAGAACCGTGAAGTTAGCAAATAGCTCATAAAATACCTTTTTCTTGCAATTACTTTTACTTAAATGCCAATGTTTACGCCAAAGCAGGTGCCCAGCAAAGTCTGCGCAGAAAACACCTCCTGAGCTGGTGCCTCCCCAGACTCAGGGACACCAAATTAGAGTGAAGTTCATCAGGATAAGTTGCTTTTTTTTTTCTTTTCAGCTAAGGAAATCACTTATCRCCAAATCCTGGGAATGCCGAACAGCCAAGGAGGCAGCAGCCCCAACTGCAARGCCTGGTTTTTAACTAGAGTCCAACCGATGGCAGCATCAGTGTTGACAACTGAGTAACTGCCGAACTGAAAATCACATTCTCCAGCATTACCAGCTTAAAAAKGAGCAAAAGAGCAACTGAATGGAGCATTCCAACATTTCTGGGTCTTAAGCTACATCTCCCCAGCTCAGGGCAGGTTCTGCTTTAGACRTTGCTCTCTCCTCGTGGAAGGTGATTCAGCTTTTGACATTTCTTTCTCTTCCCTTTGCCTTATGGAGCACAACTTAAATCTTTCTATGCTGTCTATTTTCTGTACGTTGGGAGAACCTGTTCTTCTAAATAGCAGCAAATTCTGTTGCCTTCAAGGGTTACAATGACACGTGTGAAGCAAAACGAGGTTAGAARAAGGTTTCACGCTGCAGCACGTGGACGGCTGCGCTCATGCCCAGAACACAACATTTCCACAAGCGATAAAATAGCCCTTGCCATGACATAGAAACAAGCTACTCATTCGTTACCGTTCCTATTTTAAAAATGTTTATTTAGCTGCAAATATTGCTTCTCGTTCAAATTCTCCCGACAAATGCAAAACAGCTTTTTGGTGGTAAATAGCAGGTATTTATTTGAAATGAAAAAAATACTTAAGTACCTGAACTATTGCATTTAATCATGTATTGTAATTGTGTTACTCTACCTTTTTGCATTGGAGACAAATATACAATGAACATTCAGATATCACAGATTGCACACTAGATAGTAAATCTTCAGGCCTTTTACATAACCACCAAAAAACAGATATTGGATTCTGCAATATAGTACAAAATTCCACACTCCAGTCTTAGCCAGTTATCTTCAATTTACTCCTGATGCTGTACAAATAAATGGCCATTTAACTAGGGCTTACAAGTTAATAATAGGACAAAAAAAATATACATTGCACTGACACAAAAAGTCAGCTGTGTTAATAGTCATGCAACAAGTAACCAAACTTGCTGAAATTAAAAATACTTTCTAAAAACAGTCTTAACTGCATAAATATTTTATACACAGTTCATTTACCCAAACCAAAGGAGTCTTTAAATGGTACAAAGCAAAGAGAAGTTTCTACCGAGTTTATACATAAGAAAGTGCAAAATAACTTAGCTAAAGTGTTCTGCTCTCGAGCGGATGCCTGTGGGCCGGGGGCACAGCTTGCACACTACACACAATGTTAGAGCACGGGGGGAAATACACCACGAAGAACAAGGCAGGAGAAGACACGTGAGGTACTCGCAGAGGATACCGGCTACCAATGTTAGTGTACGTGAGTATAGTTTTTTGCCCAACACATTTTTTTGGGTTTTTWAAWTTTTTTTTTTCACATGGAAAACAAAGCAAGGAGTTGCATTAGAAGCTGCAAAGAGGAGAAACGGAAGGATGAAAAGAAAGCCAAGCCACTCGCCAGGGAACAAAGCAGTTGCCCGCAGCACGGGCTGCCGGAGGACGGCCGAGCACGTGGGGTTTCTAGCCCCCCTCACCTCCCAAAAGCAGAGACTAAGTCACAGGGCTGCGGTTAGCGCTCCCAAAATGCTGATTTCTGTGGGTTAATAACTCACCTCTCCCTAGCGAACGTGCAAAGGACAAGGAGCGGGGCTTTTTCCTCCGCTGCCAAATGGGGAAAGTGGAGAACAACGCGGGGACGAGGTGCSCGTGGAGCTGGACGTGGCCAGCTGCACCCTCACGAGCTGGAAGACCTCGCGCGCGTGCCGAACGCCACTGCTGGGCTGTGCGTGTCGGGATGACACCGGCGCCGCTGCCGGCAGCCCTGCTCTCCTAAGGGGCTGAACTGCGCCGCTGGAGAAGTTTCAGTTGTTTTTGGATTCCAAAGGGATCTGTTTGGGTCCGCTAAGCTAAATCAACCTGCATTTACTCAACAGTGTGCAAGGGCTCTCAAGAAGCCTTTCTGCTCGTTTGGGGACCTCGTACACAYACCGAAACAGGAATTCATCTCATTTTACAGACCAGCACATCCATAAGAAACCAACATGTATCCAAATACATAGTAAACCTTCAGTGCATAAACATGTGATATCAGGGTAAGTAGTAAGTGGTCAGGATTAACAAATTACTCCCTGCTCGAGCCTCAAATCAAGAGAAGACAGACRTGCCCAGGCAGTGCCGGGGACCCTCCGGGAGAAGCTCACAGCAGCACAGGAGGAATCCAGAGTTTTGAGCTCTGGATCCAGAGCTACTCCCTGCCTCAGGACCAGACCCTGCTCGGATGGTGCCAGAGAGGGATAAATCTCATTGCTCGGGGTGGCAAAACTCCCAGAAAGGCCAGTAATAGCAAAGCTGAGCTGTGGTCTGTCTTCTGTTGCTTTGGGACACATCCTTACCGTTATTTAAAAGAATCCAYGGTGAATATACCTAAATCTATATCAGTTTGTCACCCATTTACAAAATATATACACGTACAATTAAAATGAAAAAAAAAMAAAMAAAAAAMMCMMMCMAAMAAAAAAAAAAMCCACTCTCCAGACCTCGTTCAGAAAAGTGAGTCCACGGGCCCGAGGCCTGTGTCCCAATCTCAGTGGATGTCAGTGTCACTCTACTTCATCCCACGTGTAGTGCAAAATTAACGACCGAGTAGTTAAAAAAAAAAAAAAAAAAAGCCAATAAATTTTATTCATTAAAACTTTAAAATGTTTTGAGGGAGATCAACTGCTGTCCTGAAGCTGAGACCTGATGCCATGCGCTGGCACGTGAAGACAGGCTTTAGAAGCATTTCYGACATTATTGTTATTAATACTACCCAGTTACAGAGCAGCAGTGACGTTGTTCTCTCTATATATTTTGAAAACAAGCTACAGGACAACAGTGGCAAATTTTACGCCCGGGAAATTAATTCTATCTGCAGGCCGATTGCTAAAGAGGGTAAAAGCTGGTTCTTGTGCTGCATGAATCAGCTGCTAGCAAACACGACACAACGAACAAAACTCCAGCTCTGACATATGTATAAAAGAGGCCTCCTTGAATATGAACAACACTGAGGTGGTAAATAGTTTGGTATAAAATGCAACAAAAGTGTACAGTTTAGTTCCTGGCTATCTTACAGTTAGAATAAAATACTCCGAGTCCTATTCTCAAAAAAAGTTCTCCTTTGGAAAAAATCCAGGTAATTCTACGAAGAGTCTTATTTAAATTAAGATACTGTGGGCAACTGAAAGAACAAACATGCACAGAACGGCTTTTTAACAAAAAAATACACATAATGCCTTCGAGTTCTCTTTTTGTTAGTTTGTTTTTTTAAACATTCATATTTCAGCTGATAGATGAGATAAAAATGACACACAAAGTATAGTGGTTAATCTGAAGTCCCATGTAACAGGCAGTTAAGTTCATAATTAGATAAAAAGGCCATTATACCTATTTACAATATACACAAGTTGCTTGCGAAGAAGGCAGATTTACAACTATCTTCTAAAAAGCCTTCCCCTTGCCCCCCGCCCCCCAAGAAAGATGACTAACTCTACAAAACCAAGACAAGAACCGGTAGTTAGGATAAGTGAGGATTCTCTCCATAGCCACGGCAACAGAGAGCTCTAGAGGTTGACAGTTTCACCATTTTGGAGTCATCACTCCTGTYTTCCTGGGCCTTGCTCTTCATTTAAATAATGCTGTTGGCCTCACACACCTTCAACCAACACAAACCTAGTTCAATGTTCCCTTTGCCTTGCAGTGCTTGAAACGCAGGAGAAGCTTAAGTGTAAACAGGCAATATTGGAATCCCTTCTGCTCCCTGCACGATGCCGGTGCCCGGAGCAACGGCGGGGCTGGACAGGGTCCCCTGGGGCTCCGCTCCGCGGTGGCCGCTGCCCCCTCAATTCCTGGGCCCTTCCTCGGCACCCCGCTCGTGCTGCAGGTTGTAGTAGCAGTTCTGGCAGACCCTGACCGGCGAGGAAATCTTCAGGCGCTTGATTTCCGACTGAAACCGACTGCACCTGTAGGGAAAAACAACGTGGTGAGCACAGAGCCCCTGCCCAGCTGGCTGGCTTTTGGTCCTGGGGCCAAAATATGGGTCAAAACGAGGACTTAAACACTAGCAGTCTGTTCAAATATATCTTGAGGGACAAACGTAGCACAGGCCCCCAGCGCAACGGACCCGAGACGAGTCTCCGCTTCAGCTCCTGACTAAGGGGAGCTCATGCTCATCCTGTGTCATATGGTTTTGTATCTGAGGTTTATGCTCCTGCCTCCCAAATCAGCACCCTGAGCAACGCACGCAGTTCCAAACACAACTGTGCTGCTTAAGGAAAGACAAGAAGAACCATTTGCTGAAAAACAAGTAATTTCTCTTTTTCTCAAAGTTGTCTGGAGACTTCGCTCCCTCAGCTGGGCAACAGGGAGGTTTCCACAACACAAGCAGCTTTCATTTCCCCWTTGATAGTTGGTGCTTAAGTGCTTTAACAAAGGGCCTAGTCTGTGTCTTCCAGAGAGAAGACTGCCTTTCCCTGGAGGTTTTGACAATGTTTTCTTTACCACTTCTGCTTTGCTAAAGAAGTGGAAAAACCTCAGCCTCTTAACAGATCCCAGTGGCATCCCACAGCTTCCCCTAGCCAAAAACTCCGTGCGGAAGAGCCCGAAGGAACGTGCCGAGCGACTCACTTCTGGCAGAAGAGCTGCCCGCAGTTCCTGCAGTGGTGCCGCCTCTCGGTGAGGGAGAACCTCACCGTGCAGCCCGAGCAGCTGTCGCCGCCCTCGTCCTTCACCCAGTGGTCGGCCGCCGAGCGGCCAGGCTGGTCGCTCACGGACCAGCTGAACACGCGGCCCCGGCCGTCCCCAAYCAGGATTCTGCTGTGATCCCTGCAGGAGAACACAAAAGCAAGAGCGTTGCCACAACGGTGACAGACTGGACCTGTCAGACTTGACTCATGTTAAACTCCGGGGGCAGTGASTAACATTGAAGTTTGCCTGGTAGGACGCAGAAACATACATTATCCGAAATAAATCAAATTATTTTAATATTTTATTATCTTAATAGAAGCAGCACAAAAGGGCATTATCGAAAGGGTGCGTGCTGGTTCCTATTGCAGCCCCCATCAGCGCAGAGAAAATGTTTCAGGCAAGCAGTTGTGAGGCACTCACTTAGAGATGCCCAGCGCCGTGATTTCTGCTGGATGTGCGTTGTCCTTGCGGTCAAATGCTGTGTGCATAGTTAGCTTGCTCCGGAACACTAACTGACGCTCCCACCTGTATCCTGGAAAGGAAACAGGAGGAGAAAAAGCAAGTTTACTTGGYGCCTTTTTGTTATTTCTCATCTGCACGCATGCATAATTTGATAAAAAGGAAGAATCATGGTCTCCCCAGAGGCAGACAGCTCTCTGCAACTCACACTTCACCTGCTGATAACACATTTTCAACTGCTCCTCAATGCACCTAAGAAAGGAGAGGCCGGAATACAAGGCAAAGAGACTTCTGAGTGCTCAAGTGTAGCTGAGAGTTGCAGGGGATGCTAAAACACAAAGGTGAACCTTGTTCCAAAGCACAACAGGACTAAGGTAGGATTGCTTCATTTCTTAGAAGTCAGAGGCTGATTTCAAACTGAAGAACAATGCACAGCCTTCTGCAAGCCATTTTTTTTTCTCTTTGCCATTTATCAGCCACACATGAAGCTCAACTGACCGGGGAAAAAACATCGTTTGAAGTCATTTTTTTTCTAGAATACAACGCAGCTCCGAGCAGCAGGGCCAGAGAGGGAACCCTTAGGGCTCGGGGCTGACAGTGCTTGGATCTCCCAGAGGCAGCGACCCCGGCTCACCTGGTTTGAGCTTGCTGTAGTGCCGGGCTTCAGCACAGCTGGCGTGTGAGTGGTTAACCTGAGCGTGGGGATGCACCTTCCCTTGTCCCTCCGAGTAATTCACAAAGATGAAGCCATCTTTCTCATCCAGGCTGAGCTGGTCCGACCAGCGCCTGGAGTCATCGGAGCCGCTGTCTGCCGACCACGTCGCTGCCGCTCTGCTCGACGACGACCTCGGCCGGTGGCTGGTGCTGCTTGGCTGACTCTGACTCTCTTGGGGCTTCGCCTCGTGGCTCACGCACGGATCATCTGCCTCGGAGTCGCTGCTCTCCTCCTCCGGGGCTTCCTGCCCTGGATGGTGCAGGGAGAGCGGATGATGTTAGCAAGACCCGTGCGCTGCCTGAGCTCTTTGCCTTTTCAGCAGCTCTGCTGCCTTTCTGCAAAGCTCAAACCACCAAACGCTAAGCAACGGTGAAAGGCAGGCTGAGAAACCCAATAGAGATTTGTTAATAAAAGGTTTTGTTAATATAAAAGTAGCGACTGCCAAATGTTTACTTTCCTACTGRAAAAAGGAGATATATTAGTATCATAAGTTTCAGATCCAAATCCAGATCATACCTACAACATGAAGGGGGAAAGATAAATGAGGTAAACAAATGCCCCATTAAGGATGGACCAAATTCTTCCTGAAAAGAAAAATCATGTAGCCAATATTGCTTGTCTGAAAACACACAACTCCATTACTAGGTTTTAAAGTCTAATATCATGCCRTGATTTTATTTAAAGAAATATTTAGCTTTTTGACAGTGGTGGCGTTCACTGGGTTTATTGGCAACAGAAGCAGTCACGCAGAGAAAAGTTTACTCCAAACACAAGCTGTGTGGCATGGACRTGATTTCTTTCTATTTGTAGCAGTGTAAAACCAGCACAAGGAAAGTAATGAATGAAGATTCCTATTTTAATTCCATGTGGGATGTCTATTCTATGTCAAGACAAAATCCGTAACATCCATTCTGCACTGCACAGGATAGAAAAGGTCAGATAAAAGGCAAATAGAAAACAATGGTCATAGAGACATACCTATCTGGGCTTCCTGACAATCCTCTTGCATTTCCAGCATTTCCACAGGCTCTGGAGCTGGTGTTTCTGGTACCTGCAAAAACTCCATCCGCCAGAACTGGAGGGACGGAAGGAAAGCACATATTGAAGTCTTAGCTGTCTTCCTCGCTCTCCCTAGGGCTAAGGTGGCTCATCAAAACTGTAAATCTGCACTGAGAGCGTGAAAGGCCACATCTCCATTCTGAGTATTTTGGTTTTTTTTGGACTGTAGATACTATAGCAGGCATGTATGTTCATGCCCGAGTCACAAGTGACCAGGGCACATGATATTATTTAACATTTTAGACTGTTCAAAGCAAAAATCCACTCCATACTGCAATCTGGCCAGTAGACCCAGGACTGCACATCAAGCACTGAAAATCAGGCTGCATGCTGCTAAAGTTTCCGATCTAGTCCCTGGCAAATTACTTCTCCAAAGGTGCGCAGGACAAAAATTGGCAAACAAAAGCCACCATCTACAGGCAGAAAAGCTGGTGACCAAAATAAAAAGTGACTGGGCTAATGGCACAGTTTGGTTGCAGCACSAAAAGCAAGCTGCATTGCCTATCTGATCTGGAGCTCCCTCTTCCCCCAGGGCTCATTGGTCTGAGAGGAGCACAGCAGAGCTGCTTTGGGTCCTGCCAGGGCTCTATGCTGCACGGCCAGGACCTCTCTACCTGCTGCTAAGGGACCTACCCGGACAACTCCATCCGAATGTCCCGTCACGATGACATTCTGGGTATCCCACTCGTTCATCTCCGACACAAAGCAGCACATGATTTGCTGGCTTCGGCCGGTGAACGTGTTCACGCTCGCCGTCGGGTTGCCGTTAATGCTCCACACGTGGATGTAAGTGCCAGCACACGACACGATGTCCCCCTGAAAAGACAAGAGCAGTCTTGATCTTCTTGCCACAAATAAAATAGAGGCTAAATTTATTTGCATAGTTCAGCCCAAACAGATTTTTTTTCTGAAGTTCTATACAAGCTGAGTTTAACTATCTAAATAAAGAGGATAATTCGCATTTTAAAAATTATTCCTAAATTTGCTTCCATAATTTCCTTTTGAATTTGCTTCCAAAATTCCTAAATATGCTTCCATATGCATGGTAGCTTGTAAACGTAAGAGTTGCACCTCTTAAGTTAAGAGCTGCACCTTTTAAACTTAAAGCTGGTGCAGCTTTATCTAATATACCTTCTGCTTGAAATTTTAAGAGAAGCCAACCAAGGTTACATATGAAAACGTTCCCTTAGCTGCTGTAGCAGGTGTGACAACTGGCTCTGAGCGCTGCACTAAATATCCTGCTGCTGGCCCTGCATGGAACAGGCTCAGGTGAATCTTTAGATCAAAGGCACAATTTACTCCCTAAAGCAGGTAATACAGGTTTAAGGGGAATTACACAAGTTCTCTCAAACCCACAGAAGAGCTCAGTTGTTTTCATTTTGCTTTAGCAATCTCAGGGTCACTGTGAGTGGCACTGGGTTCTTACCGTTAATTCATTTATACAGAGAGCTGAAACGGGAGCCCTGTGACCTCGAAGCTGCGTCAGGAAGGAAAGTTTATTCAAATCCCAGATGATGCAGGTGCGATCCCGGGACCCACTCACAATTATGTGATAAGCTAGCGATGCTGTTAAACACGTGACAGTGTCAGTATGGCCAAGAAGYGCCTGCAAAACAAAAATCAAGGACAATACACGGCGGTCAGGAGAGAGCACAAAAAGTATTACATGGAACCCCTTTACTTAAAGGGATGCAGAGAATGTAGACATGAATGATCCCACCAAAAGGATCACATGGACTGATAAGTAAAGTATTTAAATAGCAAGAATTACCATAATCAAATTTTTGGTACGGATTTATTTATTTTTTTTTTTTTTCCATTTGACAAGTAATCTTAGTAGTCCAGACTTTAGGGGTTGGAAGATATGGCTGGAGTAACCCAAAATAATAAATAAATAAATAAGAGAATCTGACCCTTCCTGCTTCCTCCAGCTGCATTACAAGCTCACCTATAGGATCAGTATATAACTTGCACAGTTAAGACAGTCACCCTTCCTTGTTTATATAAAATATACTTGTTTACAAGTATATTTTATGTGCAGCGCAGAATCCGCATACAGAACAGAGTTTTACTGGATTTTACCTGTTTCAGTGTCAGGGCTTTGGCCTTTTCTTTGGAGCTGCCCATTTCCCACACGCACACCACCGTGCTCGTTCCTCCCGTGATAACCAGCTTGGGGTTCGGGCAGATGGCGCACAGGATCTGCCCCCATTCCGACAAACCTTCGTACACGATCACCGCCTGGAAACAAGGGACAGGAAGAGGTGACTTGCAAAACTGGTGCCTGCTCCTTTCAAAAGGGCAGCTCGGGCTGCTCTGGTTTAACATCCGTTTCACAGCTGTTAACGGTGTGGATAATTTATTTGTGCAAGATAAAAATAAAACCCTGAGTGCCACCCTGCACGCTGGCCCTTTATAAAATGAAGATATAAAGATACTGTAAGCCCGGATGCAGGTTTTCCTCAAACAGAACCAATTCCGATCTCTGCCACAAGATGGGTCCTGCCAGAGCATCAGAGAGGAGCTTTTACCGCGTGGATTTAATTCACAAATTAACTGGGAACATTTTTAAAGATATTATTAATGTAATGTATTAATGTAATTTAATGTATCATCAATGTAATGTAACATGTTTAATGTAATTCTTCTAGCGTTCTAATGTCGACCACTGGACAGTGAGCAATAAAACAAGCATGTAACATGGAAAGATTGTTCAGTTCATGCGTGGAATTTCCCTACAACAAACCACTTTCTTTTGCTCCACTCAGCACTCAACCCAGTTGCAGGGCACAAACCTTGTCCGACTCGTAGGTCCCCAGTCTACAGCTGAGATCTGCATAGCCCCAAGCGAACGTTTTATTCCACGTGGGTGGGATGAGAACCTTGTTTTGCTCCACGGCCAGAATGCCCTTGTCGGTGCACACGATCTGTCCCACGGGCTCCTTGAGCTCTGCAAGAGAGGAGAGTGTCACTGGTGACAGGTTCACATGGACAAGCCTCAGTGCCCATCTCCAGCAGCCCCTTCCCAATCCATTTAAATGCCCCAAACACTCAACAGGGACAGGATCTGGGTGGTTCAGGTTCATGGCCACAGCGGTGGTGCTTTACGGGGTATTCCTAACGTGYAAAGAGCTAACGGAGACTGCAGCTTGGAGCTCTGCTCCCACCCGAGTCACTGCACGAGCYGCCTTTCAAGCCCAAGATGACCAGAAGTCATCTCTCCAACCCTCATGGCCATTAGAACCAACCCTACCATTTTTGGTGCAGTTAGAAACATGCATTTTTTTGGTCCTAATTACAACATCTTGGCCAAGCCTTTCAACCAGCTGCATTTCTAACCACAGCCTGTGGTTTCCTACCTATTTTTGTCAAGCTCTGCAAATAAAGATGAACACATCCACGTTTCTTGTCTTAGAAAGCACTACTCCTGTTGTATTTTGTCTAACCAAAAAATACCCTTTTTGGTGTCAGTGTGACTGCTTTCCTGCCAACAGTCCAAGCACTTCTTGGTGCTGTTGGGAAGGAATTCTTCTGCTACAGCAAAGCACAAAAATTGAGTTCACTCAAGCCCCAGAAGCCAAGGGCCCTGAATATTGTCTACACACCTCTGGAACTGGCTTCACACACAATCCGCCCAACTTAAGACTTTAAGGATATATGTGGACCAAATTTTATCTTTTTTAATTTTAAAAGTTATGTTGAATAGGTACAAATTTTGTGTATTTTTAAGATAAGCATGAATGCAATATTATAGCATTGGGGTATTTTAACTGCCTTTGTAACAAAAGCATAAACTTCAGAAACGACAGGAAAGAAAACAAAGCAAAATATGAAAAGGGGCTTTATTTGGCTGGAACTACAAATGCTATGGGAAAGGAACAGGAGTAAACAGGCTGCTTTTAAGTTTTACCTTTCACTGGTGCAAGGGATGGCCGCAGGTTGTCTAAATGATGGAAAAAAATCTTGTCACTCGCAGAACCAGGGGGCACAGAGGTTCCCACAGCCTCTCCATTCATTCGGCTTCTAACCCGTTTGGGCGGGTGCGGCTTTTTAAAGAGCTGAAGAAACGAGCAAGAAAGGATTTCTAAATAGTAAATGATATCTAAATAATCATCTAAATATTTGCAAGGCTGTAAGCATGACAAAACATTAATGGTGACTGATACAGCTTCCGAAAACAGGCAGATCAGCAAAAGTTACCTCAAAGCTTTTAGTATTCATGACTTCACTTATTTATGACAATCGTTTTAAAAGCACTGCCATAAGTAATATAAAATCCAACTGGCTATAGCGAGTAAAACGTTTTTCAAACCACACCCAGTTGCAAAAACAGTTGAAGGAAAGTGAGCAGAAACCCTGAGGGTGACACACAGCGTGGTGAACAGTTCTAACCCAGCTTTGAAAGGAACCTTGTCCCACAAACAGCTGGACACTTGCAGAGTGTGGAACTACCAAATAACAGAGCAACTGCACGTGTGGTCAAGGCACTGAACCACGTATAACAATTATGATCAAGAAACATGCTTTAACCCTTAGTTGTTTCATGCCTATCTCATGATAGTGAATCAGTGAGTTTCCTTCATACTGCTTTGGTGCTAATTCCTGACATCTTGACTAATCTCAAAGTACTGCAGTTTCAGCAAGAAAAATAATTCCTTTCTCCTCTGAGTTACTGTTCCTCTTGGCTTCTCCCCTTGGCTTCACCAGCAAGTGGGATCTCCAACGCTGGTAGGGCCTGTGAAGCCACCCTTCGAAATGCAGCACCAGCTCCTGAAGTTTCTGCATCCTGGCCTTAAAATAGCAAGTTAAACTACCTTGAACACGCCTGGAGGGAAGAGGAATGATGAGGGGGATGTGGTCCTCGCACCCCAGTCACTACCTTGCTGTACATCTCCCTGGGGAAGATCACAGAGGGCAATAACAAAAGCTCTAAGGCCTCATGAAAAATGGGCTTCTAGAGCCCTTGCCACCAAAAGTGACTGAGAGGAACCGGGGCATTTCTCACGAGGCTCGGGCCCTTGGTCATGCCACCAGGGATGCTGCTTCTYTCGGTGCAGAGCACCCACTCAGCACCACTAGTTAGTTAGTTCCTTGTTAGGAAACAAGGCTCTAGCAGCCCCCTGGGGATAGGACATTTTGACAGGGAGCATCAACAGGCTGCAATGATCTTCCTGCAGAACGGGGGCAGCTGAACCAAGGGCATTCAGGGCACCATTCTTGGACCCCAAAACGATATTTTTTTTTTCAAACTCTCAAATTTCTAATGGATAACAGTCCAAAACAGTTGCAGTGACATAACAAAACCCTGAGGTGCCCCTCCATTTACTGCAGTCTGTTGTTTCCTCTAGTAAAGCATCACGTGCTCTCYGGCAAGTCTCAATCCTACGTTTGTCCTTAACAGACACTTTCAGATTCAAAAGACATTTCCAATCTCATGAGCAAAATGTCCCTTTTATCACATTTATGACTGAAATATAAATAATTGCACATCACTGGAAATATATTTGCAAACAAACTCTCACTCTCAGGATATTTCATTCCTCAAGCACTTGCCTCTTCCTTATTCATGCATTATACAGTTCAACCAGCATGCCATCTGGCAAGTAAGAATTAAGACCAGGGTACCTGCTTTGGKATCTGCCCAAAGTTATTAATGAATCCTATGGTAGCTGTCTCCTTTAACGGATCATTGATGTTATATATGTCCACTTGCCCCTCGTAGAAGAGGTGGTGAAAGACGTTCACGGCTTCGACCGCAGCGGGGCCTTGCTGCTTATAGCCAAAGATCAGGTCGATCCACTCATGCAGATGTGCACTCACAAAGTCACATTCCAGAGCCTGGAAGACCAAGGAGAGGCATTAAAATGGACCACCTCACCCCGACATCGTCTATTTAGGGTCATCAAAACAGGTGTTACCTCCCGATGAACTCTGATGAATTCACGAGGATCTCCCTTGGCCCATGGGGGGAGTATGACATCCCCAAGCTTGGTGCCATTTTGTTTGCAGCCTACAAAAAAACAAAATAAAAACAACTTGAATACAAGGATTCAAAACGTCCTGGTATGATGATAATGGTTCCAAGTATCAAAACAACTATTTTTTCTAGCTAGGGAAGTTAMTTAGATTAGCATTACTTCTTTGTGGTTTGTTTAAGAGTTTCACGGCATGCAGTCTGAGCTCCAGGTCCTTCCCTTCCCTAATAAATGCTCCTTGCAACATGGATTTGTGTCTTACTATTTCTATTTCATTGCATTTACACTTTTCTCTCCCTTCCTGCTGCAGTGAACGAGGGAAACGGGCAGCAGAACAGCCTTTTGCAGCTCCTGCAAGGCTGGCATCTCATTTTACCTACTTAGCCTGCAGTGAAGCAGCCAGCCCTGCCAGCAAGAGAAGCCGTCCACTTTGCAGGCAGAGGAATCTCCGCAGGGAGGTTCATCCCCTGCTCTCTTCTGGACTCCTATTTTCAGCTGTCCTCCCACGGGGCAAACTGAATAAACACAGCAGCTCTAACTTGAGAGACTCTGCAATGTCTGCATTGGGCAGATCTCTTTAGCGTGCACRTAGCCAGGGACATGGCAACTGGGTATGTTTGGAAGGAAAATAAATGCTGGCATGAAAGGGGATAACATCAAACAGAGCTCTCCTGCTGTGACCATTAAAAGGGGGCATATTCCAATTACTAAAAATACATTTTTTAAGAGATACCCCAGGTGCATTCCTGCATTGATTTTTTGTTGCTGAGAGCCACTTCCACACCTCTTATTAATTCTGAGCACCATCAAATCTCCAAGTTCACAGGAGTGTAGGCGCAGTACTTTGCTCCAAGAGAAACATTTTTTGCATGACCAGACTGTGAATATATTCGTAGGAGGGGGAGTCAGAAGAAATTTTTCCTACTGTCKTTCCAAAAGGTCAATAAAGGATTTCTAGGACTTTGTCTGATGATCACAATCCAAAGTTATCTAATATGGAACTAGATGGACTGCAATATTTTTACGGTAACAAACTCACACTTATTTTATTTTTTGTAAGGTTGTAGTTTTAACTTATAATACATTTAAAATAAAGGATCTTAGACTTGTTAAAATTTATGGCTTAATTAAGCCTTATTATTAAAATTTGATTTACAGCACAGAGCTCCAGAGATTCTAGAAATRGTGATATACATAGTAATGCATCTTCAACTCATATGACTAACCTGTGAGTAAATTTTACTGCTTTCAAGCAGTTGTTAGAGTAAAAAATAACTGCTGCATTTCATCAAAAATACTTCAACAGAAATATTTTAAGAGGCAGGTGTAAAAAGTCTTTGCTAAACCTAAAGCAAAGCGCGATAAAGATTCTGAATGCTAACATGGAGCTAAATGTTACCTCCAGGAGAACACAATCCAAGGAAACTCCCAAATAAAACATGAAGATCTGAAGGTTTACGATCAGTTTAAATGTCCTCGTTAATAATTCTTCAACTTTCCCTTCACCACTTATAATTTACACTCACTGTTAGAAAATATTTTCAATCTGATAAATCTAAATGAAAGGAAAATCTGAGGCACTCTAGTTGAAACTAGAATTTCTAGTTGAAACTAGAATGAACTAGTCCAGAATTCCGACTGGACTATTGACAGTGAACGAGCTGTGAACAATTCAGGCTTTCAAATAAAGCCCTGAACATGGTGTTTTAAGGAACGCTAGCAGTAGTCCTTGTAATGTGGGAATGTTCAAGCCACCCATCCTTCTGCCAGGCAGTTGAAGCACCCGCTTTTCCACGCGCATCACAACCCCCTTTTCTCACACCAGACTCAGAGCAGAGCTCTCAGCCGCTTCCGCCCACCTAGGTCAAAGTTGTTGGAGTTGAGCAGGAACTCGGGGAGGTAGAAGAATTCCGGGATGAGCTCCTTGACGTCTGCCATGTTGTGCTTGGAGGCCGAGTACCAAGCCTCCCGCACGCTGTGGAACATTCGGTCGGCCAGGTCGAAGTGCCCGCCCTGCGGCGTGAAGGGAGAGGCACCAACATCAGGGCAGCCCTCAGCACAGCACGTCTGGCCACGAGCCACCTTCCTCTAGCAAAAAGCATTTAAGCTTTTGCATATTTTTTTTTAACGTGCAATAATAGTAAACATAAAGCATCACAGTGCAAATCTATAGGCCTTCCAAGAGAGATGCATCTCATCCTATTTCAAATTTTATTTTTCTTTGGAACAGCAATTCCACTGAAGAGTCTAAGTATTCCTGTCTGATGGCTTCCAATTAGGAACATTTTTAAAATGTAATGTTACAAATCCAATCGATTTTCAAGCTGCCTAAAGGTGCCTGTACACATTTGCTTAATTTAACACTCAGTACTGCACTGGTTCTTTCAAGGGATGGTTCAGCTTTCCAAAGAAATATTGGACACCCCATGGCAACAATCACTCAGCTTCTCTTATCAGAAGAGAGCAAGCAGGCTGATGAAATTTTTTCAAGAGGTTTCAAATACAGAGCAGGAAGGAAACAAAGGGAAATCTCACAGTTTTTACCTGCAGGCGTAAGAATATTTGAGTAAAAGGTTCCATCCGGACAAGGTAGGAAGCCACTATCATGGCAGATGAATAGTGGGTCCCATAATGGTAAGCTGGAGTTTCCCCTACAGAAGGTTAAAAATCACAGACAGAGAGGAAATAAAGCAGTTCAATGATAAAATGAGCACTAAATGAATAAATAAATACATAAATAAAATAGTGCTTCATTGCAGTATCTCTATGACCCTGAACACATTTAAAATTTGGTTTTCCTTCTTGTAAAGGGAGTGTCTGCAAGCCTTGTCTTCTCACGGCTAACACTTAAATTTTGGCTGCAGTCCAGCAGCTGTAATTCAACAGGCTTCTGCCCAGCAATACTGCGTGGTTAGTCATTTTATAGTTTAAATAATTGATATGTTCCAATACAGCTCTTTTCTGCTGAAAGGGCATTTTTACTTTTAGTCTCTGGTATTGTGGACTTCAGAACCTGAGCACAAATGTATCTCAGGATTGTTGGCTACAGATTTTGTACAGCTTTTATTTCCTTAATTTCCTGGCAAAACGCAAGCATAAATACACACAGAATATATTGCTTCATTTTTAAAAGTGAGAGTCTTTGCTGCTTGTTGGTATTGGATACAGAACAACACCGCAGTAGTTATTTAGGCTTTTATTCTAGAAAAGCAGACAAAAAGGAATCCTACATGACAACAGCCTTGACAAATACACATTTTTCTTTCATTATTAAAGAAACTCTGAAACGGAGATGCAATAATTTGACTGTATCTCATGTTGAGGTGTCATGTACTTCAGAAGGACCTATTAGGGTTCTTTTTTGTGTGTGTGGGGGGGGTCACTGTCAGTGTCTCTGTCTCCTTTTCCTGCAGGGTGCATCATTACTTACCATTGGGATCTTCCCAGTCTTTGTATCGTTTCTTGTACTGGGCTAGCCTGTCTTCTGTTTGAGCACCCATGGGCTTGGCCAGGTTTCTGAATGTCTTGGGATTCGTAAGATCCAATTCCTTTCAAAATAAATTCAACATTGCTCATCGCTATTAAACACCATGTACCTCCTAAGACTGTTATCTTTGGTTTCTGTGTTCTCAGCAGGTAAAATCATTCAGATCCTCCCGGATATGCTTTAAAAAAATCCTTCCGTCTGATCTAAGAGAGCCACTGTTTTTATTGTAAACCATATCTGGGATCTGGATAATTTTTGCTCTGTTCCCTTCATCTGGTTTCCCACTTCCCTAATTCTGACCTTGAATACTCTTTGGGTAGCCTAACAATGTTTCATTTTATGGTATGGCTGTCCACGAAAGCATCAAGAGGATGCTTCCCCTTTCTGAAAACCAAATTCATCTTTGGAGCCAGATTTCACAGTGGCCCCTTGCAGAGCCTTCCCTGCAGAGACGTGTGCTTTCTCTGTGGCATAACATCCTCCAGGTTAGATTGTGTAAGGATTTGCACACATGCCCTTCCCTGTGCAGAGTCCAATAACACCAGGAAAATCAGCACAGAAAGGACCTGCCTGCAAAGAGTCTGCCAGGACCCTCTAATACCCTACCCAGCGAGAGGGCGGATTGAACATTACAAATCAGATGACACCAAACAATTGGCAAAAAAAAAACCCAAACAAAACCAAACTTGGTTCTACTACAGCAGTATAAACCAGGTCTAACGTTAGCAAATCTTGAACGCGTAAAATATTACAATTAGGGTGACAAGATATTTTATTTACCTCCGAATCATAATCTGCAAGGATCCAAGGAAAGACAGGATACTGCATGAGATCATTATAGGATCTGCCCGCCAGGGTGTTCAAGTGCATCAGGTACTGGAAATTACTGATTTCTCCTCTCTTAAAGAAGACAGATAACAGTGTTTGTGTTCACTTTAGGGCACTCGAGTGTTCCAGGCAGTTCAGCCCTCCCTAAACACAAAATGTTCGCTTCAAATGCTCTCTCTTTCCTTCCTTCTGCAATCCCACTCGTCCTGCATTTTTAATGGTGGAACAATTTTCTATTTCTCATCAAATTATAGCAACAGGTAACATTACRAACTATAAAGCTGAGATAGACTCTTCCACAGCAATGCATTCCACCTCCTTGACTAAGAGGATGCAACTATCATGTATTAATTATGCATCATGATAATATGAAACATTTAATACAAAATAAATTGTCATACTTACTTCCCATCTCTGAGTAACAGATTTTTCTCCAACTAAAGTGCTAAGCAAGCCAGACCTAGTGGGAAGGAGAAAGAGCAGTTTTTGACTTACCATTAAGATCTGGGTTGCATGAACTTTTCAACACAATTCAAAGTTTTAGAATGAAACTTATAAATCATAACAATTAGAATACCACAGGTTTGTTTCTTTGTTGCTTTAGCAGTTCTTACTTTAGAGAGCAAAAAAATTAATATATTTGAAATGAAGGTGCAATGCTTTCCAGTGAAATGGAAAGTCAATAAAYCTATTTCTAATTGAAACCAATGAGCTCTAGGGATTGGTGGGAATGGAACCACTTACCCTTGTTCTACACTCGTGTTTGGTCTCTGTCCAGACACTGACTCTGAACTGTCAGTTAAAGATGGTACTACAGCCAAAAACCTGTGTCAGCAGTTAAAAGGAGAGTAAGATTAGTGTTTCTGTCCTAGGCATGTCTTCTGCTTGGAAGAAAAATGCTACATTTAATGCAATTAAGGCTTTTTTTTTTTGAGCAAGTATCTAAAATCCTCCACAAAATTGCAATGGCCCTTTCTCACGAAACCCACACTCAGGCTGCTGTGTCTCACGCTGTGCACAGAGCAGGTTTTGTGTGCATGCAGCAGCATTCCCTAGTGTTTCTTTCATGCAGCAAAAAGGTTCTATGACTTCCTATTATCCACGATCCAGCACCAATCACACTCGCACTCTGCACGCTGCTGTCAGAACATCATAGAGTCAGATATGGCCCAACATTAGTGTTAACAAACGCTCAGACTACGTTGTTGAAATTTGACTTATTTTACCATACCTTTGATAAACTTTATTTCTAACCCCCTTTTGGAAAGCTAGAAGATAGTTCCGTCCGTCTCCTGAGAATACTTCAATTGCAATCGGCTGAAAACGAAGAAGACAAACAGCTGTCAGTACTCATGCACTTGCTTGTCACCTCTGGAGCTCAGAATGAGACCAGTTTAGTCATACCCAACAGTGTATGACACCAAATTACTGTGAAGCAGCCTCTCCTTCGTGCTGCCAGCTGTTTTACCCTCAGGACAAGAAAATTCACTGATTTACCCAATAAACTGAACCATGGTGAGCCAAATGTTCAAAGACAGACACTTGTCTGAAGCACCACAGTCAATAAATTCATTTCATTTTTCATAATTTATGGCTTTATCCACCAAATCCCAAAGGCGGCCCCTCAAGCCCAACAGTGATCTGTTACCTGCAACAGGTATCTCCTTTTGTGTACTTCCTTGATATCCTCATAAGCAAAAATGCTACATGTTCTTTTGAGTTGACTCGGACCTTGCCTTGCTCCCCTGGGTATGATTGGCTCGTGCATCCTGCAAACGAGCATAGACAGGAAAGAGAAAAGTGACTGCTAAAGGACATACCAAAAATAGCATCTTTTTCATCTGGATGAGACTGCAGTTATAGAAACAGCATATTTTCACAGGATACCATAGTACATTTTGCAAATCAGGACTACAGAGGAAACTCTGCCTGWGATCTTTCTGAATATGGCATTATTTTGAAGTTTATCCTTCAAACTTTCTGTTAAATTCTCCTCRTCCAGCTGCTAAAGGCTGCCCAAACTCTTTACTATTCCACTCACTTTGGAGGCAACGTCTCGATATCCCGTATTTCCCTGGTGGCTGTCATTGTAAATCCATCAATCACGTAGAAGTGCTCTTTCCCAAAGAGCAGCAGCCCTTCGCTGGTGTCAAGGCCCTGGACTCGAGCACAGCGGTACATATGCTGAATCTGAAATAAAAGCAGGCACTTGAACAGGCTCGTTGACAGAAGCTTAACGAACACAGACTGTTGCCTCTTTGGAAGGTCTCCTCAATTTCTTGCAGACACAGCATTTCTGTGTTATTTTCTCCCTCATCAGAGAGATATATAATGCTGTGCCATGGACTTCAGCTGAAAGAAGTCCACAACACAACAACAGCCTGTTACACATAAGTCCTAAGTATTTYGGTGTGACCTTCCCCTTTTCAGGCCCAACACTAAGGAGGAGATATGCTGAAATCACACAGAGGGTTTTGCGCTAACTTACGTTACCCCATCTTTAAAAAAAAGATAATTTATATTCCAGACAAACGCTCGACTTTCGAGCAAACCTCTGACATTCAGGTTGACACACAACTCTCTGAATTACAAAACGAAGATGTGCTGATTGTCTATGCCATATGTCTACAGTCCTGACAACAGCCAAACTCCCGTGTTAGCCTTTCCTTCAACGGGACAGTGGTTTATGTCTCCCTCCAAATGCTGATTTCCACCAAATTTACATGGATGTATATGAGACCTCTAGGCCTTATGTCCAAATTGGTTAAAACTAATGACAGTCAGAAACTGCAAGCACAATCCCTTACGCTGCATTTCTCCTGCAGGCTGGGCTCCAGCACAAGAGAATACAACCCAAGTGGAAGAAAACACTATTAGAGAGGTCAGTCTGAATATATTTTTGTTGCAGTATTAAAACTAATTTGCCAACTGCAAAACTCACTCAATTCCTAAGCATACAGACAAGCTATTTAATTACAAAACCCAAAAATTCCAAATATGCCCAAATTTCTGTCTTGCAATCACTATCTTTTTTTTAAATTTTCATATTATATGAACTAGCTGCAATATGTAAAATCACATAATGTCATCTAAATACATTTCCTCTCACACTAAAATGTTTTTTTTTTCTTTGGGTATGTATGTATCTCTGCTGAAGTGCACAGTCCTCCCCGCTCCTTGAGCATATTTAGTCCAATGACACCTGCTGAATTCAGTACCTCTATTTTTAATATATAWWTTTTKTTGACAGTATAATAATCCACTTATGAGACARCTTTGGTTCCAGGATAGATTTTTTTTCTTTCTCTAGCAGACAGAAGGAAGGAAAAAAAATTGCTTTCAGTACAAGGTTTTCAGCACGGAGTCTCTTTGAACATATTTGCTTTTGAGGACGCTGCAGGGAGAAGTCGATGGAATATTGAAAAGATTCAGCTGTAACACAGGGCAAATCTTTAGGACATGTATCTGTGCTTGCCATATTTTGTATGGAAATGACAATACAGTAAGTGTTCAGTGCGTCTGAAGTACACATTACCTTCTCTCCTTCCTCAAGGAGTCGAAGCAAAGTGGTATTGTCCGTTTTCTCTTCCTCATCAATTGAGCTCCCCTCAACAATTTGATCCTGCAGCTGCTCCTGGTTCTCCTCATCTCCTCCATCAGGAGTAGAGCGGGATCTTTTTAGAGGAGGTTTKACTAGGCCTGGAAAAGAAGAAAAGAGATATAAAGCAAATAAAATGAAATAAAAAAAGGACATTTATCACATTAAAAAAAAAAAACTAATGAATAAGGATTCAGCTTGCAAAAGCCTTTAAACTTCAAAATTACTGATCCAATGCTCACATAGGAAAAACAGACTCCTAGAGGAGCTTCACGTTCACCTTACCACTAATGTCAAACATGTAAGATGTCAACACATACAAATTTAAATGAAGCACGTGAGACAGGCCAGCGCCTAACCTTTGACTCTGGCAATAGTGTCCTCGCCGTGCTCAGGCTCCTGCTGAGCAGTTTCACCCACTGTGTTCTCCTCTATGGCGTCCTGGAAGACGGCAGGGTTTCCCGAGGCCAGGCGCATGTAGTACTCCTTGCTGTCGTAGCTTATGGCCCTTCGGTAGCGAGCGGGTTTCTTGGGAATAAGTGGACACGGTGATTAGTCAGGCAGCCCCTTGTTTCCTTCCCTCGAGGCGTTTCGAGGCTGCTGTGTGCAGCAACGTGCCTGCCCGCCCCGTGTTCTGCGTGTGCGCAGTGCGTGCCAAGACAGACAGAAGCAGTGACTCTCCAGTAGAAGGCTCCATATATGATCTAATTTGCAAGGGAACTATATAGCCCCTGARGTAACGACTGGATGGGGGCAAGGCCTGCAGATGAACCTTCGAGATGGGAAATAAACGCGGCCAGTGTGTTATGAACTGCCACAAAAGGGCCAGGGCTTACGATTGATGGCCATTTCATCAACTTTCATCACTCCCTTCAGCATATGCAGCATATTCATTAGCCTGCTGAATTATTTTGCTGGGAAATAGTTTAAATAAAATGTTGCCTCTAGGACAGATAAAGTTAYGTGAAACTGGTATGAACTGAAATCAAATAGGAGCCAGGGACCTGTCTTGAAGCCTCAGAAATTCTTAATTCAGGGTTTTGTTTYCTTAGTAAAACCTCTAACTACATTTGCTGGCAGCAGAATGACACAAGAGGGTCTATTTGACCAGAGTAATTCCCTGAGCATCATTTGTACCTTTGAGTAACTGCAATGGATTACGATGCAATTCATTATGTTTTAGTGCGTTAATTCTTATCTTCCTCGCTTTATTAAGGAGGTAACATTTGAAGAAAAAAAAAACCCAAAAAGGAACAATTAAATGAGGGCAATAAATACATCAGGCTAATATCTGAAGATAAAGGTAGGAAGGAAACTGCCTTCTGCTTAACCCCAACACTCTAGAAAGCTCGGGCTGCTTTTGTGTTCAGCCCTCTCAAAATTATTTTGTAGTACTATTTCCCAATTTGTAATTAGATTAGAAGAAGTGCAAAGTTATCAGTCTTTTCCAATGCTGTACAATATGCTGAAGAGCAGACTGTCACCTCCCATTTTAATTAAGATATTCCCTTACACAATTCCGCAGTAATTACTGAAAATATCCAAAGATGTCATTTTTTTGGTTAATCTTTATGAACTGGGAAACTAAATGACCCATAAAAGCATATTAGCTTTGTTACGAATGGAYGCACTGGAAGATTAAGAGGTTAATATTAGTAACATGTAGATTTATTAYTTCAGGCCAAATTGGTTGGCCCAGKATCTGAAGACRTGAGGTGACATATCTGGGTTTCTGATTTAGGGTCCATTCTGGGTCTTCATCCCTCAGCAAATGCTAGTTAAATAGCACACAAATGCTACCTAAATACTATTAAATTCACTTGTAGAAACAACTGACCACCAGTCTACAAAGAAGAACCCAAGCTAGCACTGCTAACACCAATCGAGGAAATCTGTAACAATTACACTGGATATTTCACACAACAGCCACTCATTTTTATATATTGTTCTACCATCATACATAATAGAAATGAGTGAGCACACACTGCACACTGTACTTAGTGATGGGCAAGGCTGAATGTAATTTAATACAGAAATAAACGGATGCTCAAGGGCCTAAGGCACTGCCAGGTGGGAAAAGGGGTTTGCAGGAGGCATTTCTGGAAACACGTTTACTACGTTGGTCCTCTCTGTTTCTTAATAATGAAAACAAGGAGAGAAAATTTGTCTCTAACAAAAACAGGCCTGTTGCAGCCCATAATAGCCCGTATAACAAGAAAAAACCCCAACTGTTCTCCAGATGTTCCGTTAGAAATAAACACTTCCTTTGCTAGTAAGTGCTCCCAAGGATCACGTTGCCCATTACTAAACATGGTTTGCAGATCATGAGTTGAGATCCCAAGCCAACACGCTTGGCACAGTGAGAACAGTGACAGCACAGCCCAACACAGCCTGTTAGTGTGCAGCAAAGACGGTAAGAGCTACAGAAAGTTTTATTAGGTGAGGACCGAAGAGGACACAGTGACATCTTCTAGGGTGAATACTGAAAAAAGCCCTTTAGTCCTGGGAATATTTACTGAAAGAGCAAGTTGAAAGCCAGTCGTAGAAGCCTTGTTAGGATTGCCTAACATGCAGGAGGGGAAAAAATAACACGGTTTTTACGGTTTACATTCTTTCGGTCGGCGTGTTGGTTTCTTTACCTTTTGAGGAATGGTATCATCAGGTGTCTCAGGAAGTTTACTTGGGAAGTCAGACTGAAAACAGGGCATTAAGTATAAACATCAGAAAAAGAACATGTTTGAGAAGAACGTATGGTATGCTCTCCACTTGGTGCGAGTTTAATTGTCATTAAAACCAATGCAGGTCAGATTGCAAGTAMAAAAATATGCCTAATGGTATTAACCTGGTCGTGTGGTTTTGACATGAAAAGATCAGGATACCCATTTTGCTTCATTTTCATGCTCCCAASCTCTCAGCAATTCAGGGCTAATGACAACACTACAGGCTAAACTTTCACCTACGGCTTCAAAACCACAGTACTATATAGAGTTAGTGCTGGGGTGAGACACTTAACCCTGGCTTAAAATATTCCTGCCCATGAGGGATCAACCAGAGGCCTTTGTAGCTTGTTCCAGGGACTGCTGTGCAGYGTAACGCTCTGGGAACAACTCTTATTATTTTATTCATTTAATGATTTCAGCCACATGGTCCCACACACCTGCTCGTGTGCGTGTGCAAATACGTCTGTGATTACATTACTTCTCTGACAAGCTAAATACACTTACATTTTGGAGTCTCGTTTTTAAGCTTGTTTTCCAGCCTGCTTGCTATTTTTGACTTCAACTAAACTCATACCAATCTGGGAATGTTTCTTTTGAACTGGCTCCAGGATGCTACCAGCTGCACTGGCACCACTGTTTGACACTTCCCTGCACACCCATGTCCCAAATCCACTCACTCTCTCCACGCAGCGTAGCGCCAACACGCACTCAGCTAATTGTCCATTTGAGCCATTTTTCACTTAAATCCTTTCCACAAGCACTCTGCTGTTTTTCTTCCAGGATAAAGTCTCTTACTGTTTAAATATGGGCTACATGTTTGCATATTGGATGGGTGAATCAATATTTAGCTGCCAGGTTTTTTTGAGTGCAACCAGATTTTTCAACTATTCATGTCATTACCTAAAACTGAGCTGCTCAATATATATGAGTTTATGTTGACTAAACCCAGGATCTGTTTGTTTTTAGTTTTCTTTCAGATCACTGTTTAAAGTGCTACATAGCCCGAGGCCAAGAACCCAGGCTGAAACTTCCCATCATTATGGCACTTTGCAGCTTACAGTTACTCATGGAGATCACAAGAGTTTCCAAGCTCACTGAGTTGTGAGTTATCACTGTTTAGTCCTTACATTTAAATTAAAACTAAAAGCAGTGCAAATTTTAGAGCAGGGCATGCAATTACTCATGGCAGAGCTGCGAATACTTACCAGCAAATTCGTCTCTTGCTCAGCCTCGGGCATGTAGGGATACTGGGTGTAAAACATGTCGTTCCGCACCATCTTCTTCCTCATTCTGCAGGGACCCTCGGTCATCTCCAACATCCACTTGTCAAGATGGGAGCCGATGGGAGGGCCCCACAGGCCCCGCTCTCTCAGTAGCTCGTATTCAATTTGGGACCACTCCTCTGTCACGTATTTTAACGCGTTCTGCTGGCGCTAAACACAAAGACATTGGGGTGCGGGTGTCAAGAAAGACATTTTAAGCTCGCGTCTGATGGGAACAGAGTGATTTTCMCTACAATGCAATAATGCAATATTTTGAAGTTCTAGTAGTATTTTCTAGTAGCCTTCAATTGGATTTCTACCCTCCACTACAAYAAAAGAAGGGCTCATAACGTAATTTTCTAAAGAAAAAGAATGGCAGCCCTGCTTTTGCTTTATTTTTAATTAGATACACATACACACATAAACACAGGATATATACAACCTAACAGTTAAAATATCAACTTCAAAACAGTCGTTTTAGGTAAGTCACTGAAGCATACCTCTTGATATTCCTTATACTGCATATCTACGAGGTCCCGAACCACTGCAATGTGAGTAAACATCCACTGGGAGATTTCCTAAAGCAAACAGAAGAGGACAAACAGAATGTCACTTCATAATTGCACAGTTCATTTGAATACACCCTACAAAGAACCTACAAAGAAATCAGGTAGGTCACCTGCTTACATAGAACAGTTTCTTAAAAGGAACAAAACAAAAAAACAAACCCCCAAACAACCAAATCCACGCGGTAATATTATTTTAAGTACTTATTTTTAATTGTAATAAAATCACGTATAGGAATATGCTTTAAAAGAGACCATCAAATGCTTGGAAAATATTTCAAGTGTATTACTAATAGTTCTGAGCATCCCAAACAGATTAGCATCAAAGAACAAATATTACTAATTCTCCCTGTTTCCTTTTAAATCATAGTTTGTGGATGATACCTAAGGGATGTGCCCTTAAGAGAAATAGAAAAGGTACAAGCACCTTTCTTGCACATCCCTTTTTAGTGGTGCAAATACTGTAACTCTGAACATACCCTCTTGACATTTATGTTTTATTAATGGGTAGAAATTACCTGTGTAGAGAGATTGTGTTTGTTGAGCCCACTCTCCTTTCGGTTTCTCCTGGAACCGGTTAGTTTGGAGAGGCCAAACCCGCTGCTAACTCGTGAGAGCTTCGACTGGGTGGTAGGAACCAAAGCCTCTCCTCTACTGATGCATTTCTTCTCATGGGCTGAAAAGCAAAGAGGAGAAGTCGGGGGGTTTGTCATCCTTGCATTGCTTTTTAAATAATCCTCTCCGTACTCGTAAGAATTCTAAGAGCATCCAACAGCATTCACATTCATGTCAACAGCCGTGCCTGCCTTAGTGAGGAAAGCTTTGCAGATGAAATGTGGGAATTTCACGCGTTTTGAGATTAAACATGAGAAACAGATTTGTTATCAAAAACAGGATCCACGAACTGTGAATTCTTTCCTCATCTGAACAGATGATAGATAGGCTGGAAATGTAATAATGTTAATTTTGCTGGATCACATCTCCTAAAGAAAAAGTACGGATTTCAAAGAAGGGAGACAGCGTCTGAAAAATATTTTTTTYCCCCTCAAAAGAGAGATAACAAAACATATTTCATTTGCATTATAAATAATGTGCACCAGCAAAAAAGAGATTCAGCTGATTCTTCCTTTCTCTTCCACAAAAAAACTGTTGCAAGAGAACCCCACTACCAGTCTGCTGGCAAAAAATGCTCTATTTTGAGTTTGATTGGGCCCACTACACATCCTTGTGCAAGTAAATTCAAATCTCTCTATAGCTTAAACTTCTCTCTATGGATCATACTAACCAGGAATCACACTGTATATAAGTTTGGATATATATAAATATTATTATAAAATTACATTTTATGTGATACATATAGGTGATAAATCTGATATTATATATATGATTTATAAAGTACGTGGCTTTGTTTTCGAATGGGAGGTGATATGTGGTAACATTTTGAAAGTATCTGCAAATACAGTAGGAACAGAAAAAAAGTGAAGCTCTTATTAAAATATCCAGCACATGGGGTTCAATTCAGGGAAACCTCCCCTTCTGATAGATATATCTTCAGTTCTACCTACCCAAATGATTTTGCCAACACTTTAAACTTGCTTCCTCAATGAAAGGTCTCGCGACAGTTATATCCACTTGGCCACGATCGTTGACAGGTAGAGTCACTTTGAAAACCTCTTCTAAAACCTGTTTCTTACTATGAATCAGTTCTGTCCACACTCTGTTTATGGCTTTTAAAAGAAGCTGGCGACCTGCAATGGCAACAAGATCAGAAACAGCAAGTTCTATCTGGTGCTTATAAAATTCCTATTTTTACAGTAGTAAATTGTAAAATTTGAACAATTACATTGTGCACACTTATTTTTGCATGACTTCTGATATGCCTCGGCTGACCCTTTTCACTATTTATGCRCTTTAGAAAACATCTAGCAGTTCATTTTAGTAAATTTTCCTTATGAATCTGAAGCTCTAGCTCTAAGTGTCTRTTCTTCCTGGATATTTTATATATATAGATATAGAGATATATATACATATATATATATATGTGTGTGTGTGTGTGCACGCATGTATATGCACAAATATTAAATATATACGCAGAGAGGTGAAAAATAAGTTACTTCCACAGTCAGACTGATAATTTTTCCTGAGAGCGAAAGATCCCGATGTTTTCACTTAATAATAATTTACATTTTAAGGAAATTCTTTTCCCTATGCTCATGCAAGACCCAGTTCATACAGAAGCATGGTGCACTTGATCCACACATATTGCATTCAATTCTGTATGTATAAATTTATATTTCTAATTCTGGTATGTGTCCTGGAAGGAATGAAGACCTCTTGCTATTTTTAAAGTATAAYAATTCATCCTGGATATTTCTTTTTTGGTATTTCTAAATGTCTTTTTTCGTTATTTATATATACATATATGTATAAAACATGCACAAAAGTTTTTCTTCTATACTGCTCTATCCCAGCTCAAAGAATAACTGGGGTAAAAAAGCAGTGGTGACAATAGATAAGTGGCATTAGCAGATATCTGTAGCTTTGCCACCCTTAGATGACATTACCTTCACTGATGTCTTGATTGTAAACTCCATCTGGCTCGATATCAGAGGGGATCATTATGTGCCACGTTGTCATCCTGGCTTCTGCCTCCAATCCAAAGCCATCTACATTGCTACAAACACATAATGCTTTAACAACAAATATCGACTGCATCATTTCATCTCCTGYGACAATGCGATGAAGATTACTGCATGCTGCTACAGCAACGGGTCTTCCTTTCTGCCCGCTTGACTCCTGGAGATCTGCAGGCACAAACTGAACTGCAGGCATGCGAAAGAGGACGTGTCGTGGGCACTGCTCTTGCTGAGGGAGGACAGCAACATTTGAAGAAAAACAAACCCCTAATGCTGTAAATATACATATCCATGATTCAACAGACAGCAAATCCAGGGGTTTTGCATCACGACAGGCTCCTTTCGTTATTATTGACTTAGCCCTGATGTTGCTTTCTACTTTGAGAAGCTTTACATTGTGAAAGCTTAATAACACAACTGATTAATAAAAGCTTAATAACAGATCCGATTAATAAGCACTCATATGCCAGGATTTAAAAACCTCTGTAAAAAGGCCTCTATTGGCTAGAGACACATTCTTCAAACCTGTATTTGTTTCAAAATGAACTATTTGAGCTCACTTTTACTTTACCGGATTGAAAATTATACACAGTTATCCAGAATCCACTGACCCATTTGCAAGGCAAGAGTTGGAGTTGAGAGGGAACAGGTCATTTCAGTAATTTACTTTTTTTCTGGAATGACCTTCTGAGATATTTACCTTCCCACRTGCAGATTAATCAAGCAGTGAGCTAGGCAGCTGATGAACTCTTGATCATGATTCCCGGGCCCCAAAATCAAGTTTCTGTTCATAGTGAGGACTCTTAGGGAATCGAGGAGAGCAACTTGCTGAGGCACAGTTTTGTGTGCCCTTGAGAACTGATACAAGATGGTCCTATTCAGGCAGTGGTAAATGGCATCCAGCGATAATCCCTGAGATCTTCTTTTTGACTGATGGAAAAGTACAAAATACGATCAGATAAAGGCAGAAAATCGTTGTAATGGCAGATATTCTCCCCATGAACTGACTCATGCTGATTTTTCACAATTTTTATTTTACCCAGACTGTGAAAATTCTACCAATTTCTGGGGCAGAAAAGTTATTAATATGTGATATGATATACTTAAAATTGCAGCTTCTATAAAGGTCGGTTTATTAACATTTCCTTTATTTCTAATAGCAAAAGTCTGCAACAGCTGCCCACAGAAGAGGATGAGTAAGCATCCCAGAAAGCCGCATGAGGCAAATTTGGTTGTTCATTTCTGGGGTTTTCTCAAAACTAACTTAATCTGAAAGCAGTTTTAACACACTGCAAAAAAGACATGTTAGGAAAGTTCAGTAAAAAAGCAAGAGGAACAGCCTGGGGAAGAACAGCATTCTCCTATGTAGGCCTAAGTGGGGCCCCTTGCATTTTAGGAGTTAAAACGTTTAACTGACTCCCAGTGTGTAAAATTGTTGTGTAAAGGGAATTGCAATGCCTCACCCAAATATTATGCAGCTTCTTTAGTGATATTATTTGGTGGAYTTTAATGACTCTTTTTTGGAGGTTAACAGGAGAACGGCGTTACCTGTGCRATGAGCTGGATTATGAAGTCCACAAGAAGTTTGGATTCTTTGTTGAACATGCCCTGCCAAAGCTTATCTACCACRCGCTGTGTGAAATAAAACACATTGTTCACCAGCACTTGATAGCTTCCTCCACTTGTTATAGGCAGAGATGCATCTTCACCTAGAAAACAGTAAAAGGAATTTTTCTTCCTTTGCTGAACAAAATGTATATACACAAATACTTCTCCATCCTTCTCCAACTATTTAAAAGGAAACTGCCATGGAATTACAGYGCAACTGATGATTTTATGTGAAAAATCAGGCTGAAATATGAAAATTCTTGTGGGAACTGTTAGTGATATTCAACACTTGCTGAGTTAATGTCTAACACTAGACCAATCAATAGCCTGAGGTCCTGCCGGAGACAGCCTGTTCTCAATACTTCCTTCGAGAACAAGCACTTGGGTTGCTCTGCTTTCACAGAGGATGGGCTGGTTTATCCCAACATTTTTGTCTTGGARCAAACAATCCAATGGACCCTGAGCTTCTTGCTGCATTTCAGCAAATAAATGAATCTCAAATACCACTTAGTAACAAAAAAGGYGGAGCTTAAATTTACAGGTGAGGGGCTAAGTGGAAGTGAATTTGGCTGCCATGTTTATTTTACATCAAGACCCCAGCCCTTATTAAAGGGCATCCTGAGTGTCACAATGTCAGAAATAAATGTTTATGTAGGTTCTTTTTCTAGGACAAGAATAGAAATTCCTCATCATAGCTTGCTACCACCAACAGTCTAAGGTGAATTAATGATCTCAGCAGGACACGTATCCACAATCTGCTGACACAGTTTCGGAACAGGAACACAATTCAGAGAGGAATTAGATGCACATCCAAGAGGCTCAGGATTTTTGGCAGGAATATGCTACTCACTAGAAACAGCTCTGCAAACTGTAGATCATGCTTAAAAGATCCTCTTTAAAAGTTAAACAAAACCACATTCTGATACATAAACAGGTCTAAGTCTAAATAAACATCCCAGATCCTTGTGTCACATGCACTTAGCAGCTGATTATAACTTCTGTCGATTCCAACTTCTTCCTATGTACCAATGTAATGGTGTTTATGGGAGTACCATTGTCCTAATCTCATTTGGACCAAGTGTGCAGTCAAGCAGTGCTGTAGGAAGGACAAAACACCCCAGCCRGGATACTGTGTTTCTCCAAGAGGATTTGGAAAGAAATTTTAARCCAGCTGCATGTTTCTGTATGTTTACATCTGTCTGTCCATTTGTACTACGAGATGCCTGAAGAGTGTCAGTGTTTTCCTAAACAACATCATTAATGGGTATCCTAGAAGGACAGGATTGATGATGCAGGAAGAGCAAGAGCCAGTTTCTTTACTTTTTGCTCCTATTTCCATTTCTTTGGCTTACATATCTTACATATCACAGTTTCTTCCCATATAGACTTTTTGAAGACTTCTACTTCACAGCTTTGGCATAGGGGAGCTTTCAATGGAATGTGCAAGCACAGAATTCCCATTCATACTTCAAAAGGAGAAAAGGGGTAGAAAGAGGCGATAAAGACAATCATGGTGTAGAAAATGAAGACATTAGAAAAGAAAATTGCAATTAAAAAAAAATCCTTCCCTCAAATCAGGCAGTTGGAGGATTAAATATTGTTATATTACCCAATAAAACATCGGCTGCAAGTAAGTGGTCCATCACACTATCCAATACGTAAGTCTGAAACTCCTTCTGCTGTGTTCGCGTTGATCTTTCAGGGGAAGCCTGATTAAAAGAAAAAAGGACATTATTAATTCATTGAAAAAGCAGAAAGAGAAGCTCACCTAGACCCACTCCTTCCTGAAGTATCTGGTTTTTGWTCCTTAGTAAGTGGTCTTAAGCAAATTGTCTTTGCTCCACGTATAAGCCTAACAAAGGGCTTTGAGGATGCATTGCCTTGTACACTGTCTTACAGTGTAGATGTTACTCCAATTTACATTAAGCAACTTTTTTTCCTGCCAATGTACTTCCTCTGTAATAGGAGCTGGAAAACAAGAACAAACAAACAAACCACACCACATTCCTAACAGCAACACAGATTTATGATGAAGTAGTAAACTCTTATCTCCTCAGGTCACATAATCACACACTTGTTTAAGCAGAAAGTAAATGAGACAGCTTGAATGAATATATTAATTTATTGGCATTTATCTGTCATTCTGTGCATTACTACATTAGCTCTGGGATAGCCCTGTTCAAAATCTGCCTGGGCAACTGTTCTAGGTGACTCTGCTTGTGCTGGACGGTTGGGACTGAACAATCTTCAAAGGTTCCTTCCAACCTCAATCATCCTGTGATTCAGTGATCTTGTACAAAATGAAGTACAGCTGTCACTGTCTAATGAACGAGTAACAGATGAACTATTCTTTGAAAGAGCAACATTTTGGGAAAGCTACAACTTCTGCTACTACACCGTTGAACACCTACTGTTGCAAGCCCAAAAAAGCTGGATGGCACAAAGTTAGTTACAAGATTTTGGTATTCATTTTGGATCTCATACTTAATGACAATTTCAATGATTCCTTTGGATCCCAGGCACCTGATCTGCAAAAAAATCAAGAATTCACTAGAAAAACATTTAATAAGAAAAGTGCCCCAGTAAACTGAAATTATAAGATGTGAACTCTACCTCTAACAGAAGATCTACTAGCGGAGTCTGCTTGCTGGCTGGGGTCAGGCATAAATTATCAATTATCAGCACACGCATGAAGTCGAAGACAAACTTCTTGGCAGGATGGTTGGTTAGGTAGGTCTTGGTGCCCACATTGCAGTATTCTGACTGGCTCCTGTTCATGCCAGAGTCAGCTGCAAAGGCTTTGAACTCTTCTGCTGGGGACCCAACTTCATCATCAAGATCAGTGACCTGTGAAAAGCAATATGTTAAAACTCTACAGAACGGCAAACTGACAAATATCTTCCACTACTCTATTCTTTAATTTCATTTTTTCTAAGCTTAGCCACTTAACATTTTGTGTTCAAAAAAGATTGTTTTGCAGGGAGTTGCAGTATTTTTAAAGGATGAAAATACTAATTCTTGCAAAATAACCAAAAATTTCCTGAAAGGTCTTGTTGTTAAGTGGCTTCCATATGAAATGTGGAAGTAACTCAAGTATTATCTATGTCAAATTTACTGATGGCTTTTTTTGCTTGCAAAGCAAAAASCAGAATTTGGGGGGGTYCTCCCGTTTTGTGTTAGGGAGCTGTAGCCTGACCTTAATATTATTACAGAAATACTACCTTTCCAGGGTTCTTATTTCTGGAGAGCAAGAACCTTTGAGCGGGTAGCTCTCACGCACTGTAAGCAAAATGCGAACGGCAATGAAAGCAGCCAAAATAAAAAGAAATAAACTAAGTGTCCTTACATAATCTCCTCCTTATATAACAGTACTTCTCTAGACAAGCTTATCATATTGTTAACTTACAAATGAAGTAAGCACAGGTTATGAACATTAGAGCTCTCCCAGTAGGAGAGTATTTCCAAGAAATGAAAAGGAGCAGGAGTGCATAGGCCTTCTGCTTCTAATGGCCATTTCAGATAGGTTAAAAACTCAGTGAAGAGTTTTCTCTCAAGGCTGAATTTGGACTACAGAGTTTTGTTGCAGGAACAACATGGCTATGCTTTACCTATTTCAAATGGGATCGGGTAGTGGAAAACACTCAGGAAAGGCTGGAGGAACAGACAGACATGGAACAATCAGATACAGTCAAGAGACCTCTCAAAACCTGAGCAGCTCAAGTTGTCAGGCAACTACACAAGGTGTCAAGGTATTTTCTCGATAGAGCTCAATGCTGCTCAGAGGTCAAAGGATGCTCTAAAGTCTCTTTAGGTCAAAGCCACATGAGCATACACATAAGGTTACAAGTGGCATAGTTTACAAGGAGCACTGTTCTTTCTGGAGAGTACACTTGCATCTTCTTCAAGAGCAAGTATAATGCTGAAGCCAAAAATTAATCTTTATTAACGACTCATCAGCAAGAGCTGTTTGCTTTCCTGCCTGCAATGTCTATATTCCTCCCTAAAATGAAGTTTCCTTCTACAGCAATTCCTTCATGCCATTCGTCCCTCAATTTCAGAACCCCAAAAACTCCAGCCCAGCCTTCACCAATGTCTGTAGGGCAAATCAGGCTCTTTTTTGGTACATTTGCCAATTAATAAATCCTCAAAAATCAGCATTACAAGCAGAACTCAAAATCAAGCTTGTCCATTGCCTACCATCTCTGAGTAAGGTCGGATGTTGAAAGGAAACACAGTTGCTGCCAGGGCACACAGGAACTCCGGGCTCATCCACAAGGAAACGAGGTCCGGCACGTTGTGATACAGATACCGGAAGAACTGCATCAAGGTGACCGGGTACTCGCGAAGCCAGGAGCCTTCTTCCTCCGACTGCCAGGGCTGCGTTGAGAAACAGTTACAAGCAGGACGTTAACATGGATGGTCCTAAGGGAACAGTGCTCGTTTCAGAAAGGAGAGGCTATGGAGCTGCAGGATTAAACAGGATTGAACACATGGGTACAATATCGTGGTCAATTGCCTCACTGAACATACTGGGATGTGAACCCCAACRTTTGACCACACATATGAGAAGTGCAGGAAAAAAAGGTGTCCTAAACATGTGACAGCACATTTAAGAGCATGTCTGAGCATATTTAACATAAGAGAGCATGCGATGCCCAAACACATGGTATCATACTTGACTGAACATGTCAGGGAGCACACGCATGAGCACGTCACCGGCGTGTGGTCCTGTGATAAATGTTACCAAACACCTGGCTGCGCACACGTCTGGAGCATGTAACAACTGAACACACGGCTAACTTGTGACAAACACTTAAAACACGTCCAGACCACGCACTTGACAACAGGTCCCTGTCTTCACTGCAGGAGAAACACATAACTGAATGTGACAAAGGTGACAACAGGACTCAAAGGCAGCACATGGGTTGGATCAACTTGCAAACCTGTGATGAGGCACATAACCAAATATGTCTGAATATGTGACAGACATAACATAAAAAGAGCACATGATGACATAAAATAAAGATGTGCCCGAGCAGACAACCAAGCACAAACATGAGACCTGACACACGAAGATCCAATAAGAAGTTGGTCAATGTGATTTGACACACGACAACAAATCTGAGTACATCTGATGGCATACCAGAAGATGGCACGACATGAAGCACATATGTCCAAGCATGACATGAATGGCACCAACACAGGACCACTGGGCATGCCTGGAAGAGGTGCCTGAACACATCACTCACGCATGAGACAGGCTCAACCAAAAGCATGATGACCAAACACATGAAAGACAAATGCATGCTGCCCTTCAAACACCACAAGAGCTCGTTTTCTGTAGACAAATACTCTGCCTCCAAGGAAATAGGAAATACAGAATTCTCTCCCTGAAAGTCAAACTTCACCTGCTCTTCATAAGTTCTGATTCAAGTAGCAGAAGAACACGCATTTTTTCTGCTAGTCAGTGGATTTCCTCCAGCATAAGGCTATTAATAGTGAGTGGACTTCTCGGCATGTGGAAGTTGTTCAAGCACAAAATCTGTAACTCACAGAGCTCTGAGCAGATGGAATATGTAGTCTAAATCATTCCCCCATTATGTTAACCAGGAAAGAAACTCAGGAATCTCTGCCAAGGGCACTTAATCACTCTGCTTTTGTGTTTTCTTGCAATTGCAACAAAACGCAAAGCTTAGCCTTTTTGTGAAAAGGCAGCAATGGTTTTGTGGTCACTAGTATTTCTACACAAAAACTAAAATAAATCAAAGACAACAATGATTATGACACAGGTAGTAAGAGCCCAACTCTCAGCTGAGTTTGTCATATCACACTAACAAAACGCCACATTTTCCAATTTGCCCTTTGAAACCTGGGCAAACTCAAGCAATTCTGTATAGTTAAACATCCAAAAATGTTATACTTACAGAATTCAGCATGCTCCTCAGCATTCCCAACAACAAGAAGGCAGCTTCTGTGCAAACATTGTGTACTGAAGAGGTAACAGTGCCACAGGAGGCAGGAACTCCGAATATGTATGTCCAAACAGAGTCTAAATCAAACTATCCCAGGCAAGAGAGAGAAAAGAAAAAAGACACAAAATAACCCTTTTCTCCAGTATAATTTGGATTGTGTGTGTATGTGTGTGTGTGTGTGTTATACCCATGATACGCTCATTTGACAGCATATAAATATTACCAACTTTTCCCAYCAAGATCTCAGAGGCCCTCTTAAAATAAAAGCTGTCTTATTTTGCCTGCATCCCCATGAACATATCCACACACACAAACATGGATTAACTCAATGCCCTTACCATGCTGGCTCGAACCAGGGATGTGGTTTTCATTCAACCTCATCCTGCCCAGCAAGAAACCAACTGCAACAATCCCATGACAGACACAAGGGCTGGCTTCTTTGCATTCCCAATGCATCTTATCCCACCCTTCTCAGCCAGCAAAGCTAAACACAGAACACAACATCCTGACTTGAAGGTCAGGGAAGAGGGTGGTTAAACTCGCTACGCTCTTTGCAGACAGACAGAATGACATTGATATCTTACTAGATAATCCCTACCTGGCCACCCTGATTACATCGGSTGCTGATGACAGGCGCACTGACCTGCAGGTTTTCGGGCAGCTCAGTGACCGGCTGCTGCAGGAAAAGGGCCATGAGGAGGAAATAGAGGGCAGGCACATTAGTGTGCTTGGGGAGAAGGGACTGCAGGACGGGGAAGCCGGGGAAATGGCAAGCGTCCCGGTTAATCTCCCGGACCGTGGATCTGCCACCGGCGCTCCTGCCRACATTGAACCCTAAAAGGAGGGCAGAAAAGGCAGCAAGGGTTACAAGGGAAATGCACGTAAGGTTTTTCTTGGCATAGATTATGCACAGACCATCCCGCTTGTATTACACGATTTATTACAGATACCTGAATTTTTAAATCACGGAAAAGGAAAGGATTGCTCCATATAAACAGTGCTCTTACCTTCCTGCAGCGACGAGCAACCCAGAGGTTTAAAAGCCCAAAGATGAACAGCTGAAAAATCACACACAGCACTAAGAGGGAAGCCTCACCCTGAGCTCAGCTACTTACTAGCCACATTACATTTCCAAGCAGCAATCCCATTTGCCCATTTGAGTGGATGGGCTGTTAAATGGCTTCTTGTTTTAGCTGTTGTGCTACCAATTAATACACTGGTATGAAGTATTAAATGCTCCTATTTTTCATTTCTGAATTGCAAATGGAAAGAAAAAGCAGATGTTTTTCAATTAAGCGCTGCCAGAAACCAAAACCTACCTTTTTTGACCCTATTCCACCAAGTTATTTCATCTTCCTATTCAAAAAAACGCACTAGGGTTGCAGAAGGACCAATTTTCAAGTGAGGACAGTGGTAGAAAGATAGTTCAATCTATCTACATAGATAGTAAGAGATTTTTCTGACCCTGCCAGAAGCCAGGTCGCTCATGCTGTTTTTCTGAGGCTCAGCTATAGACATTATTTCCATCAGAACTTGGCTGTTCAGACAGCAAATATCTGTTAGGGATCAGACTAATGAAATCCTTGTCACAGAATTGCATGAAACCCACCAGTCCAGTAATCTTTGACAAAAAAGAAAAAAAGGCTCCTATCTAGTTTCACCAGGAAACTTGATGCTGATTTCTTAATTTCAGAATATTTCAGAAATGAAATCCTTGTCACAGAATTGCATGAAACCCACCAGTCCAGTAATCTTTGACAAAAAAGAAAAAAAGGCTCCTATCTAGTTTCACCAGGAAACTTGATGCTGATTTCTTAATTTATCAAAAAGAAAATAGAGATAGCATGAAAATTAGGTAAGAGAATTGGATAGGTCATTACCATTTGATGAAAAACAATTTTAAAAATATCTTTGTGGTCTTCATCTAACTTGGAATCAATTAAAGTGGTACTAAAATATGGAAAAAAAACATGACTTGCCAAATTTTCTCATTATAAATGCCAAAATTTAGTCTAGAAAGGTTCTGTGACTGAAGGAAACTGCAGGGGGACTGGTGTGCTGGTGGTAATGAGGTTCTTGCTTCTATTTAACTAGTTTAACAGGTCCTTAAAGATTTGCCAGCCTCAAATAAAACTAATTTTAGTGTCCTGCTAGTTCTGTCACAAATGGCTGTGTCGGTTGCTAAAGRGAACTCCGAGGTGCAACTCTCTGGYTCAYRGGCACCACTTTCCAGGAGGGCAACTCCAGCCCTGCCCCTCAACAGCCTCTGTCTCCTCTGACATCTCACCGTGTGTCTCCTGCCACATCTCCCCACGCTTTCCAGGAGGSCATCTCCAGTCATGTCCCTCTGCAGCCTCTGCCTCTTCCAGGGTCTCCCCGTGTCTCTCCTGCCACATCTCCTCACCAGATGCTTCTATTAGGCTGATGTTTTGGCCAACACAATGTCCTTACTTAACCAGCCTTGTGTTTTCCTGTCCATGCACCTCAGGAGCCCTCTTCTCTGGCATCACACACACATCCAAGCACAGCTTATCTCCAGATTTTGGCTTGTAGTGTCAGAASGAGCTACATGTTGCAAACTACACATTAGCACTCTGCGAACTGGAAGGGCAAGATGAAATCATCCCCTAATTCTACATTATCTCAGTCTGCACRGAATTGATTTCAGCCAGCTTGGAGATGTTCAAAGTGGGTTGTGCAGCATTAAACCCTAATAGGACCAATTCTGCWTTATGGAGGATAACTGAAAGGGCTAATGATCTGGATAAATCAGGCTTTAAGAACTCACAAAAGGTCTTKAATGAGAAAGAGCAAGAGGGCAAGCAAAAGACCAAGCAAGGGAGAGAAAAGAAAGACTGATGACACCKCAAACAAATTCCTGGGGTCGTGTAAATCCAAACCAGTAAAACTAATTGGCCCAGACCTGACTAGATACGAAGCTCCTCAGGTCCAGTGTTGCATGATGCTGTAGCTAATAGCAGTAAATAATCTAAWGAATTTTCCTGAGTACTCATTAGCTTACGTGCAGCATCACCTCACACATGCAGCTACGCTGCATGTTCATCCAGCGCAGAAGTGCTTGCCCATGGGACCTACTTAACCTTGCCACAAAGATCATAGACAACTGATTAAACTTTCGTTACACAGGCTTCACACAGAGGAAGAGGTAAGACTGAAAGGTAATGAAATCTGTATAATGCCAGCTGAAGGGCAGGCTTGTAAAACCACTCCCTTGTGCTTACAGAAGCTAATTCTTTATTCTAGGCAAATCAAAAATGCAGAGGCATTTTGATCTGATTTTGATGCTGATCAGAGCACAGACAACACCAGCCCAGAATGGATGCACGAAACACATTTTTTAAAGAATAATTCCCAGAATCTCTCACACACCCTGCAGTCACGAGCGCTGAGATGTCATACCTAGCACAGTGCCAATCTTATTGGTCAAGACAGAGTCCGTCTGCTCAAGCCAGCCTCCGCCACTGAGGCCTTCCTTAAATTTCATCAGGATGGGCTGGTTACTCAGCAGGACCACAAGAATCCTCATGGCCGCCGTGACGGTGGTGGAATGGAGATGTTCTTCCATAAACATCATGACCCAGTCAAAACCCAGTGTCTTCACTAGTTCTTCACATGCCCTAAGTAAAAAAAGAAAAAAGTCGCATATTATTTCAGCATTTTTTCCCTCTTATCTGATAGCAAAAGTTCATGACTGCCACTACACAGCAAACAAAGAGGGTCATAAAAAATTCAGGTTAATYCAAAGGAAAATCGAATTCTTCGCTGAGACCTAAGTACCTTTGAGCATTTGGATGCCTTAGAACAGGAAATGCTGCTTGACAAGTCCTTCTAGAGGGAACCCAAACTCTGATGTCAGTGTTTGTTTAGTGGAAATGGATGAGCTCTTGTGACTGTTTGAACTGGCATGAGATTAATCCAATTACTGCTTTTGATAAGAAATCTARAATGATGAACTGGAAGAGTTTGTCAATAAATTGTATTTTCCAAATAYTTTTGGAAAGCCACATGCAGGTACGGCGTTTTCACAATACTGAGGTTACCTGATTACCTTAACTGAAATGAAATTTCTCAGCTATCCCTCTTCTTTAAAAGTAGAAGTTGCCTTTTTTGACCRAGTATTTTCTCTGCAACCATGTGTGAAATTATGATAAAAGATTACATAGAAGTATGGRAGAAGAGCAGAGCATTCCAATCTACCTCTCAAGATGAAAAGAAATAAAAATCAAAGGAGCCAGACACCTAAGCTTCTCATTGTATCCTTCTTACTAATGGTCCTCTGTCTCTCAAACTTTTGAAAACTGAYATCAAGACAATAATCTCCCAAGCATAAAATATATATTCTACTCTTGTAAATCACATGCTGTTATTTGCTTGTGTTGTTTCTGTCTAGAAATGTAAGTTTCTATTAATTCTGTCTTCATGCTGTTAAGCTTGGCCAGCTGTTTTTGAATGATTTGAAACAAAGTCAGTTAATGCAACAGATTAAAAGTAGCTATTACTTACACCTGCATCTCCTCAGCRTTGTTCTTTTCACTATTACCGTTGGGAGTGCACAACCGAGCCATCATGCACCTGATATCTACAGGCATACCCTGAGCTAATTCAGCAATACCCATGTAGATAAACGCAAGTGTTCCTATAGCATTATATAACATAGGTAGCAAATACTAGGCCAGTGTCATTCACCCTCTTCAAACTAAAAATTATATCTTCTTCTTCTGTCTGAAGGTTTTTTTCTTTTTACTTACTGCAAATTAACAGTTGTCTTTTCTTTAGATGTATACAGAAGTTTCAGAAGGATATCCAATAGCCTGTTCCGCAGTAGAATAAGATTAGCAGAAACAAGTCCTCCAAAATCATCCTCTGTTCCTAAATAAAGGACGGGGAAAAAAAAAGAAAAAGAAAAAAAAAAAAAAAGAAAAAAAAATCATGCTTTTAGAATTTGGGCGTTTTAAAGACTATTTGTAAATTCTATACATAAGAAATCAGACTGCCTCCACTTGAGTCAGTAGAAAGCCATGCTAAAGTGCTAAATTTCTCCTAAATGCAGTGAAAGTCAGCCGGGTAAAACTCTTGGGTCCTTTGTCCCAAGYTTCCCTTCTTCATTCCCAGCACGGCCTGAATTTCTCCCCATTTTCCTCTACGGCTCAAGYAGGCAAAAAAGCAGAGCAGGCTGTGGTTGGGCTGGAGAAATAAAGCCAGCTTCAAGCTCTGCTGCCAAAAGGGAGGATGCAGTGACCGACTTCTGCCTTGTCCTTAGTGGGAACACCAATTTGGATCTCTCTCCCATACTTACTCACCATCTTGCACTAAGTGAGCTGGAATTTAAATCATCTCTGAGGCTGCAATTAGCTAAAGTGTTTCAGAAACACCTGGAGAAGCACTGGGGATAATGATGAATGGGGGACCTAATCCTTGCTCTTCACAGGACTGGACTAAAAGCACTAACTGAAGCTCATTCACAGCTGTTTGCTTTTTATTCCTGTCCCAGGGAACCGGCATATTCACAAGCTCTGTAGAAATACAGTGTCTTTTGGCACCCAAACCTAGTTATTTGGTTGAAATCYACCAGCGGGCTAAAAAATTATTACTGGAGGAGACTGATGAACTGAGAACACAATTGCAWAAATCTTTTTCTTTAGAAAACAAGGGTAGGAATGTTCTCTACATACTAAGTACTCCTGAAGGATGGCAAAGAAACAATTTTTTTTTTGGTCTGAAAACCAACAGCCCAGATAACTTAATTCCTTCAATTCCTCTATGCCTAGAGGGCAGATGTACCTCGCCATCCATCTTTTTATCTTTTTTCTTTTTTCCTCCCCATAAAGTAGAGAGGCACAGCTGATTTGAAGGAGCGAGGGGAGGAAATGGAACAAAACATGCAGAGTTAAATGAAGGACAACAAAACAAGAGCAGGTTAGTTTTGCACTGCTTAGCACACARTATCCAAAACTGAAGTACCACACCAGCAGCCAGGTTAAAACACAATTGCAGTGTTGTTAACAACAGGGCTTCTGCACTTCAAGTGCTTGAGCACTGAAGGTATAACAGATTATTTCACCTCTCCTGCTCCCAAGTCATGCCACCACTTACCACTGTCAAGTTTCTCTTCATTTTTTATTTCCATGACTACAAACTTCTCGCAGACTGCAAATGTAGGTAAAGTGGAAGAGATGAACTGTCCAAACCTTGACRGATACAGAAAAAACATCATGTATTGATGTGACAGATGCACTCTCATCTATCAATAAATCACTTCTAATACATGACTAAGAAGAGGCAGGTACCTTAAAATGTCAACTTTCTAACACCTGAAGGTCGAGGGAAATGGCCTTCAATAAAGTTACAAAACAAAATCCACATTAATAACGTACAAACTGGACTATTAACAGAGGATCCTGCAAGGAAGGGATCCTTAACATGCTAAGATTCAGCAAGGGAAGTGGAAGATACCTTCATCAAGTATAAGCATCTCCAACGTCAAGTATAAAAACATTCTCAAACCATCACACTTGAACAAATATTACCAAAAAAATCCATTCACAGGATTACTCAAATGTGATATAAAGTTTATGCCTCTAGCTTGAGATGCTATAGCAACAAGTCCATGGTTTGCCAAAACAGAATAAGGATGTGCTGCTTTAAGAAAGGAGACGAAATATATTGCCCTCTCCYCCGGGGCTAATCTGAAAGGTCCCTAGCTTGTTTATCTTTACCAAAGTTATGCAGTATTTCTCATTTTTGCTTCCAGGAAGAACAAGAATACAAGAATACAAAGGTACCCTGGAGCACTTGGATACTTTTTTTTTCCCCCATAATAAATTAAGGATAAAAATCTATGGCATTTTTTCTTGAATATTTTTTGTTCAGCATATCAAAATGAAGGCTGGTAAGAAGCTTGGTTTGCTGCTTCTGACACCTTTGATTGTACTTAAATTGTATATGAAAGTTACATTATCAATTGCAACTCACATCAGTCATAACTAACAGTACTATACTTGACATCCTTAAATATTTTTCTACACAGATTTACTTATATCTTGAACTAAACCTGTTGGACAGAAGTGTATTCAAAGGTGCATTTAAAGGGGATGCATCATCACCCCGCTGGTATTAAGCAGAATGTTCAATGGTATTTCAGCAAAGTGTTTTCAGTGTTTCACATTAGCAGTGAAGGGAGAATGCTGCCCCATTGCTATTTGCCAGGAAAAGCCAGTTTACTAAYGATAGCATGACTAGGCAATCATACCTGTTTAGATATAAATTCAATTTAATATATCAATCTAGGCATTAATAAAATGATTGACTATGTCTAGTGCAGTTGTTTATTATAGGAAGAAATTCAGTAACCAGGGGCCTCATGTTAACTACTCACAGCAGGATTGCCCTAAGCATTTTTATGCAATATCACCAACACACTAAAACCACAAAAGCCAGAACTAACACAAGTGTGGGCTACCTGAGTAAGTCATAGCTGCTGGGGAAGCCTTGAAGCAGAAAGCTCAGCACGTTACTGATTGCAGCAATAGTGGGCTGGGACAGAGACATATCTCGGAGAGTCAAGAGCAGTCTTGGGATGAGCTGGAATTCCCTCATTAATTTGGCATTCTTTGCTGCTTCACTGAAAGAAGGAATAAGCAGAGGAGGCAGTTTAAGCATGGAACATCTTTTACATACTATCTATAAGTCTCACTACTAAGTCAGGACCAACTATACCTCGACTCCGTGAGAAGTTCGATGAAGTGCTCAAACAGTGACAGATGAAGCTCGTAGGGGGCATGAAGCCAGACCTGAAATACAGAACAAGCAGTGGTAGGTTTTATACACAAATCCATTTGCAGATTAAAAACTGGTTGCTGAAGGCTCAAAGAGACTGCGACTGTTCATCTACATCATTATTCACCTGTCCGCTGCGCCCAAAGCTCCTTTACAAGTTCTCAACTGCTCCTCAGTTTCAGATTAATATTAAATACTCATGAAAAGACTCACAAAATATACAGTGGTACCAAAGAGATTCTCTGCAAGCATATGATGAGGATAACTTAGAGTAATTGAAAAAAAAAGTCTGCATTATCTAGACTTCTTTTTAAAAATTTTTAATATAAAGATGAGTGTTTAAATACCAGTGACTCCAAAGGAGTTACTTGGGATTTACAGGGTTGAAATGAGATGCAGGATCAAGTTTCTTCAGCTCAAGTGAAGATTTTCATTTTGTAAAATTAACTTAATACCCTCTGCCAAGATTGAACCCAAGGTCTTCAATGATAATTGTTTTTATCTTTACCCAACACTTCCTGCACAGAGTTTTAAGTGAGTCAGACCCCTTACAATAAACCAGCTGTTCCAATCAATAGAAGCAATAAAACATATAAAAGCCAGAAAGCTCAAAGTTATAGCTGCAAATCTTACAACTGACTTGCTACTGAGCAAAGCATAATGAATAGCTGAGCTCTGGGATACAAAGCTGGCTTAAACAAAAGTTTCCTTGCTTTTATTTCTAACCTGAAGAAAAAAATCTTTCATTTTCCCTGCTTAGCATAAGAATCAGAACATCTAAGTTATCCAATGTAGAAGAAATGTTTGGGTCACTATTTCTGAAGAGATACTATCAATAAAAGAAACAACAACAAAACGCAGAGAGTGACTTTTTTAGGCTTTTTTTTTTTTTTCTTAATGACTCACAAGCATATTAGTTCCATTTATTTTTGGTATCTTAAGCTTACTCACTCTCCAGTCGTGAACTAAAGAATTTCAAGTTGGACCTTTCATATGGTAATAGCTGTCTGGCTGAATACCTAAYTTTGATGAAATTTGTCAGCTGGCTCCTTTATGGGGAAAAAGAAACGAATCTCCAACAAAGTATTCATGACTTGATGAAGATTGTGCTGTCTGTGAGAAAGATTTAAGGATCCGGAAAAAGTAGTTAACAAGTCAGCATGGTTTTGTTTAAACAAAGGTCATATTAATTGGCAGCAGTCTTTTCATATACAGAATCATTAAATATAGTCTCCAGGCTTTTAAATACCTCCAATGGACAAACCAGGAAAGAAAGGACAGACAGTACACACTCAGTTCTGGCCRTTATATACCACTGCTTTTCAGACTGTGTGATATTAGCAAATGATTCTGAATTTCTCTGTTTACAATGACAATGCTCAAGTATTCTGCAGCTTGTAGGGCAGAATATTAACTGCCATACTGTTAACTTTGCAAGAGATGCGTGATGAAAAGTTCTCCTACTCTCATTTCGAGCACATCTTTCATGCCTCAATATATTTATTGCAACATATGGGTTAGAAGAAAAGGTGGAACAAGAAACTACAAAACGTATCTTCTAAAGCTGGTGCATCTTTGGCACCTATTACTTATTTCTACAGTGACAGAAGTCATTGTAGCAGGAAAACTTACCAAGAATCTTTCTGCCAAGCTACTTTAATGTGCCATATATTAAAAAGCTACATTCACAGGCAACAACCTAAGCTGTTGTCATTCAATATTTAAGGTATATTGTTAATGGCCAGTAACATGAGCTTTTTGTGCAGCTTTACATACTTCAAAATCACAGAGCAGGTCCTGGAAGGCAGTGGAATTTGGGATAATGGAGGTCTCGTGCCCGCTGTCGACGGTTCCCACCAAGGAAAAGGTCAGATGAAGGATGTGACTGTTCAGAAGGGAACGTTTCTTCTTTAACAGCATCGCCAGTAACTTGAACAAGTGAACAGATAAGAAATTAGCAGCCTATGAAACTGCAACCAAGGTTATCTAAGCAAAATAAAGCATGGATTAAATGTCCGCATCCCTTAGAGTATCAGATGATTTTTGAGACGACTGATCAAGTGCCTCTGAAACCTGCTACTTTTGAGGAAAATTATATTAAGGTTGATTAGGAAAAGGTACAAAAAGGCCACGCACAGAGCTGGAARCATCCATGACCACGGATGCTATCCCCTGTCCTCATTTCTGCTCTAACTTAGTTTAACTTGGGTTGAAAGAAAAGGAATTGGCAGATTTACAATTGCTATTTCTTGTCTCTTAGAAACTTTTCGAGCCTCAACTTCACTATTTGCTCTGTAACACTACTAAAGAAATGCAGATTTGGGGAATCTCTCCCAAACCAGGTATGCTGAGGTAGAAAATAAGATGCAATGAGCCACTGGCTATGCAGCCAGTAAAGCAAGGAAGACGCTGTCTAGATCTGTTTGGTCAAAACACGTCAATGTCTGGAACAGGCTGCATGGGATAAAAGGATTTTGCAAAAATAGACAGCATAAAGTGGTTTGTAAATATGCTGCCCAAACCACAAGCTGAGTTTTTCATTTCAGCAAYGCTGTCTTTATGGGAATGCAAAATCCACTGGTCAGAGAAGGAGCTTCTCAGCTCAGTCAGCTGATCCTTTTGCATAACTTATTATGTTTTCCCCACATCCAAGGAAGAATTACAAAGACTTCAGCTTGAAAGTGAACAGCGTCACTAACTGTTAGGACCAGACTCCTAAAAATGATAGTTTCAGTAGTCCACTTGTTTGCTTTCCTTCATGTGTCCATGTCCTCCTCTACTTTTGGCACACAAGTGAGACAGGAACTCCCGGGCTTGCAGGGGTAACATTAAYGGGAAAGAAATCCATCTGTGGGTTGTTTCAGTGCTCTTTCTTGTTGTTAACAAAGTGACAGGGCTGCTAAATGAGCGCAACCAAACAGAAAAACTTTCCATTCTCTCTGCTAAAGGCCATCCTAAACACTGTGTTTATGCTATTCAGCCAAGAGCACRTTAAACTTAGGACAGGCATTTGGGTTGCCACGACACCAAAAAAATAATTCTCATGGGAATTATAAGACTAGACAGTGAAATTCCACCTAGTAGGAAGGGTTTAAGATATTTTTGACATACCTGATAACCTCTGATTCTTTCCATTTCTTTGCTGGCCAGTGGATTGCTCTTTACCACACAGACCAAGGCCTTCACAGCTGCATACAGTCCTTCTACATCTGATGCCATGGCTACAAGCCCCAAAATAGCAGCAGCTCCACCTATGTACTGCAGTGTAGTGGCAACAGGCTTGGGGACAAATGTTCTTACTCCTGGGCATAGGTAGTTAAAATAATTAAAACCAATTCCCTTTCTTGAAAAAAAAAAATCATTAAGATTAAAACTAAGGTAACCCATATTCCAGCACTTCTTTATTTATTAAGAGAATATCACTAGATGAATTATGATAACTTCAGGAGAAGGTTCTCTCCTGAAYATAGGAGGAGATATTACATCGCAAAATAGTTCATGAGTTAATTCCAAGTCAGGTAAGTACATTTTTATAATGGTCCTCATTTAACCAAAACAACTATCAGGTGCCAATAAAAAGACAGAAATTGTATGCCAATAAAAAGAAAATACTTTATGTACATGAAATACTTTAGCTACATGATTATTTTGTGTGTGACACACAGTTAAATTTATCTTTGAGCTCTCAATTCTTACATATGGCTGAGTAGCAATGCTTAGCAATACTGATTACCAAATACTCACCCAGGTATCCTATCAAAGCTGCACCAATAGTACGAGCTGGTCCATTCAGGTGTCCTGCTGAGTTATGGAGTAACTTCACAGGTGTGGCATTTTCATGAGAAGAAACTGCCAGCTGAACAAAACAAGGAAAACAAGGGAAAATTCTGATCAGAAGAATATCTTTTTATAAGCCTGAACATAACAGCCTGCATATTTTTCTCCTGTGATAAAAGGGCAAGAAAGAGAAAAATGACACTAGAATTCTATCAGGGGTCATTAGGATGTCCTCTAGAGAAGAGGAATCTTAAGTCTCCAAAATTTAAAACTCATTAATCCAACTATCTTAAAAAAAATTAGTATTCGGGTTTTCAAACTGAGAAGAAGACTAAATGATCAGCTTTGTTCACCTACAACAGTATAAATGATTTTGCTCATCAGTATGATCTTTACTTACTCTCTAAACAAGAATTATCGGTATTAAATAGCCAAAATACTTCTAAAAAACGAAGTCTGATGCAATATACTAGCTCTTGCTAATTTTAAAAATAGGAATAAAATTTCCATTGAATAAGCTGAACAATCTCCCTCAAATAAACACTTAAAAACAGGAAAATAATTATGGAAAATACTTTTGACAAGCCCTTTATTATAACATATCCTTCCTTTGAGCAAAATCCCTTGAAACTAGTAAGAAGGAACGGAAGAAATACTTGAAACAACTGMCTTCATATGAACAAGAATTGCACCCCAACAAACTCATTTTGCAACATACCTGTTTTGCAATGGCTTTACTATCCAGCTTGTTGTAAACTTTTCTTATTTTTGCCACTGTGAATGAAGAAACGGAGAGCGCGTAGAGACCAAAAGAGACCTTCTCTTCTGGCACCAGAGATATTGGAGAGGGGTTGATTCCTTCCGACTTCGAATCCTTGCCTTAAAGACATGAGAAAAAGCTCATTTCAAAAGTACTGGCTTTGTGCCCACTTTTAACATATTAGGTAAATTACACAGCAGAKCAGTGGTGGAAGAAAGCTTTTACAGATAGCTGAGATTTAATATTGTCTTTGTGTGTATTTGCTCTCCTTATCCATGCACAACTTGATGGCACACAGCTTACACAACAAATATACTGCCTTTGTATTTTTAACTAGTATATAGCAAACGATCCCTTAAAAGGTCTATTATATTTACCCCTAGTGGCAACTGGTAGCCTGTGGCTTGGCCACGCTGTACAAGATGAGATTCTTCCTCATCTGAATTTTTGCAAGAAAAAAAATTCAATTTGTGTCTAGCCTACATGATGTTCCCTTTCCTTTTCAGGGCAAACAGATTAGCTTATAAATAGGAAAATAATTTGTCCACTTGTGTCTTGATCCGTGTTAACATATATGTTAGGCATTATATAAAGGCTTGTTTAGCATAAGCTACTAAAATCATCTTAAAAATTGCTCTTATCTTCAGAATCCCCTGTATTATCATTATGTTGGAGTATATTGAAAACTTTCTGGGTAGAGAGGCTKAGATAAAAAGCAAAGACTAGAAACATAACATGATAGTCTCTGTCAAACTCCTTAAGGTTTGGTTTGGTGCATGTTATGTGAACAGAAGTTTAGCTACAAATAAAAACATTTCCTTTTACTCTGTAGTAGACTATTCCTGAGATATAATGAAAGGAGCGAAAAAAAAAAAGGCTCCTTGTATATGTATATGCTGCCACACTGGGAAACCTCAACATTTTAAGAAAAGAAGAACTCTTAATTTAAGTTATCATGGGCTTCCTGGTGAGCATGGCCTTAGCACAAAGGCAGGAAGATTTTCGCTTCTTGGAAATGAATTAACAAATCCATTCATAAAATTTGCTTTGGCTTATTTTGTAATAAATCTCCGTGGAAAGAAAGAAATTACCACTAACCAGCTTGTTTGCCTAGCTGTGAGACAAGAACACAYGTGAGAGGTCTGTACCTGAAAGAAAACCTCAATTGCTTAAAGYTCTGACTCGAGACGTTCAAGGAGAACTAACTTACTTTTCACAGTACTTTGATCTTTCACAGTCTTCAACATCTACGTTTGTGCCTTCTTCTGTCTCAGCTCTAGGAAAAGCATCTAATATGAAAGGCAAGTTTCTGTGCAGTCCCTAAACATACATTTGTTTCCTCTCCTCAATGGCATCATCATATTTCTCAGCTCTTCCACAACTAAATATCCAAAAGACCCAGCTACACCTGTGCCACGTGGCTTGCYGCCACCTGACTTGTACTCACATGGCAAGTTCACTGCTTGAAAGCTCCCGACGTAATTTGGTCCCAGGTCATAAATGGTGCTAACGCTTGCAGCGGGTAAAACCTCCTCCAAGAAGTGTGTAGGTCCCAAGCGCCAGACCAAGGCAGAGAGCTGGCGCTGCGCCGGCGGCGTGCCGATGAAGGAATAAACCGTGCTCACCACGGGGGGGTTGGCAGACCCAGAGCCACTGGGGCTGCTGTGGATGTAGTGAAGCTGGAAGCAAGAAAACATCATGAAGCTCTACACATTTTATTTTATACATCCCCTACACATTCCTCTATTATAAGTATTTTTCTGCATATATTTGTTTTATCGATGTGTTTTTAAACATATTCAAAAAGCTATATTCACATAAATACGTGTGCGCGCCGAAAGCAACTGGCTCCCGCAGTGAAAATGAGGATTTAAATGTTTCTTTTACCTTGACAGTGTTAACGAGCTGCCCATCAAGGTAGAGTGCAGCCGTGCTGTTCTTCAGCATGCCTTTACTCATCACCAGAACTAGGTGATGCCACTGGCCTTCCACTATAAGGTCACCGCAGCGAAACCGGGCACAGCACGGAAGAATTTCGTAAAATGATGATTCTTCGCTGAAGTCATCAACTGAAAGGAAAGGATCACTTAGTGGGAACAGGYAAAGATGTTGTTAGTCTGTTTTAGGGATCTTATTTCATTAGACTTGACAGCTCTCTAAAGAGACACATGAAAGCCAAAATTTTCCTAAGCATGTGCAATAATGTGACCAATCCAAAAACAGAAGAATAGAATAGAAATGAGATACACTTTGATTTTTTTTTCCTTGAATTCTTCAAATGCAAAAACTGAAAGAATGAAATCAGAGGGTTTTTTTGTTTGAAGTGTATTCTAAGTGTATTATCACAAATGACCTACTTGCATATGAACAAACTAGTGCGCTTTTATTAATATCAACCATAGGCCTGCTCTTGTTTTATCTTAATTATTCTCCCAAAAAATTCCCAGGATACTTTCAAAATTTTGACAATTATATTTCACTTCTACCTTCTTATCGAAATTTCAACTGAACTTTTAAACTGCATTAAATGTTCAACTGAACATTTAAACTTTTAAACTAGCGAAGCTTCTTCCTCTTTTCCAAGTGTCACCATGTAGTCACAACATATTGCTGGCTGTTTTTAAAAGCAATACAAGAAAGTAGTCAGCAAGAGACAACATATGTCCCTCTATACCTACAAAGCTACTTTTCATCTTTCTCATACTGTAGAAGGATGCAGCCAACAGTAGGAAATTCTACTGTGGAGACCAAAATTTTTTGTACCCGCATTAAATCAAATGACAAAAAGAAAAAAATCACTTGATACCTGCACACCTGGCCCAGCTCTATTTGCACATCAATTGCCAGGTTCAGCGCTGACTCACTAATATTTGGAAACACAGTCAGCACAAAAGATAYGAAAATCCCTCTTGATTAATGTCACTTTTTTTTTTTTTAAAGGAAATTATCATCATTATAAATTTAATAAGAGCTGGGCTAATTACCAAGTACACATTGGCATAATTGCACAGTGGGAGTTGGTAAGAAATTCACTGTAATACTATTTTTATAGCTATGAACTGAGAAAGGAAGCCACCACGTTAAGTTTAAGTCAGTAAAGCTCAAAGAAGGAAAAAATACAGTGAAATGARGATATTCTGCAGATGAGCTCTGCCCTAGCCTGTAAATTCTCCAAAGATTTGTAATTCTGTAAGCCACATTTATCAAATAGTTGCTAAACACTGTTTTCATGTATAGCTTGCAATTATCTTCCTTAAGCAATTAGGTGACACACACAAATATATAAAACACAAGTAACGCTGTGTAAGAATCATCACGCTAAATTACATAGTAGCATTAAGTGGATTAGGAATTGGGTCAAAAGCCTTAGGTTTTTTTCCTTAATAAAAGCTGCAAATAAATGAATTGGCTAGAGAGAAACACATCAAGAACAGGCTAGCTAGAATTCCAACCTTGGCACACTGGCTTTTCTTCTTCCCTTTTCGCAATTTTAAGGAAAAATCAGTTTCTGAAGTGCTGCTACTAAAGGGCTAGCCTAGTGATGAAAAATATTTGCCCCATCTGTTGGGCAAAATTGTTTGTTCTAGCGTTCAGTATCTTTACCTCAGGTAGCCACTCTAGGCTTTTCTGTAGAAATATCCRTGATGTCTGAAATAGCAGCCCCGAGGGCTGCAAATCAGATGCTGCTGGCAATGAGTCCCCACTCACCCAATATTGCACCCATATTCTATATTCTCACATGGGTTTCAGGTCTCTCCCTAGCACCAGGTGCTCAAATCCCTTCTTTTGAAGGCTTAAACCCACCTCGGCCCGCAATGCAAGATTTGAGAAATTCCTCTAAAAGCCCTTCTCACATTTCACCTCAGAAGGCACCATCAATTGGCCGTCCAAGTTTGTTTTCAACTTGCTGTCACGGCCCCGTAACGCCGCCAGCAGCAACTGATGACCCTGCACGTCCCTTACCGTAGTTTTGCAGCAATTCCTCCTTAGTGGACACAATCAGGGAGCGGTCTTTGGCCGAGAGGACGATGGCCAGGCAGACGTAATGCTGCTCCGAGGAGTTGGCGCGGCGCACGACCGTGAGCAGCCGCACCGGGTGGCTGCTGGGGGCTGCACTGAAGTGCTCGATGCAGAACCAAGTGGAGTAGCTCAGGCCAGACGGTGGCGGGAAAAATCTTTCACCTAAGAACAAAAATTCAAGCCCCTTTTAGTTCGAGGAGCTGTCGCTGGGCAGACCCGTGTGTTGCTGGTGTTCCAACCAGCTTGCGCTCGAGCTTTCAGTCCTGCGTCTCTGAGTGAWGCTTGGATTTAAAATACAATCACATAAAGCGAGCTCACAGTGGTTTCCTCCCAAACTCAGTAAAGCAAAAATTGCACACTATTCCCTCCTATATTAAAACCAGAATATAGCCCTCAAGATGGACTTTTTCAGAACACCTCAGTTTCAATCCTTCAAACAAAACCCAAGAAATGGATATGGAAATGGTTAACATCCTGACAAGCTGTTTTTTCCTCCATGGGTGTAACTCAATTTGCATCCCCATGGGGACCACTGAAGTATTTCATAACAACAGTGAGCAGCGAGAGAGTGTCCCAGCCTTTGCTGAAGTAGGACTCTCTCCCCACACACCTAAATCCATCTGATAGCCCAGGGTGCTCAAGGATGCAAAAAGCTCTGGGTTCAGAGCATCCAGTGCCAGCCTATCACTTCTGCATTAACAAAGAAATGTAACAGAAATCATCAYCGTGCTGGTAAGAGCCACACTTGAGCACTTACCGGTCCCGATTCCGCTGACAACTGCGCCATCCACAAGCCCTGTTGTGACTGCATTATTTGTAGGTGCGTTGTGGGGAGCCAGACTTGGCAAGAACAGACAGCTGAGAAAGAAAGCACCAGGAATACGTCAGAGTTCATGAAAGCTGACAGAGCCAGAGTCTGATGCAAACAAGATACAGTCTCGAAGAATATCCTGTTTGCAAGCCACCACTCTCCTTGACTGTATGTGTTGATGCAAAGTGGAAATGTAATCTCAGGAGCTTTCCTGGTTTTCCTGGTTAAGTTGCCTTCAGTGCAAAGAGCTTTGGCAGCAGATCTCTTTGGCTCTGTAGCATAAACATGTTCCCTTTTGGACCACCATCATTGGTTAAAGCCTTTGAGATGTTCTAAAGTATCCTGAAGCCTGGATGAGTTAAACACTCAAAAGGTTTGATACAATGGTTTTATGATAAGTATGTGTACTCTCACAGTGATGTCCTAAGTCCTTACGAGAGCCATTGGTGGTTTTGACCTCCCAAAAATSGATATAAGGAGTGCCAGGTATCAGGTGATATAAAAGGCACAGATGGTTTCAGTGACCACCCTACGGAGGATGGATTGAACTCCACCAAAGTCCTCTTTTGAGTTTGGCTTTAACCTCATTTCTGCTTTGCCCACCTCCTCCAAACGTTTTAAGTGAATTTCAGTGCATTTGTGCTATTCAAGTGCTGAACATGAACCCCAGCAACCGTTACTTTTCTGCAAGACTACATTAGTGTCCTCCCAATTCCGAAACAGCCTTAAACATGTGCATGACAACCAGATCTGAGAGGGCAATACATTTGCTCACATAAGCACTTACATCTTCACACTTAACAAGCCACCAGCGGTTTCAAGTCCCTAATTACAATGAACRGAAATTCACGTGGCATCAAGCATTCCATCTCTAAACCAAATAATCTATTTTCAGATCGAAAGCTTCTCCTTGCAGGCGCTCATGTGAAAGAAGCGAGGCACGAAGCGTCGCGCGGAGCGCTGCGCTCTCGCAGAGCGCTGCGGGACCTTACCCGAACCCTTCGAGAGAGGTGTCAAATTCGATGAAGGCAGGAGTGACCGATGATCCGTGAAGCCTGATATCATGGGGGGTAGTCATGGAGACCAGGCACTTCACTCTCGTCAGGGGCACGGTGCTCCCTTCTGCCGGCTTCAGCAGGCTCTTGCTTATCCGGTAGTGGTTGTCTTCGTGCAAGCTGAACACGTTGTCAGAACCGAGGCCCTCCATGGAGGTCACCATGCTGTCTACGGTAGGAACCGAGAAAAACCAGCAGCATTAAAGCAGGGAGGGCCTTGCAGGCCACACACTTGGATTTTTAAGGGCTAGAGGAGATTGTTAAACAGGCATCAACAAGTTCAGCCTCTCAGTGAGATGATGAGGTGGGAAGCATTGCTCTGATTTTGAAGATGTTCAGCTAGGCAGGGGAAAATTAATGTCTTGGGCAAGATTTCACCGAAAGGCCATGGTAAAGCCAAAAACTCAGTCAAAGAAACATCACCTAACACATGGAAAAGGCCCCTTTTTGCATAACCCTTGTTTGGGTGCATTTCTGTTGTGCAGGAATGCACAACAGTGTGCTAATTTTCCCTATTAGACAGGAAAAAACTCTGATTCTTTTTTTTCAGAGGCACTAAGTCTGAACTAAAACCTGCAGAGCAAGCTGAAAGCCTCAGTAAGCTCAGCTTAGTAAATTCCTTGTGCTAAATTGCAAATTGAACCTGGTGACACAACACATTCAATCCTTTCTACATGAGAGATATAGGATCAAGTATGAGAGCTGTATAGACTGGGACTAGAGTGAAGGGATTTGATGGCTGTAATTTAACCTCATCCAAGACACTTTCTAAAAAGCTTTCCAATACTTCAAATGTTTCAATTAAAATGTTTTTAACAGTATGCTACAACTAGACAGATGACAAGGAGTTTATATCTTCAAATATCATTTGTAGATATGGAAATTTAGTAGCTGTATTATAATTTACTTTCTTACACTACATTAACAGCTGTTCAAGCTCTACAATTAAGGGATAATAACAGAAAAAAAAGCGAGTCTGGAAAACACTGACTGGAGGAATGTACTTATATTAAACTCAAGAAGAATCCTCTGACAGATGTTGAGCCCAATTTATCAGATTGATTCCTTAAAGACCTGGAGAACAGTCACCTCTTCTAGGGTGGTAATCCTAGCTGATGAGTAATTCCAGTATGAGGAATGTATATGTGGCTGACATGCACATCCATGGATGAACTTGCACAAGAGGATACCACACAAAGAGGCAAAAGAAATTTTCACACTGTGCATATATCCCTAATTTAAATAGTGAATATTCTGCCAAAGCAAACTGTGAATGCCTTCTAGCAGTGTTAATTACACAATTAAAACTAAAGTTTATATACAGCAGAGCTGATTTGGGGCTTTTTTTTTTTTTTTTTTTTTTTTTTAAACTAACAATGCGTAACCCTGTCCTTTTTCTTCAAAATTTTCAGGTTACAGTGTGATTATAGTTAAATCCAGGCCTCTCACATTGTATTAAAGATTTAAAGTATATCAAGAACATATTGAAAGCAATGAGGAAAATACTGTCAAATAATTATCATGACAAATTAATAAATGAAGAGCAAATTCCTGAACTTCATAATTAGAAGTGRAGCTACTAGCTTCAAATTTTATCTCTTTTTGGGTAAGAGAATTATTACATTGAGATATTTTCCCAATTTTTAAAGTTTTCCTCCTATCAATAAAGTTCTTATTTTTATTTCATCAGTAGGGATGTTAACAACTGCACGGATTCTTATTCTAGTGACAACACATGAAATTATGATAAATTGTAGGAATCTGSGTTATTTTATTGGCCACTTTATTAAATCTATGACAGAGCCTGTGAATCAAACCTAAAGAGATCCAATGCCATCTGACGTGCACGTGGAATATCTGAAAGTAATATTCTTTCTAAAAACATAGCTGTATATTCTATTAAAGWCTCAAAAGCTATTAGTCTATTTAATTATTGTGTTTAATTGCTACTCTTCCGAAAATTAGAAATTCCAGCTATCTCACTGGTTGAGTACTCTYAAATAGAAGCATTATGTGCCCTCTGCATTTAGACTTCTTTCTAAGCCAGGCTGCTCTGATTATTTCACACAAACACAAAGTTGGGGGAGGAATTTAGGTCTTTCGGGGAGCTTATCTACACATTTTTATGAAATACGCAATTGTGGGCAGTGAAACTTTTAAATGGGATTTTAGCACTTAAGCACTTACTTCGCATTTCTGGTTCAAAGCTCAGCGAGCTGGGCTTGTGCACCCGATACTGCTTCAATAGCTTCTTGTCCCAAGCTCCGCAATTCAAGGGATTTCCCAGGCGTAAAAATTCCCTAAGTAAGAGAATAGAAAAAACACACCACACATCAAATGACCTATTTGTATTCCCTAGAATGACATCAAAACTAACACTATATTTTAAAAAGCTCTCTTTGAAAAAAGTTCATTCATTCAGAACCATTTCGTTTTTGAAGACACACGATAGAAATTTGACTTTTTAACTATCAAACACCCAAGTTCCAGTGGGAGCTAGGCTGGAYATCAGGCTTTGCAGTGAGATTGTTACTTTCTGCAGGAAAATATCCAGAGAAGCTTGCCCATGCATGCACGTCAAGTTAAGCTCACCTGGAAAGGCAGGACAGAGCCTGAAGGGAGCAAGTGGCCCCGACATTGTTTTGTCAGAGTGCCCAGCTTTAATAGAAGGATGGTTTCATGGCTGCCAATATCTGTATCTGGAGATTCCTGCCCCACCAATGTCTACACTCAAGGAAGTGTCGAGACTATCTGCTGGTTGCAGAATCATTTCTGGTACTGAAGGGAACTGACAAACTGTCCTCTCTAGCACTAAGGCTGCAAATCAGCCTGTCAAAAATCCACAAAAGATTTTCAACTATTCACAGAAAAGTTATCTTACAAGAAAACTTGCTTCTAACTGGGCCAGACGGTACTATCAAAGTGTAAGAGGAAGGCAGGCAACCCCAAATTCCTCCCCAAAGGTTTGAATTTTCAGACGTTCTTTGCAACATCCTCCCATTTCCTGCACACAATTATAGTACTAGATAAAACAGCCGGCCTGAACTTTTCCCAATCGGAGGTATTTGCTGTTGCACAGAAACATCTAGGAATCTGTTGTGTTCTATGACAACGTTTAAAGCTGTCACTTTTGCTCTTCCTGACAACGTAGCCAGGAGCTGCCCTTCCGCCAGCCTTGCAAGACTCGCAGGAAGGAAGGGAGCATCCAGCTTGAGRAAAACCTCTGTGGAAGCAAACAACCACCGCTCACCCGGCTTCTCCTCAACCTCCCAACACCTCCAAGGTTACAGGCCAAGGAGCAGAAGCAAGACTGCCTATTTTGGGAGAAATAAGACAGGATTCTGGGCAAATGCTCTCACGAAAGGTCACTTTGGCTCTCTAACAGGCTATTGACAAAGAGGGTAGGAGGGTGGGGAGCGCGCCAGGGTTCGGGCACAGGGTTCCTCACCTGAGCACCATGGGCTGCAGGGCCTGCGACGCCAGCCGCTCGAACATGCGCTGCAGCGGCGGGTGCAGCGAGTGGTCCTCGTCGGCGAGCGCGGCGCTGCAGCGCTGCAGGAGCCGCGCGTGCAGCCCGGCCTCGCACATCACCTGCTGGTTCCGCTCCGCRTGCACCAGGCTCTGCAGGACGTTGGCCACCGCCAGCTGGAGATCCAGCGCGTGCTGGAAAACACGGCGCGGGGGGAAAAGGGCAAGCGGTCACTCGCGGGTGGGCAAGACAGAAAGATCACCCTTAAGCAAAATGATGTGAAACGAGTTGCCATTAGCATTAAATACACATAATGTGTTGTGCTTTATCGTGTGTGCAGGAGAGCAGTGAAGGGTATCGTGTTGGGAGCAGTGAAGGAAACATCCAATCCTTTATAAAAAAACAACCCAGTGCAGTGGTTTTGCTCCCAGAACAGTACACAGCAGGTAGGGTAGTTGGCCATATTGCAGTTATTTCCAACAGAGTGTGTGGGTGTGTGTGTGTGTGTGTGTGTGTGTGTGTGTGTGTGCGCGCGCGCGACAAGGAGCAACAACAAGCTGTGCTAAGCAATCCAATGTCCTCCTTGTACTGTGTGCAAGATCTGATACGTGAGCAAGCACCAGAATTCAGCACAACGCTTGGCAAACACTTCTGACAGCCACTGCAGGCACTTCTTTGAGTTTACACATTGCTGCCAGCAAGTCAAAAAATAATAAGGACCCCAAAGCCTGTGAAATACAGTGGTTTATATCAGGTGCTTCTCTATACAACCAGTTATTCACTTGGTTACTCTGTTCTGTGAAACATATCAGCTGGTCATTATAAAATCCAAGTGCAGGGTGTCTTCCTAGCCATTCTTTTCCCCCGTTACTTTCCAAGTTTAAGATTTTTTGCCTACTTCTGGCTGGGTGGTTGATCCAACGGAGGCGAGAAGATCGAGCATCGCAAGCATAGCACCAGGGTGGATAATAACCGCCTCAGAGCTGTGCAGGGATGCAGCTCCTGTCTGGAGTTTCACGTCAGCAATGTTTTTCTGAGGGTAAACAGGAGGTGTTGAGACAGAGTGATACGCATGCCTGCAAGAAAGAAAGGATAACAAAACAGACAAGCAAAAAAAATATCAACAAGTTATAAAGCTCATCCAGTATCAGCTTTGCACTTTTCAAACAGCTGCTGCAAGTTGGACCAACATTATTCCCCTCTCCTCTCCTGAAACACACCACATGCTTTCCTCTTCTCAAATCTGTTCTTGGGTATCTTTGCTCTAAGACAAGCTGAAAGGACCTGCACTGGTCCTTACACGCTTAGTGCAAAAACATCCGCAGTGTAAAAAGCTTAAAATTCTCCTTTACCCCCTTCCTCTTTTTCCTTTTCACTAATGTAGCAACATACAGGTGATAGAAGTGCAGCCTACCACCATTCCCGTTATGTGGGACATACTCCGCTTCAAATATGTTTCTCTCCATTTGCCCTTCATCACCTATCCCAAATCCACGGACAATCTTTGAGAATACAGCGTTTGTCTCAGTGTGGACTCATGCCAGCAGCCCACGTGCTCTCAGCCTTTCACTGCCTCTGCCAGCAATTTAAATCCACATTAAGTTGCCTCAGTCCGAGCTAGGGAAAGAGGCTCTGATGCTTTGGCATCGAGGCTGCCGCTTGCACCAACAGCCCTCAAAGTGCCTCGCATTTTAGCAAAGCTCCCAGCAGCATCAGCTGGACGAGAAAAGTCTTTCAGCTACACATTCAACTTGTTAAGCTGAATATAAGCACAAATGTAAGCTTTCCTAAAAGCAGTTTAAGAGCAAATATACCTCAGAGACCTCAAATGTTCATGCTCACCACAAAAAAGAATATTTAATTTCCCATACGTGCCTGGCTTTAAGAACAAAAACAGGAATTTCATGAAACAATTTTCCTGAAGGTCAAATATTGGTCCTATTTTACCAAAAAAAAAAAAAAAAAGAATACTTTTAAAAAGAGRTTTCTTCAGATCAGGCCAACAAGACTTTTCCTCTCCCACTCTCAGTCACCAAGACCTCCCTTCAAGAGCACTAAGAGTCAAAGAGCCTCTGTGCTTTGACATTAAGTGATCTGATCAGGAAAGAARAACAGGATGCTCTCTACAACATCAATCTTCCAAACTTTTCTAGCAGACTTCATGCTTGAAATACCTCATGCRTTGAGGAAAGCTCAGCTTTATTTTMTAAATTAAATAAAATTAAGAAGAGCAGAACAACTGGCAGGACTGCAGCAGAAGTTATCCCAATCCCTCTATCTTRACATATACACTGAAAAAGGGGCATCTTTTTTGGATGCATCCCAGCAATAGCACTCTAGCAAGTATTTTTTTCCTCTATATTCTAAGAAAACTGCTACCTCTTTACAGCATCAAAGTCTCAAGGCAAGTTTTAAGTGTAGGATTTAAGAATGAAGTATTAAGGCAGAGGATTCTAAGTATTCTTTTTTTATTTAAGCAAGTTCTTCAATCTTATGAAATGCTACGCTGGAAGAAACTGTTAAAGAACTGACTTGCACCAACTTTTAAGTGCAAATTATACATCTGCGTGTCCTAATCCGGGGTATCAAATTCACTTCCTCAAGTAAACCTTGCYGTTGCAACACACTTATGCAGAAGGAGCCTGATGAGACCCATTTCTCCGCGTGATTCAGCAGCRAGCGCCTGATCCCGGCCTTGTACGGCCTGCGCTGCAGCATCACACACAGAGCTGCCAGGGAATACACTCCAGCTGAAGCAATTTGGGGTTCTTTCCTACAGAAAAACTACGAAATTTTCCTACAGAAAATTTCCTACTATTTTCCTACAGAAAAGCAATGTCCCACGAGCAAGCATGCTGTTTGGATGATTCGCACATCCCTTCAAGATATCCCAACTTCCCTATTTATTTCTTCACATAAGCAGTCCTTGTGCCAAAGCCACAAAAACAACCGGCTCAAAAATATTTGCTAGTCTGGGAAAAGAATCTGGATCTTATAAAGTYCTGCCGAAATATGCATCACATGTTATAGGTTTGTACTGCAGTGCAGAACTTGCATAAATTTCACTTACACACTTACATATTTTTCTGTTTCTATTTTTTTTTGTATTCTCTAGGGGAGAGGAAAGGAAGTAGCAGACAACAGGAAAAGGCCACATGTCATGGGGCAACCCATGTATCATTCTAATTTAAAGCAAAACAAAACAGAAAACCTTTCAAATCCAAATTGCATCATCAAGCCCAAAGCGGGAGGTGAAAAACGACACTGGCTTTAGCTGGGAGAAATAAATAAGCCCCTATAAGTATCGTTCTCCAAGAGTGATCACCATGCAAGCTTTAAAATACTTTCAGCTTTTATTTTTTTACCCAAAGTGACAGTTATGTTCTAGTCTCCCTTTTAGCCTATTAGGCCCAAAGCCTCCTCTGGAGGAAAATAGAGAGATGAGGATGCTCTGTCAAGGCAGATTTTCTTCTAGAATTAACAGCAGCCAAAGCAGGGGCAGAGCTCCAGTTCTTAAATGACACGGGGAGGTGAGAGAACATTGCATCCTGTATAACACCAGGAAAAAACCTGCATGCTCTAACCCCACCTGTGCTGCAGAAGTCTTTCTTACTCCTCCTATTTACACATTTACTGTGCAATATTCCTTGGGAAAATACAAGTTCAGAGAGAGGTAGAGAGCGAGAAAAATCTCAGGGTCTCTGCTCATGCAGAGCTGTTCTGAAGCACACGTATGAAAACCAGAACCTGGCCCTTTTGGTTTATAAAAGCAACGTGTGGGCACACGTGTTGCCTTGCGGTTTTAGGCAAATGCCACAGAGCTTCCCCCTGGGGATCCATCATCTGAGTCACAAGGGGCAACTGGGGAGACTCGGGGCCAGGAAAGAGGAGGAGGCAGAAAAGAAAGAGAGGTGGGAACGCTGCTCTCCAAAGAGGCATCTTTATGAGGCTAAAAAACAGGGGAAAAAAAACCCCAAAACTAAATTTGGATAGCACCCATTCTGTCTTAACAATTTTTTTTTAAAGTACATAGCCTGCTACTACCCATTCTTTAAAAGAAAAACTGCATTTCGCTATTAGAACAGCCCAAAAGAGGAAGCCTAATGCATTTATACACACATATGCATCCACATATATTTAGGTATACATGCATTAAATTAATAGGCTGGTGCTCTGTCACTCACGGTGGCCCTGTACCAGCCTGTGCTTGGCTGATTAATGCATTAAATGCATTCTGCTGCCAGTAAAGTTTGGCAGATCTCTGCATTCGGGGAGCACAGGGAGCCTGAGCAGGGCTAGGCATAACGTTGGCTGTTGTTATTTCTGCCAAACCTGGAGAAAACCTTCACAGGAAGGGCCGCTTTCTTTCCAGTTTGCTCAGTGGAAGCGAGAGAAGAGGAGCTTGGAACCTTCACTTAATTTARTGTGTCCCCATGCTATTTGCTAGTACCGACAGGTTCGTCCTTATTTTTGTATTCTGTGCAAGTATTAACAACTGAGCACCTTACAAGCCATTAACCTTCAGACTAAAAGCAAATACCCCTTTGTATTTATTTTATGCAATAAAGACACAAGGCAACATGCACACCTTGAAAAGAAAAACAAAACACCAACTTGAGAGAAAAAAAAATAAGAATGAAGAGACACAACAGAGAGAGAAAGCAGAAGCAAGACGAGCTTCTCTTAAAAGGGTCGGTACCTTTTCCTGGACAAAGCTGGCGTTCCCCAAGGAGAGGGGAGAGAAGTCTCATTTGTCAGGCAAGGAGGAATCTGCTCTGCACGACTACAGACAAAACAGACAGGGGTGGGACAGAGAGGTTAGAGAAGAAACCAGAGGCGAGAAGCTTGTTAGTTTTACACCAACCACCACCAGCAAACCTCTTTTGTAAGAGGATCCCTGTTTCAGAAACAAGGCAGGCGACGAGGAGCCCTGCTGAGCAATGCAAAGCGGGCGCCGGGCGCGCGCACGGCTCCGCACTCGGCGGAGGGCTGGTGCTAACGAGCCCAGAGCCCAACAGAATCACTGTTTTGCTGCTAAATGGCAGAAATCACGGCGAGAAATTAAAGCCCGAGCAAATCAGCTCGACCAGCGTAGGTTAGAAATAAAATCAATGTTAAGTCCACAAAAAAACATGACTTAGGAAAGAGGGGAGAACATGGTCACTAAAGATGACAGCAAAGAAGGGCAATGAATGAGGTTGCTCATGCAGCAGCTCTAGGACATTTACTCACCCCATTCTTGCTTCTTCATACTCTACTGCTAGACACTGTTATGGTTTTGATTTTATAAGATGTACAACATATTCTTAATACCTTTTTCCTTCCCTCAAATTGAATGCCAATGATATTTTTAAATGAGACGAGGCAAATCAATTCCCTGTGAGTGTGAGCTACCTTCAAACATAAGCCCAAACTCCAATATGCTTACCTATAATTTCTAACAAAAAAAAGACTACTTGCATTTTACAAGCTAAATGGGAATTTAAAGAGGCCTATCCACTTAAAAAACCTAAAAAACAAAAAATCAGTTTACTTGGACATTACCTAAGGATTTGTCTTAAAATTCCATATTAAAGAACAACACAAATTATGAGCTGATGCTGATTTCTTTTTTTTTTTCAGTTGACTGAAGATGCACAAAAACCTCTAGTTCTGTAGGATAAGGCAAGCAGACTGGCCGGCCCTCAAGCAACCTGTTGCCTAAACACATCAAATATAATCATAAATAGCCACCTCTATCTTGATATCATGCTGAAAACACTGAGCAGAGGGAATATTGCATATCCCTGAGAGCACCTCTACCCTAGCACAATATTTGGTCASATGCGGACACCTTAGTTCTGTGGGTGAATGAAAGGAACAAAGAAATACATTAAGGTGGAAATACTAAAGCTTGCAATGAACACATTCCAAAGAAAATACTGGAGAACATTAGTGGGGAAAAAAAAGGCCCATACCTGTCAAAGGAATCTGTTGCTACTTTGTAGAGGTAAATGAAAAGTTTGCTGCAGTGTCGCAGCGTGGGTGACACCGAATCCAGGGATATTAGGTCATCCTCCAACAGTCTTTGAAACAGCTGCGTGTTTGAAGGGAAGACATTCAAGGGACTTATCTTCCGAGAGTCGGAGAAGCAGCCAAGCAARCGAACGGCATCTGCCAGCTTCTCATACTGGATCTCTGTTTTGAAGAAGTGCGAGTTGGCCGGCTCGTAGCGCATGGCCGCCGTCAGCGTGCAGAACACCGTGTGAAGCAGCTCGAACACTTGATTCTGGTTCACTTTCTCCCAGCCGTTCTTCGGGGGCGAGCACAAGGATCTCTCCATGGCGACGAGCAAAGATGTGACATACACAAAGCCGCCGACTTTCCTGAAAACCGTTCTGGTGCGGTGGCTTTCTCTCAACACTGCCAGTAGGGCCTAGGGACAAAAAGAGAARGAAATGAAAAAGAAATAAGGAAAAAAAGAAAAACTCAGCAGCATTACCAATACCTTGAAAAACGGGAACTCTGCTTGGTACGCTGGCAAAATGATTATTCACATTTGTCAGAATTTGGTAATGCCTAAAGTCTCCAAAGATCAACATATCAAGGACTTCAAGAGCCCACATTCCCAAGAGTTAACAAAACGAACAACGGGTGGAGAAGCAATATCTGTAATTAAGAAACAGGAAAGCAAGTTGATAAATGACCTGCTAACAGAAAACCTGGGCAAAGTCTACAGTACAGGTAGACTTGTAAGAAAGGATCCCCCAAATAATTCTCTTAGCGATAAGGCAAAGAATACAGGGATTGGAGAGCAAACTGCTCTGCCATCCTACCTCACAAACAATTCACATCCCAACTGGGCAAATGACTGTAGAAACAAGACATCTTTAGCATTTAAAATCTCAGCATTTAAAATATCTTAAATCTATGGGAGAAAGCTAAAAATTACTAATAATACTGATAGACAAAGTATCTAGAATGAATCACTTTTTACTAGCTTTCCTTCTCTTCTTTTTGAATGATATAAGAACTGCTCATCTACAAGAGAAATATTACGGCTCCTTTTAGTAGAGGTGAACCCRGATGTGCCCGAGTTCTTTCCATTAAGATTCCTTTTTACCTATCATGGCTTGCTTCAGCTTCTTTTCTAAAAAGAACAGTGGTATATCCATCTAACAAATAACATTAGCTATTGTGAGAAAAAGAGGTGGCCCTAGATTAGCAGCTAAATGAACTAGCAGCACAGAACTACTGACATGCTTCTTTTTTCCTCCTCTACTCACGGCTCTCCTCAGGCGAGACTGATCTTCAATGATCACTGTTATTTATGTTTCTGTTAACAAATTAAACACTTGTAACTCAAAAATGAAAGTCTGCCATAGGAAAATTCAAATCAGGCATTGAAAACACACTTGTGTGTTAAACRTTCGCTTTTCTGTGTATCTTCTATATTCTTAACTGACTAATACCCTACCAGGGTAGCCTATCATAACCATAGGTCCTCATTTCTCCTCCATTAACGATGATTACAAATTATGATGCTAAGGGCCACCAACTCACTGCTGGTCACATCTGTGATTCTGAAACTCACGGAGGAAAGAAAGGAAGGAGCATCTAATTTCCTCCCTTGAGCTCTACGAGCCACCTATTTGTGGCAGCTACATACCCAAGCAAATCCCATTTACAACATACTTCCAGAGCAAGGCTCCTAAGCACTGTTTTATTTACCCTAAGGATGTCTGCCTTGAGCTGCAGTTCCACAAGTGGAGCCGAGTGCATGAGGCCCAGCAAAGTGCCCATGTCGTCCTCCCCGCTGGGCGACAACACCAGCTGCTGGATGATCATCAGCGCGTGCTGGCGGCACTGCGGGTACTTCACTATGTTGTGCACGCACCTCGCGCCGCCAAACTCCCTGAAAATCCCTGGGCAGAAGGGGGAGAAGAGGACAAGAACGTGAGGAATGCGAGTCATACAAGTGGCAACAAATAATAACCAGTAAAAAATGTGAAAGCAGAGCAAGAAGAACCATCAACACTGCATTAGTGCATCACAAAGGGGCTGAGACAGGGCCAACAGGAGGCAGCTGCCGTGGCCGGGAGCTGCTGCTATCACATCCTCACGCCGTCTCCTCTCAGGCAGCCTTRGGTGTTCTTCAACTCTCCTTATATGAAAACATCCAGCTCGAACCTTTTTGTCACTCTTTCCCAAATCTTGGCTAATTTACTGCCACAGCAGAGGAATAAAAGTGGAACTGAATAACTGATCTATATAACTCACTGCAATGTATGCTAATTTCTATTTAAACCCCCTCTTTTCAGAACGGCTGCCTCGCTTCTTCACCCGTCACTGAACAGTTCATCTACTAAATCAACAGTAACGTTGTTCTTCCTCTCTTTTGACAGGATCTCTCGTTTGGTGGAAAAAAGGAAAGAAGCAACAGCTCTCAACTCCAGCAAAGCTTCGGGCTTATTACCCACAGCATCCTCACAAGAARCATGCAAAAGAGAGAAGAGGATAAAAAGTTCTCCAATATACACTTGGCTGCGCTACAGATAACAGTGAGCTGCTGCTGTTCTCCAAAAGCACTGGGCATGGGAGACGTGCCAAGGCGATGGAAGCTTAACTCGCAGCAGAGAATACGTGAGGCATATGAGGAAAAACTCTGCTAAGCGAGAAAACATTAAAGCYATGGAGATAAGAGCTCTGTATAAAACCCTTCCTGGAAAGTCCAATCCCGTCAGACGGGACGGCCTTCCCATAGGTAATCCAGCCTCGGCACGTGAAACCAGGCTCATCTGGTTTCCTACAATGGTTTCCATCATAGGAAAGGCATCACACCTTTCCTAAGGCTGTGACGCTGAGATTCCCCAACAGTGGTTGCTAATTCTGAACTTTTCAGTCATTCTAGCCCCGATTCACATGTGTAACTTTTGGTGGAGTCCTTCAGAGCTAGAAATCCCTTAGCCACCATCCAGAACAGACGTATTGATAGCACATATTCCACTGAGACTCCAATGGACACAGGGATTTTCTTCTGCCAAGCCCTTTTCACCCCAATGATGGACACTCCTTACTATACTTCACTGAAAATCATACGTTCTACCTTGCTTTTGATCACATTCTTGTGAAAGTGKCCTCCTCCTCAGTGACCTACTAATCTGAACCTAAGAGCTAAAACAGAGTTATGGCAACTGCTTTCTTGTCACTTTGCTGCAGCATCATATGCTGTTGCTGTAAATAGAAAATAACAGGCAAGCGGGAGAGCAGATGGAAGAAAATGGTAGGGAGGCTTTAGTGCTCCTGTTTAATCCTCATCTCTTGCTCYGATTGCATCACTGGTAGCACCAGAGACCCTGAAACACGAACATGAACAGCTCTGGTGAGGGGAATCACCTCACCCCAAGAATTATTCTTCCTTTCATTAGCAAATGTTTTCAAATCTGTTTGCACTCATGAAACTTGCGGAAAGAATAAGTTAACTTCCCTAGAAAAGCAMGAACATCATGGGACAAAAGTTAAGCAACAATAACAGAACCCAYAGCGCAAAGTGCAAGAAATAATTTGCCCAGCAAAAGGGTGGGGAAAAAAAAARATATAAGCTTTAATCAATCAGGCCAGAAAATATGTTTTAACATTAAGCTGCCAACTTGAGCTGGACAATTTTCAGAGCTGCTTTCTTAAGAATTTGTCAAGGTTTCTAATTTCTCCTCGTAAAATCAAAACACAAAACGGAGGAAGAAAAAACAGTCAGAGTTGGGGGCTGGGGGCGAAGTACCAGAATTAAGATGTTTCATGGCCTTCAAGGCCAGAAGCCTTCTGGCTCCTCAGCAATTGCTTCTGTTGTATCACTCACTCTCCATCTGTTATTTTAAGTTCGCAGAGACAGTTTTTATTTATGTTAGATACACATATTGTCCGTTTCATTAAGATGTGTTGGATAGCAAGAGAGTGTGTAACATTATATGGATCTGCTTGATTTTAAAAAACGAGCCGCACAACGGAGCCCAATTTGTAACACCCTGCCTGGGAATTTGCCTTCAAACACTGAGAGCTGCCTTCCACTAAGCATCACATGGATTTTTATCAGATTTAGACAGACATGCCAACGTTAACAAATTACTTACCTAATCTTGCACCTCAGTCTTCCAAAATAGAGGCAGTGTTACAAGCCCTACTACAAATTACAGAGATGTTGGCAGGTGGTGATAGGGGGTTCTCACTTCATTGTGTTTGATATATTGACTCCTGTCTTCAGGCAATTAATCCAGACTACTCTCCCTTCGGGCCTGTGCTTCACAGTTACAATTTCACAGCTGTGTTGTCAGCAGCCTCTTCACCTACCTGCATTCGTGTTTGATCCTTGCAGTAGTACTGTCAACGTCTCCATAACCAATAAAGCCAGCTGCTTTTGGTCCTCAAACGAACTGTTTCTTGAATCCCCTGAGAAAGAATTTTAGAAGCCCAAGACATGGCTTAAATCACTCTTTTTTAGGATGACAGTGATATTTCCCACCAGCWTTTTCTGTTGTCTCTCCCTAAATATTTCCTCTCCTTCTAGGAAAAAAAGCCCTAACACAAGAGCATGTGTCTACAGGTAGCAGTCTAATCAGATGACAGATGAGTCCAAGAAGCACYGGAAAACTCATATGTTTTTCAGTATTTGCTGGCAATGAAGCTTTCTACCTCTAATCAACTGCCACCACTCATTAACCAAACCTCAGATGGTAAATCTGAGGGAAAYGGTCAAAGATTACTATTAAAATATAAATATCACTGATACACACTCATTATATTGCATTTTGAATAAAGAATATTAAAACAGGTAGGGTGTATGTGTGGATACACACATGCTCCTATTAAAGGTATGCACTTAATGACACTTTTCCTGCCTGGGGTTAAACCCACTGAAATACCCAAGTGTTTTCAGTGACATACATTTATCTATAGCAATATGGATTGCTATAGCATCACTCCTTTACTTTCTCTTCTAATTTCAATATTAAAACAATGCATTAAAACAATCATTTTTAAAAGAAAATATGAGCTACTTCACATTCCCATTGCATCTTTCGTTAAAGAATGCCTCAGGCTTCTTACACAGCATAAGGAGAAGAGGAATTCCCAGGACATATAAGATCCCACAGCCAATCCTAGCAGAACGGAGCCCTTTATGCAGACATGCAAGTTCCCCTGTTCCTCCTTTCAAGCCTCCCCACTTGCAGCCAAAAAGACACATATTAGATCAAGGGAAGAAGCCCCCATACCTTGGTCGTTCAGAGCCTGCGTGGGATCTTTCAGAAGGGCGGCGTATTTGTGGAGAAGATTTACCATCACCTCCAAAAGCCCCACCTCCCTGAAGACATCCTTGAAGATGTAGTCGTGACGGGTGAACTTCAGCAGCGTCTTCACTGCAATGATGCTACACTGGTAAGAGGTACTGGATTTCAGAAGGATGCTCACGCTGATCAGTTCTTTACAGGGTATGTAATTTAAGCTGAAGACCACGAATTCCAGCATCTCAAAGTATTTGGTCTGCACTTCTGGAAGTTTAGAGATTTTCTCTGCAAACTGAGACAAGGTGTGCTGCGATTCCAAAATGAAGTAGTTGGCATTGTCCGCCATATAAATATTCGTGATGGCATCGAGGATGATTTGTGCTAGATAGTTAGTTTTTGCTTTCAAAAATGCATTCTGGAGGACAGAGAACGCTTGAATATTCCTCACACTGTGACCTAAATCAGGAAACAGAGGTGTGAGAAAAAAAAAAAAGAGAAAACTTTTAATAATCATAAACAATGAGCACATGCCTGAATAATGATTCATGCATTTTCATAAGCATGAATAAATAACAGCACATGTCACCTTCATACTAAAACAGCCTTTTCAAAGAAGCTTTTGCTCCTTCGATGATACTGCAAGCTCTATGACCTAGTGTCGTTAATACAACATTTTCACCTTTGAAAACAAATGCTCAGATAAGCAGCAAGACGATGCTCTCTCTAACGCAGCCTAAGGGCTGGCAAGCAGCAGAAGCAACATCAGAATCCAGCTCATCTGTGTTTTGAAGGCATGCAACAAGCAGCAGCCCTGCTGAAAAACAACACAGAGCCTATGCCATCTAGCTAGCCCATTAAAAAACATCTTGCAGCAACAGTGGAGTGCTCTGTATTTCCTAATGGAGGAGACAGGCTGCATTTAGAGTAACACGCCTCCGGTTCCCCTCATTTAACAGAGCAATAAGCAAGGAAAAAGCCTCATGAGCTGAGTTAAAGGTAAACAAAATGCTTAGGCTCTGGATTATCCTCTTCCTTCCCCTCTTAGGAAATCATCTATGGAAGGGAGAGAAGAAATTCTGCAGGGCTGGAGCCAGCCAGAGAGCAAGTTGCTTTCACACACCCGACCTAGCGACTGCTCTGTTTCAAGCTGAAAGGCTTTCAATGCAGCACAGGAGCAGGTGCCAGGGTATAAAAGGAGAGAAAGCCCATAAATCCTCCCAGTTCTCCGTCTCCAAAGGAGTGCACATGATGCGGTGTTGCTCACTCAGGCAGGCAGCTCCTTTCTGTTGCACACCCCTAATATCCCTAAGGCCTGCAGAGCTCTCTCCTGCCAATATCCTTTTAGACTAGCTGTTGCTCTAATGCTCTTAGGAAAGACCAGGGAATATCTGTGCCACATTAATGCAGCAAGATGCATCAGCGAGGTGAGGTTATAGGTGCTTCAGGACTTGCTGCGCAGCGCAATCCATCACACCAAAGTGCTCTGGGCTTTGTGCCAAAGAGCCCCCCAAATGGGAAAGCTCTATGCAGTTTTTCTACATGTACGTCTGAGAACAAGGAGCTAGGGAGAGGGTGAACGTTTATTAAGATGTTATAAGAGGAATACCTTAGATGCTGGAGGAGGGAGGTCTTGTTTTCAAACAAGCCCAAAGCAACTGAATGACCCAATTTTAAAATGTTTCATAAACATAGAATCCTGATTTATGACCTGCGCTCTGGGGAATGACACTTGCTTCAATTGCTGTAAACTAAGATAACTGACTTAAAAGCAAATTACAATTATTTCAGTGCTAAGCATCATTCCTTTCCACTCCAGCATTTCTTTCCAAGAAACTGCCTTGGAAAATAACATGCACACATTTCATGCACTCAGGGCACAGCGGCGTCACACTGCAAGTCACATTAACTTGTTCCTAAGCTCAGTTGTTTTGCACACTTGTTTTAAAATGAAGTGTGTTGAGAAGTGAATTTAGAGCTTATTAAACATGACAGAGAACAGAGGCATTGTCAGAGACAACTATTTGCATTCTCATTATGTATAAACTGTTGTTTCAGGCAACCAGGCAGATTAATAAATTATCTTTGATTCTTATAAGGGCCCCGGGAGAAACCAAATCTGAACCAGCTCTTCAGCATTGAAAAGGGAAGATTTAAGTAAAATCAATGAAAACACGATAATGTTTTCATTTTTCATCACTCTTTAAAAAAGTGGCTTGTCAACAGAATGGACACCTAGGTAAAAGGAACTCAGATGCCATGGCCAGCACCAGAAAATTAAATCCAAATTGTCTTTGGGCTAGTCCAACAGACTTAAGTTTTCTCATGCTATTTTATCAGCAAAGCCAATGAGCTTGGGAAAAAATGTAACACGTGTTTTCATCAGAGCATGAACAAAATAAACTCTGGATATGACCATCGCCCTCTTTCCCTATTTAGCACAAGGGAAAACAATTCCTACGAACTCTGAACTCTCTAAATACCAGGGAAAGGAAGCTCTGGTTCCAAGAGCCGAGACATGTAAGGGAAACAACAYGAAAGCAAAGCCGGGAGCCACTGAAACTCCCAATAAAAGGTGTGAGGAGGGAGAGCAGTGCAAAGGGCCACGGAGACCCAGGAGCACTCACCTTTGCCTGTAGGCTGGGGGACTGCAAAGCCAGGGAGCAGGAAAGGGACCCCCGTGGTAACGCCAGCTGGTTTCAACTCATTGACGCCATATGTGGTCAAGGAAGTTATCAGATTCACCAAATCCTTCAGAGCATCCTTAGATTCAGCCTCTTTTGCCTGTTCTAACCTAAAGAAAATACAGCAGGGCATGTTAGCACAAAGTTCAACTCATGTTGCTCTAAGCAGACATTCACTTTGCTCTGCTAATTTACACAATATGTATTAAGCGAACCAGAGTGCCCTAAACTTGAAGTATTTCRAGTGTTCTCCATTCACATTCCTACCATTAAATCAATCAAACACTCTTTGATTTAAGGTAGCATACAATTTTATATGCCATTAAAAATTCACCTAATAAATCTTGCCATGAACTCAACAGACTGCTCARAACCAGCACACATCTTAAAATCACTTTAAAACTCCTCTTAAAAACAGAAGCTATCTGAGAGAAAAATGCCTCAMTGGTCTGTCATTAAATAAATCCACAATTCACTTGCCCGATTACAGCTGCCAGCTTGAGAATTAATACTCTGTGTTAATGAAAATGTATCGCAGTAGCAATGGAAGACCTAGAAGTGCACTAATTGATGCTGGAAATTCCTAGCAAAATGGYATCAGAAAGAACAACAAAACTGATCACTCAAATACAGATTCTTCACTTGTCATTCTGCACTACCAGCTCCAAAGCCCCTCTCTGACTTTATTCCCAGTCTCCACAGTTCATATCCATATAGAATCTGAATAATCCTTACAACGGTACTAAATATCTGAAAAACAGTCTTTGTCCATTGTTTTCACTCCAAAACSTATCCGGAGAGAAGACATGGCTGTTGATAGTTACTGATCAATAATGTGGGCTCGTCCAAAAGGCTGCTTCTTGGAAACAAACTATGGGTCGGTTTGAAGGTAAAAAATAAAGGGCATATTTCAGCAGTTTTAGCTCAAAAGAACAACTCACACACAGTTATACAGAAATTCAGTACCTCAAATGCAACGGCTATGCTTGAGCTCCCTTTGAAGCAAAGAAACCAAGGAAAGAAAGAAAAACAAAACAAACAAAACAAAAAAAAACTGGAGGCCCAAAACCAAGTCATGTTATACAAAACTGGAATGGAAAATTTAGCCCCAAATATTGGGGTGCCAAAACCTAGGACTTCACCTTGCTCTAAAAGTAGACAACAGTATAAGACACTGGATGAGCTCTACAATCATGGAGTTGACTTCCACGCTTGGCTCGTAGTTTTGAAAAGCTCTGTATTTGAACAGCAGCACATGAAATTCCTCAGAATTTCAAATCCAAAGAATCCAAACGGAGGGAGCACAGACTTAAAGCAGTAGAGGTACCACCTTATTCAGCTTCTAACAGCAAATGTTTTTAAACATTTGCTTTCTTAGCAGAAGCACTTCGTGGTACAGTAGCAACTCTTAAAAAAGAAGGAAAACGAAGTTTCATAAATGGGGAAGAGGATGTAATTTTACTTTTTGATCCCATCTTCAGTCCATAGCAACCTATAGGCATTTATTAATTAATTACTCATTTATTTCCAATCTATCCACCTCTTCTTTATTAAGTAAATCATTCAGTAAAAGTTAGCAGCTTTTGAAGCCCTTTTGCTTACCTGAGCAAGAGGTCACAGAGGAAGTTGTATCCTTGCCATATTCTAAAATCATCCAGGAGCGTTTGCGACACATCGCTGGAGTCTTTGAGGAAACAGGAAAGCCCAGCAAACATTTCCACTATTTCTAGGGGAGAAAGGTCATCGGACTGCTGCATGTTCTGAACGCACGTGGACAAACATTCTTTTTCTGAAAAGAATTGTGATTAGGAAATGTAAGATTTTACTGACATTGAGCATAGGAGCAATTAGTGAAGTATAGAAGGTGATAAAATAAGGTACTTATAAATATATATATTTTTTCCTTTTTCAATCATTGTAGATTGCCAAAAATTGCAATAATGAAGCTAGCTCATTTAAACTGATGCTAAAATTGCATATGCTTTTAGACCATCCTACAATTTGAAAGCCTTCAATGTAACAATAGAAACAGATTCTGCCAAATTTTCTATCTCAAACCTAATGCCCATGAGATTTTCAATCAAACTGCAAATCATGGGTGGCTGCATCAGTCTAATCTGGTCTCTCCATCCAAAATGAAAAATGTCTGGGAAAAGAGCGTTCTCTGAGCACACCAGAATTAGCTCTCCCTGGTTTGCTTAATGCACCAGTATTTACTACAGGGCAGCAGCTTTTATGAGCTTCTAATAGCTCCAAGTGCGTCAGCAGAACACGCGGAGCCGGTTCCTTTTCCTGTGGCTTCCACAGATGTCCCCACACTTACGTTGCCAATCACAGTGGTGCCTAAACAGGCAGCTGGAAGTGAGGTGCAGAGGGGTGCTTTGCCCCTGGGCAGGGGCTGCTGCTGACTCAAATGCAGGACAGGAAATAAGAAATTCTCCTCAAGAATTCAGGCTACCAGCAAAAATCACATCTTGTGCACCTTTCCAATGAGTGCTTTTCAATCCAGGCCGTTATTAATRTTGCCAAGAAAGGAGTAGGTAGAAAGCCTTTCCTTTTGGATAGAAAAAGCCTCATGCCAAAATGTTACAGGAAACCATGTTCTACGATGGTGAAYGGATATATGGAAGGACAAGGCTCACTACCGACGCCTCACATGCCATGAGCACTCTGAAGTTCCCCCAGGAGAGAAATACCTACATATCTAAACAAAGACCACGTTAATCCCTCTTGGATGTATTCACGCCTATTTTATAAATAAATAAATAAATAAACTATGAAAGAAAGAAGATTGAGATWTGATCAATATAGAGTATTTGAGGAAGACACACGTACCATGAATGTATTTGACTACGTTGACACTAAGGCCGTGACGCGATATGGTCATTAGTACTTCCCCCGCACTCTTCCTCCAAGGCAGGTTATAGGGAGGGCACCAGGAGGTTATTGCACTGAACAGAAGCTGGAGATCATCCTTCTGAGCCAGTTCTTCCGCCGGAGACACAAAACTGCACAATTTCACTAAGATCTGAAAGGAGAAGTCATTAAAAAAATCTAACATTAACACTCCCTTTGTTAGTACTTATGTTAGTTGTAAGTTAATACTTATGTACTAATGAGAGAGAGACCACAGTACTAAGATTTAAACAAGAAACACACCAGCCAACAGGCAAATCGGGACATTTTCATATGGTGACACTTTCGGGGCAGATATTCTAGCTAGTAATTGAGGGAATGACTCTCATCATCTTTTTTATAGGGCTGGTACCRAAACGCCTCACCAAAGTTGTATTTTCAAACCCAGATGTTTGAGGGGCATCTACCCCTTTCCAACAGCAGCTTTCAAGCTCCTTCCAACAAGGCTGATCAAAAACATGTGTGGGAAATTCTTCATAACAAGAGCTCTGTTGAAAACCTCAGAAAGCTGAGGCAGCTCAGATGGAGCCTCTGGTCTCCCTGGCAAATCTGCACATACAGAAACACCTTCAATTGCTTTTTAACTAAAGTAATTTACTTGGAGGGGAAATTGCAATAGTGCCAGCAAGCTAAGCTGGTTGATTTCCTACTTAAAGGAGAAAAAAAAAAATAATGGGAAGAGATAGGAATTTAACTTAATAGGACAGGAGATAGGAATTTAACTTAATCCATCTCAGCAGAAGACAGCAGTTTGTGAGGAATCAATCAAGAGTAAAACACAGCCCAGAGAAGAAGTTTCTGGAGATTTCTCTCACGAAGCCTTTGCCTTCTCTTTTGAAATTTTATAGCCCGTTTTATGTTTCTTACCTGTACAAAGACTTTCTGGAGTAGCGCTCGGCGCTCTGCGAGAGGTAGCTCGTTCTGTGCTCCCCCAACTACCTCAGGCACATGTGGAAGGTCAAAAAACAGATATAGACATTTTACAAGTGTGGAAGGCACTGACATTGTAGTCATGCAGTCCACGGTTTTCTGGAAAGAAAAAGATAAAGGGAAAAAACCTTTCAGTATATTACTATTTTGAGAAAGTCGTACTCATGTAATAGCTTGCTCAAATGCTAGGAGGCATAAAGAGCAAAGAAGAAGAAAATATGAAAACATCAGTAGGAAGAAAAGGCAAACTGGGGTGGACATAAACACAGATGATATGTTGAGATATAAAGGCAGATCAGAGTGGGAAGAATAAACCACACAGCTGTCCAGGACACTGCTACGGATCAACTGTCTGATGGGGAATCACAGAGATGAAAAAAGAACTACAACATCTTTTTGTGTGTGCTAACACAGCTCGTTATCAGGGTAACTTGTCTCCTCCCACGTTTTTTTCCCAAGCTCTCCATGAAAACTAACCTGTCCTGATGAAGCTAGTAAATTAATTGTGGTGAGCAGCATCCAACCTCTACTCGCTTCTTCACTTTGATTGACCTCCAGAAACTGGACTATGGCACGACTTGCAGCCTCTGTGAGAGGGAAGAAATAAAAAGAAAACATGTTAACCCAGCAGGCATACTGCAGTTACATGCAGCAATTTTTATTAAGTATTCCAGTCCTATCAAACATGACGCACCCTTTCCCAGAGGCAGAAAACCACCACCGATTACTGCTTTCAGTGGGAAAAACCCAATAATTTCTGGAAGGAGAGGTGCAGAAAGACAAAAGGAATAAGAGGCAGGGTGAGGAAAGGAAAGGAAAGGAAAGGAAAGGAAAGGAAAGGAAAGGAAAGGAAAGGAAAGGAAAGGAAAGGAAAGGAAAGGAAAGGAAAGGNGGAAAGGAAAGGAAAGGAAAGGAAAGGAAAGGAAAGGAAAGGAAAGGAAAGGAAAGGAAAGGAAAGGAAAGGAAAGGAAAGGAAAGGAAAGGAAAGGGAAAAGGAAAGGTTAAGAGGAAGACCAAAAATTACCACATCTCCACCTTACATTCTTTAAAAGTGTAAAAGCAAGCAAATCATGGCTAAATATTATGCTCAAGTGACTGTTTAGAAAGCAAACGGACATGCCAGAGCCAAGGTCCTTATCTCAAAGTTACATGTAAAACACCAGAACTCATGGTAAAATCCACTATTTCAAGCATGTCTAGAGCCCAGCCAGCCCATATKAGAGGCCACTTAACAGACCCCTTCTTTTTCCACTGAACACAGACCGAGCCAGGAAATGAGCGCACACAAAACGGTGCCAAATTGGGCATGGAGAGCCTCCCTCGGGCACGTTTTCGGAAAGCACTTGTGGAACACGGGTTCTTYAAGTCATTTTTTAAAAGTGAACCTCAGAGGTTAAGTATGAGCTTCTGAAAGCGTTATTGGGCTGCTGGCATCATGGCAGTTGGACACTATAAATAACCGCTTCAAAACTGTCAGCCTTAATTAAACATCAGCTAAAACACRGGCAGATTTTTAAGTGCAGGGAGAAATTCTCTGGCCGTCTGCTCTGAGCAAAGTTGAGAGCGCCACAGTTCACAATTCATCCCTATCATCAATATCAGCCCTATCGTGATGCCTTCTACTTTGGCCCTGTGCTCCCTCTTTCAGGTTTAATGTACAGGCAGTTGCATCCCACCYGTACATTCTTATCTCTCTAACCTCTGCAGAAGAGGTCACCTAAGCGAGCCAGAAGATGGGAACAGTTCCAGTTGCCTCGCTGGTAAGAGAGCAATATCAACCCAAATCGAGGTGACCAAGTCCTCCTYGGCCCTGGATCCTAAACGGTGCGGGGCTGTCGCCACAGATGGGAGAGGTCTCTGCATGATGCAACGCGGCAAAACCAGGGGGCTGCTCATCAGATGATGGAGAAGCCACTCAGCCGGGCCTCCATTTAGCCTCACTAACACCACGGATAAAAGAAATGGCTCTCCAGGATCTCTTGGCAAGAGTGGTGTTGAGCCAGAACGCTGCACTCCCCTTGCCTTGGATGAGGGCTCATCAATGGTATCAGCAAGGGGACAAGTTACCCAGCCCTCCAAGAGAGATAGAAACCCTCCCCTAAGTCCACTTGGGCCATAACCCCAGTTTTTCATCATCCCAGACTTCATTATGGCATAAAGGCGGCCTGAAAAGGCACTTAATTGAGAGGCTGAGGCCATTTCTTGAACTGCTGCCCACGTTTAACCCAAGTGCAAGTTCCGCTTGAGCAGGAAAGCAAACCGCGTTCGGCTCTTGCCTATCTGCAAGCAGCACAGGAAAAAAAAAAAAAAAAAAGTGGCTCTGCTGAGGCATGCCGGAGCGAAACCACAGCAAAAGCGAGAAACAAAACCCCAGCATGAGATCAAGGGGCTTGCAAAAGGGACAAAAATCAAGAGAGACATTGTGAGGTGCAGCACGTAAATCAAAAGCACTGATGTGGTTTTCTGCAGCGGTTAATCATGATGAAGATAGGTATCAGTTTGGTCTCCCAAAGCGGTTTTAAGCTGTGATTAACAACAGGCTTTCAGCACATCCGCTCACGAAAGGTGCAAGAAGCAGTTTTAGTAATTCAGTGAAATTAAGAAAAAAAGAATTACATGGTCGAGGCAATAACTGGGGAAGTTATTTCTGGAAGGCAGAAATGATGAGCTTAATAGTCTAGAGGTACAGTAAAATAAATAAATCCAGCTTGAAGTAGTGAATACTGTGACAATTTCATGCAGAGTGTCACAAATATGGAATGAAATGTTGCCTGAAATCACTAAGGTGAGACAAAACAGAGCTGATTTTGAAAGGTACCTAAACCAGTGATATCAACAGTGCGTGAGCCCATCACATACACAATTACATTTCAGGGTCTTTAGTTGTTAAAATATATTAAATCTTAAAAGCAAAAAAAAAAAAAGGAAAAAAAATCCCAACTTTTAATTTTGACTTTCTCCATTTTTATTACTCCAAGAGTACGTTTGTATATAAAAAAAAAAATAATAATTCAGTTGAAACAGTAGTTGAGCACAAAGCTACAAGTGCAACAGTGAGTGACTACTGAAGACAGGAGGCTGGCACCATTATTCCTGAATCATGGAACACTGTTCTGAGAAAACTACTACCGTTTGCCAAGAATAMCTGAGATGTGTCATAGCTACTGGCACAACTATTCAAAAGCCTCATGAAAAAGGTCACACTGTGCTCCATAAAAAGATAGAAAAAAACCCAACCCTTCCTGTAACATGTATCATATCATATTCCCAAATGTAAAATACTGCCGAGGAGTTTAACACTTTGCAGATAAAATGGAAATGTTCACAGGATTTCCCTCCCCGCCATGTCAACCACTTAAAGTTGATTGTTGATAACATCTGTAGGAAAAGCTTATCTCCAAAATTGTTAAAAAAAACCCATATGAGGAGATATGATTGCATGTTAATAGGCTATTGGACCAGGCAATCATCATTTTTCATGGTCTACGAAAGGAATGTAATCTAAGAAAGAACAGAGAGTTCGTTCCATATATACGATGATACATTTCRAGAAGCTTCAAGACTCAAAAATTCCTGTGCTATCTGAATGAGAAATTGTGATTTTCTGTGTCTATGGGTGTGTTTTCTTTTTCCCAGCTCTATTGAAATGATTATTAACCACCTCAGAAGCTGTTCTTTGAAACAACAGCACTTTTATAGACCATTTCTTCCCCCAAATACGACAACAAGAACAGCACAACAAATCTAATACCAGGTAACACAAAATTTCACGGTAGGAGTGTAGCAGAGGTGTAAATAGAGCTTCCCAGGCCTCCTCAAATCCGAGAGCTGATTCTCTTCCTTCACTTGGTCTTTCATACTGTAATCTAAAGAGTGCAGGGTTCCTATGGTACTGAAATTTATTGGCTATGGTAGTTAACATACAGAGAGGTTGGGTTTAGATCAGCACTGGGTCTCCCCAGCCAACTCCCTTCTAATGAGCAAACCAAGGCAAGGGCTTGTAAGACACAACGCTTGGTTGTTCAGCATATACTAAGAATAATAATAAAAAACCATCAGCATGAGGCTAAAGCAATTAGACAAGGGGCATAAATTGGGATTAGGCGTAACAGAAACGCAGTCCCTGGCTTGAATGAGCTCCAGAGGTTCATCCAGCAGCTCCGCGTTCATGCAGGTTTCCACATGGTCTTGTGAATCAGAAGCAAACAGGAACTGTATTAATTCACACACAGCTGTGAAAACTGCATGGTAATCCACCATTTAGTTTTTCTTAGCATTTTCCAAGTGGTATTTTAAGCCAGCAGGGTCTCAAAGCAGGCTGTTATTAACATTTATCGGGASGAAGGAGAAATTGCCGACTTTCATGAGCACACGCCGACTGCCAGAGCACGTTTGGTTAAATCAGGTTTGTTCTTCCTTTATTTGCTCCCTTAAGATGTTCTCTGTGCATCAATTTATCTCACATTTCACAGCTTTGAGCGAGAAAATGGAATGAATTCAAAACCTTTGAAAAGTAATACCATTGTAATGCAAGAGCTATTTCGCTCATTTTTTTTTTCTCAAATAGCCTAAGTTGGATAATTGATAAACTTTGAGTCCTGTTCTTGCAGGCATACTTTGCATTAATAGTATGTTCYCCACCCCTCCACATCTTGAAGCAGGAGGCACACAAAATAAGTAATTATCCAATTTCCCTGTTGTACAGAAGCACTTTCTGTAACAAACCGACAGCAAAGAAGGCTGTGCCRTTGAGGAGTATAATTAATCACCCAGCAGTGAAAAGGTATTATGCATTTTCAGYCATTCTGCACTTCAATCGACCAATATTCAAGGTATTTTGAAGTCAGAAACARAAGAATAAATAGGAAAGCAAAATTACTTGACACTAGTGACAAAGATTATCAGTTCACTGATAAATGAACAGAAGGTGACACCAGACATAACCCGTGTTGGATGGGAGGAAAAGAACTTGGAGAGGGGACTTTCCCCCATATCCCATGCTCTGCTTTTGGGAGTCCAACGGATGTGATCACCATTATCCACTACACTATATATTAAATCTTGATCTACTTTTTGAAATTTGTTTGATGCCAGTTGGCTGAAAACAAGCAATTCCACATGCTGGCATTAAAATGGAAATTATTTCTATGATAAAGTTTAGAAGTAATTAAAATTCTGACACAAAACTCCACTATAWCCCTCAAATACATAAAACTCTCAACCTCCCATTATTCTCTAGATGCTGGAGTTCAATAACCCAAAGCCTAGCAATTTCACCAAAACAGAAGACAAAATTAAAATTTTAAGTGAACCTGTAGTTTGCAAGTTTTATTTTCTTTCTTTTATTTYTTTTCTTAATACTAGGGGAAAAATGTTGGAAGGATGAACACTGAACTACCTTGGAGCAATTAGGCAGAGATATAGTTGAAGTAATAAATATGTAAATATGTAAACAAGATGCCACCAGACATCAGATTTTCCCCAAGAAAAGAAGTTCAAATGAACACCTCCTGCAGCCTTCACTGCTAACTGGACGTTCTTTTCCCTAAATATTCCGGGGAAAATCTATTTTGCTCTTATTTACCCACAGAGAACAGGCTTTGTCTRCTCTTTCTGATTAGCCATCTGGAGTGCTCTACTGTTATTCACTCTACTGGAAACGGAAAGAAATCGTAATTGGCACAGTTTGTGACTCCTGACTTAACATGTAACAATTTGCCTTTTCCAGCTCAGTATTTCCCTATTTACCACCATGAGAGCTGAAAAATATTTACAAGACAAAAACGTGATATTATTTGGAAGTGCTGCTCTTTCCATATAACAATACCCTGAGAAGAAGGCTAATGAAAAASGCTTTCTCAGCTCATCATCACGCGCCTCCCAGTAACTGGGCAGGTTTTGCCACGTTCAGGGTTCAAGAAAGAACCAATCTCTTCCTGATGTTTCATAAACAGAGCAGAAGAGCTGTCCAGTAGCTTGTTCTAGGTTTAGGGTTTGGGCCCTTAYGTGAGGTTTTTTGCACTTTTGCATTTTCTTATTTGTACCTGGGCCTGCACTAAAGCAAAATGCTCATRTTCCAAACTGGCACGTGTGTGAGCCTGGGGAGGAAACCACTTGTTCCCCTCTCTCTCGTTGCACATAACATCTCTGGTATGAGGATTAGAATTTCAGTGCCTGCGGATGACAAGTCCTACTGTGGGACCCCAAACGTGCCCTTGTGACAAGGCCCCCCAAAGACCCAGACCCCGCTCGGTACCTGTGGACTTATTGGATGCTCTGCGACGAATTTCCGTCACCATCAACCGTGACACTTGGGTCGTAAACTGCAGGAGGTCAGAGAATTTTTCTGTCATTGTACTTGGAGGGGCATTTCCAAACACCTAGAAACAAGAGAAAAATGCACACATTTAAAAGAAATATCAGCTGAGAGAGAATGAAAAAGACTGGTAAGCAAAACTTTGCTGCTAAGACTTTTTCTAACAAAGTATCAATGCCCAAAGCCTCACAAGTTCCAGGCACCCCAAAGGCCATTTCTTTCTTGAGGTTCTCCTTAAAACAGCACCAGGAATTACTGATTGTTTTCTTTTTTTCTTTGTTTTTTAATTTTTGCTTTCCTGCTTCCTCAATGCTATCCTTGTAATTTTAAAAAATGTAAGAGTATTTCCTAAAAACATTGCGTTTACACGTGGTGAGTTTCTTTTATGGTTATCAGTACTTGTAAATAACTGTCCTTTAATTCCAGTAACATAATTCTTCATGATTAAATATTGAATTTGATTAGTAAATAAATCATTTAAGCTGAACTACAYTTAAAAGTGAGAAATTCCTCCGTGGTACTGCATTAAGTTATGGTGCAGGTCATTCTCTCAAAATGGATTAGATGACTTTTTAAAAGATGTACTTCTCATACAAGACTGTACYTTAAAAGTTGTCTCTAACCACATACCTAACTTGCTCTTTCTACTAAAATGGGCATCCTAAATTCACAACATTAAATGTTGCATAATAAGTGAAATCTGCAATCCAAAAACTCAAATTTAAAGTAGTCATTTCCCAAATTCTAGAATCATCAGTGCTGAATAAACCAACATAGGCTGAACAGTTGACTGATCTCAACATTTTTCTCTCCCTGCGGCTAATTGCATAACCTGCAGGAATTCCCCTGACAAGCCAAGATGTGCAATAGTTTACAATATTTTACTGACAAAATTTCGGTTCAACTCATTGGTTTTGCATCTTGGGACAAGGATGCAATGTACAGCAGCACAAATCATCTGGATTCCCCAACTGTTTTAGTCTCCTTTGCTTCCTCTGCATCACCTGGGGTTTAGGATTGCAGCCGAAATATACTGAAATATCAATATACTTGGCTGAGGTCGTCCTTAAGCCTGGACACATACAATAAAATCACAATATCAACCAGAGATGCAAAATATTTGGAGTATGGAGTTACCAAGGAACTTCAAAATTAGTGAATGAAACTAAAAGCTGGAAGATTTAGAGTAAGCTGATTTGAATTTGACTTCTTACTCCCTTAGTATTAATTGTTCTGACACATTATAGAATAGCCAAATGAGTCTCTACTCTTTTAGGCAGCCTAAGAAAAAACACTTTACTGGGATTACCAATTAAGCATCATTGCTGGGATTACCAATTAAGCATATGGAGAAGCCCCAGATTCCCCTAAATGTTTCCCGAGAATAGAAAATATTTTTCTATTTCCTGTCCTAAGGTGGCCTCGTGGTGCCATCAGACTGCAGGAAATGCGGGCAGCAAAAAGTTGCAGTGAATGGGGTGAATTGGTTATGACATTTTTCCTCCCGTGTGCTAAGCTTGCACTATGTAAAACAAGGATCTGAATTAGGATTTTGGTATATATTTTGATTAAAGGCACTGAATTAATAATAATAATTAAACAAAAAACAGTAATAGGGTATGAATTTAACAATAAATCATTTTTAAGAAGGAAAGGCATAGTTCTCACAAGAAAAATACCTTGTTTCGAGGCCACTTATTCAAAAAACCACCCTCATCTCCTCTACTTTTTGGTACTGCCAAAGCTTTACTACAGGACGGTAATGCCGTGCAGCCAGCTGCCTTGCTGCTGCCAGGGCTTGCAGGGCTTCACAGGGCTTGCGGGGCTCCGAGGGAGCGCTCCGATTGCTTTTCCGGAGGGCAACCCTTTTGTGAAGCATGTGCTGATTTAGCTTTTTATTAATATGTGATTCACCCTTTCTTAAGCCCTTCCCAACAAAGCGGAGACAGAAACTCCCTGCAAACTCATTCATTACTGTGGCGGACAAGAGGCTTCAAACTCTAGCGCGTTCAGGACGTGCTATATCTATAAACAAAATAAATCACAGCTGCTTTAGCTGCTCTGGGTTTACTGATTGATAATTCTAAAAATATCAGAAAAAAAAATGAGGAGCTGCTATAAACACAAAATTCCGGGTATCTTTCAGACCAAAAATAAATAAATAAATAAGTCATCGATCATACAAGGTTAAACAACAGAGCAAGGAAACTATGTCATACTGGCAACAGTTGAAACTGTTCTGATGGGTTATTTGAAGCTTGTGTTTATCTTAGTCATGCGTGAAGTAGATTCATGGCATGCAGTTGGTTATCTGGGATGCAAAGGAGATGTTTTTTGTTTTTTTCTTAAATAAGAATTTTGTCATCATTTTTAAATGTTTTAAACAAAAGTATTCCTTATATTTCTTATAGCTTTCCCGGAAGGAAATCCCACTGCGCAGCTCCTGTCTTGCAGAACAGGCCAAAAGTGAAATGCGGGTCCCTTTTGTAAAAACATCACTTAGAAACCTCCCTGGGTATGATTGAAATTGGGTGCATTCAGTAAAACTGACACTTCTTTCCAAACTGCTGCSTGGTTTTCATGCCCTTCCCACCGCCACCCACTCACCAAGGTTCCTGCAAGCTAGTTGCTTCTTCATACACACAAAAAAATATCTCCAATCTAAGTATCACCAAGACAGGTCCCTGGAAGCCTAAGAATTAGACCTTTGTATCACACAAGAAAAAGCCTCAAGCTTCCTGTTAAACACACACAGCTCCTTCTTTCAACAGCTCCTGACTCCCTGTACAAGATATTTCATGGTCTATGTCAAGATGCAAAACAAAACTCTTGCTCTGAGGTCCACGGTTCACTTGGAATTTTCTCCTCATTACAGACATCCATCAACGTAAGAGTCTGTGTTTACGGTGCACSACCGTGGACCCCACTGGAGGCAGTAACCCAGCAAGTACTTCCCTCACTTAAACCTATAAATCAGAATGGTGCAACCACAAGGAAATGAGAGATCTGGAGTCTYTGAATCGAGTTACTTGATTCAAGGAGTACATTCCAAAAATGGCAAAATTTCAATAAAGGRAGGCCTAACTTGTGTTTCAGGGAAGTAGTTCTCAGAGAGGAAAGTCATCTCAGAATTCAGGGTGAATCCAGCCCTCCCACTGAAAATTTCAAATGAAACTCCTTCAAAAGTGAAATATTTACCCTTTTTCTATTTTTTTTTATTCCAGTCATGTTCCGAGTATGGCTTTGCAGAGCTGCCCTACAAAGCTAGCAGGATTGTTCCAAAACAGCTTGCAGCACACCCGGTTTATACTCTAGCAAACTAAGACCCTTTGAACCCAGGAAATCCCTGAGGGCTTTGCATGTAAAGCTCCAAAGAATAGGGTGGCATAAACTAGGAACACAGGAAAAACGCGCAAGTAACAAAATGGTATGCARAAAGAGATAATAGCCATAATTGCAATTGCTTAGCATTCTGAATGCAGGAAGACAAAATGCATTTGTATGAGAGGCAAGGGAAAAAAAACCCTAGAATAGGGAGGGATGAGATCTGACTGATCGAGAAGGATCCATTTTTGGATCCAGTTTGTGGTAAACTACATAATTTGGTGAGAAGTGATAAAGATTATCAGCAGCTGCAGAGAAAGAAGTGAAAGAGCACAGATAACACCTGCTTTTGTCACTGTGCCAGAGAAAGATTCAGATTTACAGAGGCTGGAAACTAGAAAGGCAACATCTGGCAACAGCCTATGTTTGTTGCAAAAACGACAGTTGCCAGAATGTCACAGAYTAAAAATAGCCAGACTATGAGAATGTTAAATCATGTTAAAATGTTAAAAATCAAAATCGGGAAGCAAGAGGGGAGAGGGAGACAGAAAACCACAGATAAGATCCACAAGACAAATATTAGGCAAGAACAAAAGTGCAGCCATCTTCAGCACGGAGTTCACCTGAGGAAAAGGAGGAAACAAAAGGTTCTCCAGGGCTTGGAGAAGGAAAAGAGCCCACTGACAAAACAAGATGATGTACGAACAGTGAGAGAGAGACAAGGAGAATCTTTGGAAGGAAAAAAAACATGAAAACAAAAGAGGAAAATGGGCTTCAGGGGAAAAGAGCACTCAGCTGAGTAGTCAAGATGTGTTTCTACAGGTACAAATGCCAAGTGGCACACATCTCTGAAAGAAATCCAAAAGGTACCTGAGACTAATTAGGCGAGTGCTGATTTTCAGCGAGTAGGAAGAAAATTTGGGTTGCTCTACTTTTTTTTTTTTTTTTTTTTTTTTTTTAAAGAATGCTAGGGAAAAAAACACAGAAAGACAGTGAGAGGGAACAAACAGTGCAAAGATATGTGACAGCTGTAATTAGACTTGAACAGAGTCAATGGAGGGACAAAGAATTAGGACTAAGCCAGACACTGGCACAAGGGGGGAAAAACTGTAGCAAAAGAGAGAGGAAAAAAGAGAGAAGAAGCAATGGGGAAAAAAATTGATTTTCATCTTTAGAACCCCAGTCAGAGMCTAGGAAAGGGTGCTGTACATGGACAGGACACGCAGTGCTGCATTAGTTTCTCCCCAAACCAGGTATAGCACTGATTACAATTTCCACAGATAAAGGGCTACAGGAATTGAATCCCTGCAAGGGCCAGGAAAGACTTGCTTCTCTCCCTGTGGTTTACAGCCGGGTGCCTATGCGAGGACGGTGGGTACACTCCCTTCCAAAAGCATCAGGCTCCACGTTACCACCAGAGGGAGAATTCCAAGCATAAGTACATCAAAATAATATTCACAGGTCAAGGTTAAGATTCCACTGGGCTAATGTGTAAAACCAAATTAACAAAGCCCATGACTAAAAGGCATACAATTCAAATAGATAGATTAAAGAGGAGGTAGAACAACTGAGTTTACTTTCCCCGGACTTACACAACAAGCTACCAGTAGAACTAGGAATAAGACCTAGGGCAACAGAACGAGATTTATGGGATTTATCCACTAAAGCGTGCTATCCAGTAGGCCGAAAATCCTATTAATACTATGCATTGACTAGGATTAATTTTTCTATACAGTTTGTAACCAGTTCAACGTGCAACGTCATCAAAAGCAATGAATTCAAGAAAATATCAAACTAAAGAGAAAGCTCTATTTGTTTTCTTATCAAGTTTCTGCAGTTTAGTTTATTGACGATTCCAGTCCTCCACAGCAGTACATACAAGCCTGACAAAAGCTTGTATGTATTAAAATTTCTCAATATTTCCTTTGTGGGATGCTCAAGATGCCTCTTGTCCAAGAGAGGGACCAACACACTACAGATGCAGCAAAAGGACTACAAGGACAATCAGAATAAAGAATTTATCACAAGAGGAAATTAAAATAGTTCAGCTTGGGTAGCCTGACAAAACACAGTCTGAAAGGAGATATTATGCCTGCTGTCCCTAAAAATGCATCTGTGGAGTAAATGCCAAGGAGGAAGAAGAGTTATTTATGCTCAAGGACAGCGCTGGCACACAAACAAATGGGTATATAAACTTGCTATGAATAAATTGAGATTGGAAATCAGCTCTGAAAGATGAGAATAAAGACCACAGCAGCAGGGGGACTTTACCCTGGAAAATGTCTCATAGTGTAAACTCAGTTTTTCTGCATTCTGGGTATGACTCTATAATAAAAGCAAGCTCTGCAGAAAAGCTCTGTGGCAGTCTGCATGCCACTGTAGCTTGCTCTCCTGAACAAGTGATAATAGAAGGAAATCTCCAGTGGGGAGTTTATCCACTAACACAACGCTGCATGAAAAAAAGGGAGAACAAAAGGAAGCCAAAGCAAGAGTAACTCCTATTGTGCAAGAWCCGCGGGTCTTGGGGCTACACGGAAAACCAAGCCAGCTCCAACAAAGGCACGAWGCCTTGCCCATGCTCCCGCTTACTCTGTTGAACACCGGCAGCATCATGTAAAGCTTTTCCTCTTGCTCCTTCTGGGTCATGTGCCGCGGAGGGTGGCAGAGCTCCGTGAAGAGGCGCCGCAGATGCATCAGGCCCAGCGCGTTGTCCTGGGGGCTGCACTCCTCCTGCCGCGGGCGGCCCATGATCCGCTTCACCATATTCATCTTGGCTGGCTTCTGGACGCGGCCTCCTGTCCTGCGCGGGAAGGAAAGCAAGCGTCTTGAGGACAACAGAGTCAGACATTACCCCAGTATGTTTTAATATAGACCTGCATCTCACCCCGTACTAGAGTWTCACGCCGAAATTCAGAGCACAGGAGCGTTTTATGCAATAAAAATTGATTGGTTTGTGCCTGGGAGATTTCAAGCTGGTACCTTGAGAAAGAAAATCATCTGATATCCTTTCAGCACACAGCACAATTGAACAGACTGAGAACAGCATGAAACGCTTTGGCATTTGGTATAGATTTTTTTTTTTTTAGTGCATATTCAAAACCATCAAATATTAGGGAAAATACTGTCTCCATATTGCAAAGTGTTGTCAAAATAATTCTAGAATATAGTTAAAATATCTATCAATCAAATACTCAAAAATCAAATAATCAAATGCTCTAAAATCAAATCAAGAACAGGCAATATCAAATCAGACAGGCATGCAAACTCTCTCAGCTGTTTGCTTTGCCATACAAAGACATGCTTAAGGGTTTTTTTGTTGTTTTTTCTCCACACTTCCCAATTGCAAATTGACTAGGCTACCCAAAGGAGCTATTATTCATCTCACATCTGTTGTCTGGGTTGCAGGATGATCCCTTGGCACAAGGGATGCAAGTACAAGACTCTTAAAACATCTTGTTGGCGTGAAATATTATCTGTATTTAGCCAAATACTACGTTTTTAAGAGGAACACATATGAAACCCTCTGAATTTGAGACCAAAGTCTTAAAGAAACTTCTCAGAAAAGAACTGAGAGGGTCAGAGCACGTAAAACTCTCGACCAATGCATCCACCTGGACACTGCGGCAAAAGGGACTATTATCACATTTGTGTGGAAAGGAAGGAATAAAGGGGAAGCAGGAAAACAATTTTAGCCCCATACGTGAATTCACAAAGAGAAATAATGGATTCATAATGGCCACCTTTTGATGCAGAAAGGCTGTTGAAAAACTGAAGGTCAGTTAAGAGCTATAAAATCTATTCAAGGCGTAACAAATGCCTTACAGCAAGGGACTTAAAAAACTTAATCTATTTAAATTATCAAAAAGAGAGGTTACCACGAAGGGTCAATTATCAAGAGGAGAAGTGATGATTCCAGAAGTGCTGTGATTACAATAATGGAGAAAAAATACCAGTTACTAAGGAGTTATTAAAYCTAGGGAAAAACCTAGGGGACAAGGTGGGAATTAGAGCCAGAAAACAAACAAACAAAATCAAGTGCAAGCAAGAAATGTATTTTAACAGACAAAATACCATTTTGGAATATGTAACAAATGCTAATGCACCTTCACTAAGCATCTTGTTAATATGCAAGAAAAAAAATCAGCAATTTATCAAGTCTGATGCTAACGCASATTTTATTAAAACCAACATATTAGATGAGAAGTCTAGACTTGAGAAGTCAAACTTTTCTCATGTGCAAACCAGAATCTGTCACAGCCCATGATGGAAATTCCCATCAGCCTTTCATACTTTAGGAGAAAGGAGGTAAAATTGGATAGTTTCTTTTAGTGCATCACCCCTGAGGGGCAACACGGGCAATGGACTTTATACCAGCATGATTCACGCAGTTAAAAATGAAACAGCACAATTCCTGAAATAATTCCAAAGCTTTTCTGAATATATTATTTGGCTTAATTCTCCTACTGTGTTTATTCTAATAATAAGTATATTAAAATTCAAAACAGAACATTTTATCAGAGCTCAAAGAACCAGCCTGCTGTAAGCAGCAGAGAAAAAAGCTATTTTKCATTTTGATAAAATCAAGAGCAGCACTTTTTATTTTTTTATATTTGTTTTCTAATCACAAAAGTTGAGAACTTTAAAGCTAACATGTTCTGTGAGCATTATAATTGAATCCTCCATTGCTGTAGATTTTTGCTGCAGTAGCAGATCTTTCTTTTAGTGCCACAACAGCCCCCAACGGACTTGCACCAAAAAGCACGTCCTGGAGTTTGCCTTGGTTCAACACTAACGGAGTCACAGAACTAAGGATTTTCCTAAAGCTGGAGGACTCCAAATATACACAGCACAGTAGGACCAAGGGAAGAATGGATGCAGCTGCACGTGAATAAAACCCAAATTGATTTCATTTGATTTCTCTTCAAAGCTGCCAAGGGCACTATAAAACTGACATATTCCATCTGCATGTTTAATTCAGTATGAACTCTAACTCAAGAAAAGTTTACTAGAAGACACTGTTTTGGGAAGATCCCACCCTGTGCAGCATTCACTCCATTGATAACAGCTCAGAAACACACAACACATTGCACTCTACAGAGTGAAGATGAGACTATGTCATTTGTGATGTGGCCAGCCTTCTCACTCATGTTTTTCCTGGATTCTCAGTCTTCAAAGCCATGTAAAGTCTGCCTTCAACAGGCAAGCAAATTAAAATTTAGGCTGTATAGTAATTTCAAGGTGATTAGATCCCATTCATGGAAGCCATCCAGAACATTCTTTCTGTCYTGAGGCCAGCACGAGCGCCACATCTCCCAAAATGTTCTCTATACAACTCCAGGAATTGGAGGAATTCTCCCAGTTTTTACTTGTTCTCATTCACATACAGGAGTTTGTTGTTGTTGCTATTACCACAGTGCCCTATATCCATGGAAAACCCGGGACCATAGCAATGAGCACCTGAACTCCAGCTTTAAGCCCAAATCTTTGAATTGTGAGAGGGCTTATTCACCATCTAAAGCAGGTAAAGCTGCCTTACTTAAGAAAYTGCATAACACAGTCTACTTATCCCAAGAAAATCCCGTAGGGTTTAAGCTCATCCAAAATTAAAATCCTAAAAATCTTGAAAGAAAGACAGATTAGAAACACCGCACTAYGAAGCGCTACAGAGAATCGCCAAGTAAAGAGATTCCCGTAGTGCTGCTACTATATCCCAATAAACAGTCTGAATTTGTTTTTTCTTTGCTTAGGATTAGGTTTGCAATAAAAATTAAAAAAAAAAAAAAACGTGTCTTGGCTTTTGCTACTTTTGTTTTTGCAAATGCTTTACTGAGTGGGACCTGCTCCTTGCTCAGTGACTGCACCCGGTAGAGCTTGAATCCAATGATCATCTTAAGAGCAAAAATGGTTTATGCAAAGGTTTTAAAAACTCAAAAGGTGAGGAAAACCTACCTTAAAATGCCTCTTGGAGCTTGAATTTGGCCCCACCAAATCAAACGGTGCTGTATGTAGTACAGCACTAACCTCAGATACTCCCTCCCCAGGCTCCTGTCCCCCACGGGGCCACGGCCGCCGCCAGCGCCCGGCGTGGAYGGCGCTGGCTCCACGCGCGGCTGCTCGCCGGGGCGCTCCTCCATCACCCCTCGCAGGACACTGCGCCGGGGCTCGAAACCCGCCCCGCAAACAGGGCACCGCGTTTCCGCAGGGCCTCACGGCAGGCTCGCCATTACCCCACGGCAGGGCCTGCCCCGCCCCGCTCGCCATTACCCCACGGCAGGGCCTGCCCCGCCCCGCTCGCCATTACCCCACGGCAGAGGTTCAGGGCTGTTGGGCCCGCTCCTTTCCACAACGCTGCCTCATGGGCTGGCTGTGCTGGCGGCCTCGGATCTCCATCGGCTCTCCACCGCAACGAGGGGCCCGTGCTTCCCTCCGGAGGGCGGGAAGAGCTGGAGGCGCTGCACGGACCTTTGGCGCCGCGGGCGCTAAGAGGAGCAACGGGCAGGAGCCATTGTGAGCAGTCGATTCGTTAACGGCAAACAGTTCATTCAGCACCTACTGCCTCCCTCCACGCTGTGCCTGTCACTTCTTTTCTAAGATTTCCTCCCAGATGCAGTTACTACGAGCATTTCCAAGACAAACAGACCTACTTGCCYATCGAAAGGGGCTTTGTCACTTCTTAGAAGGAAAGAGCAATTCTGCGGACAAAATCAGGAGCAGGAAGAGAAATGGGGAACAAATCTGCTGTGCCCCTCAAACGAAACCCCACCATGTAGGTACGAGGGAAATGACACTCGAGAAGGAACCGTGTTGTCATTAATTCTCCCCATTGCCCTAATGAGCACAGGCTCCTTGGGGGAGTCTTGCCTAGGCGTACAGCACTGAAGCATGGCCAGCATGCTGATTCAGTAGTAAAAAATGCTTATTCCCACACTAACTTGCCTTCTCTTTTAAGCATCATGTTGTCCGRTTAAAACAGGAACTATTTTATTAAGAAATCCTCCCAACAGGAAGACACGTCTCACCCCCACTCCAGCTTTTTATGTGCCGGAGGATTATTAATTAAGGAAACGTGTAAGAAGGATTTGTGAGCCCACACTATATATTGCAGGGATCTTTCCCTGCTTTGCACTCAAGTATCTCAAAAACAGTTATTTAAAGATACTATTCTTTTATTATTTGCAACATTAGAACTGCTACTTTTATACTTAAACWGGCCTTAACACCTTTGTGATCAGTACAAAGAAATGTTCTCAATACTTCAATAAATATCCGAAGCTCTTAAAGAGAAGTTAGTAAGAAAGATACAAACACAAAACAAGGACTAGCACTCTTATTTCTAGGCCCGTTTCCCACAAATTATTAATGGCAACGATACAGAATAGCAAGTGCTGACAGGGTAGTTTTTCTACGGCTTGTACTGTCTTGAAGGTTAATGTTTTACGCTCACTGAAATAGAACAGCAACAATTAAATAGCAGTGATACTTGTGACCTACAGCGCAAGGATGGAGAAAAATCATCATATATATTTAGAATCACCTTTATATCTTAATATAACTCAATTTCATTATCTATAAAGTTTTTGCATTTCTTTGTGTTCMAACGCAAAAATTAAGTGCTGTTTTTCACTTCTGCACCTTGCCTGCCTTTATTCTGGCATAATAATATTTAGCTTATGTTGAGGCGGACAATCCTACCGCTGCATTTTCTGATTCTTTAATTATTAACACCACCAAAACCTTGTTCTCAAAAATTACTTCCAGGAAATTAACGC